ATTGTTTATTAATTTTAGAAGATCATGTATTATTATAATAAGGGATTTTGGAAACTGTTAATTCTTTGATTTCAAGTGGAGAGATTCCAGGATTATTTGGTTATGATGAGATTGATAGATTAATATAAAATTAAGAAGAAGTAAAGAGAGAATTTTATGGAAAATCACTTTATGAAGCATTTCATGAAAGAGTTAAAAGAAATATGAAAATAGCATTAGTTATGGATAATACTAATCATGAATTCTAATCAAATTGTGCTTAAAATCCAGCTTTATTCACAAATACTACAATAATATGGTAGACATAGCTATCAAAGGATAGTTTATTGTAATTTATGAAAAAGTAGTTAGAATCTTAAAATAATAATAATAATAGCAATATTAGTGAATAATTAATAAGTTATGCAGTTGAAATGCATAGAAATTAGAAATCAGATCCAAGAAGTTTTTAATCATTAACTTAAACTTATAGTTTGATAATGGATAAGAAAATGCAATCAAAAGGATCTTAAGCTGATCATTTATAGAAAGGTCTTGAAAAATTATAAGAAGCAAATAATTTAGTAAATAAATTAACATAAGAAGCATAAGAGAAGAAAGTTTTATTATCTAAAAAATAATTAGAAGCTGATGATGCATTGTAAAAGATTTCAAAAGCAATGTAAGATGCAGCAGAAAGAAGATAAGAAACAGAATAATTGTAAAGATATTTATAAGAAGAAGAGGGTAAAATAAAAATATCAAAAGATAAAGTTGAAGATGAATTAAGAGATGTAAATCCATTAGTATAAGAAGCATAAAATGCAGTCAAAGGAATATCAAAATCAAATTTAGATGAATTAAAATCTTTAGCTTAACCACCACCTGCTATATATGATGTTTTATGTGCTGTTATGAAAGTATTTAAATAAACAGAAATTAATTGGAAAGCAATTAAAAAATTTTTAGGTAATAAATAAGTAATTGATTAAATTATTGACTTTGATCCTCATATGATAACAGCTGATATTAGAAAAGATGTAGAGGAAGAAATAGCAAAACATTCAAATTCATTTGAAAAATAAAATATTTATAGAGCATCTTTAGCAGCAGGACCATTAGCTGATTGGGTAAAAGCAATATTGAAATATGCAACAGTTTTAGAAAAAATAGCACCATTAGAAAAAGAATTATCAATGATTAGTAAAAAATTAGATTCTTCTAGAAATAGATTGAAATAATGCTAAGATGCATTAAATTAATTAGATTAGAAAGTCTAAGAATTAAAAAATAATTTTGCTTCTAAAACTAGTGAAGCAGAATTATTAAAAAGAGATTTAGAAAAAGCAGAATAAACAGTTAGTCTAGCATCTAATTTATTAGATAAATTATCAGGAGAAAAGGTTAGATGGTAATAATAACATGATTTAATTGCATAAGAATTAAAATAATTTCCATTAGATTCTTTATTATCAGCATCATATATTACTTATTTATCATCATAAGATGAAAATGTTAGATATAAGACATTATAAGAATGGATTCATTTGACTAAATTATAATAATATGATTTTTTGAAATTTATGTCAAATGAAAGTTAAATATTGAAATGGAAAACACTTGGATTGCCAGGTGATTAATTGAGTATTGAAAATTCAGTTATGGTTTTCTCATCATCAAAAGTTGCATTATTAATAGATCCAAATACATAAGCAACAGAATGGTTAAAAAAAACTTTATAAGGAGCTGAAATATTGAATTAAACAGATCCTAAATTTAATAATTAATTAGAATTATCAGTAAGATTTGGTAAGACTATTGTGATTTAAGAAATTGATTAAATAGAAGGTTTACTCATTCCTTTATTAAGAAAAGACTTATTACATTAAGGTCCAAGATGGGTAGTTATGATAGGAGAGAAATCTGTTGATTTTAATGAAGGATTTGTTATGTATTTAACAACAAGAAATTCTTCGATTCATTTACCTCCTCACACAGTTTCTTTAGTATAAGTAATTAATTATACCGTAACAAGAAGTGGTTTAGAAGGAAAATTACTAAGTATAATCATTAATATTGAATAACCAGATTTAGAATAGAAAAAACAATAATTATTAGAAAATGAAGAAAAATTGAAAATGTAATTAGCTGATTTAGAAAAGACTCTCTTAGATGAATTAGCTAATTCTTAAGGAAATATTTTGGAAAATAGAGTTTTGATTGATAGTTTAAATTAAACTAAATCAAAATCATAAGTTATTGCTTAGAGTTTATAAGAATCTTCTAATTTGTAATAGGATCTAGATACATAAAGAGATGTTTATAGACCATTATCTTAGAAAGGCGCTCAAATATTTATTCTTATATAAAGTCTACAAAATTTAAATAATATGTATAAATATTCATTAGCTTATTTTATTTAAATATTTTAAAAAACTTTGGATATAAAAGAGAGTTTTGATTCTAAACAAAAGAAATTAGAATTTGCAGGATAAAGTTTATTGAGAAATATATTCAATTAAATAGCTGGTTCATTATTCAAATAAGATAGATTAATATTTGCTTTACATTTAGTAAGAGGATGCAAACCTGAATTAATAGAAGAAGAAGAATGGTAATTTATGATTGGTAATTAAATACCTAATGAAAATGTTCAACTTCCTAAATGGGCATCTTAAGATAGAAAAGAAATATTTGGATAATTGTAGAATCTTAAATTGAATATCAATTTTAATTCTAGTGAATGGGAATAATGGAATAATAGTCAAGAATGTGAAAAGAACTTTCCTTAATCAGCTAAATTAAAACCTTTTTAAAAAGTTTTGATTGTATAAACATTTAGACCTGAAAGAGTTTAAAGTGCATTAAATGAATTTGTTTGTTTAAATTTAGGAATTCCTAGTGTTAGTGGTTAAACATTTAATTTCTAGGTAGTTGCTTAAGAAGAATTAACTGCATAAATACCATGTTTATTTGTTGTTTCTGCTGGTAGTGATCCTTCTAAAGAATTGGAAGAATTTGCTGAATAATAAATAGGTAAATAAAACTTTTAAGAAATGTCAATGGGAGGTAATTAAAATGAATTAGCATTAACTCTAATTAAAGAAGCAGCCAAAAAAGGTTAATGGGTTTGTTTAAAAAATCTTCATTTAGTTATTAGTTTCCTTCCTTTATTAGAAAAGACAATAAAATAATTAAAACCAAATCCTAATTTCAAATTATGGTTAACAACTGAAGCTCATTTGAAATTCCCATCAATACTTCTTGAAACTTGCTACAAGGTTTCATATGAAGCACCTCCAGGATTGAAAAAGAATTTATAAAGAATTATAACGAGTTGGCCTACTCATAATAAATAATCTGTTTATTAAACATAATTACTTTTTATTCTCACTTGGTTTCATGCTTTAGTTTAAGAAAGAAGAACGTATATACCATAAGGTTGGAGTAAATTCTATGAATTTTCCTATGGAGACTATAAAGCAGGAGTATAGATTATTGAAAATCTTTTATAAGAATCACAAACAATATCTTGGTAAACTTTATATGGTTTATATGAAAATGCAATATATGGTGGTAGAGTAGATAATGAATAAGATATTAAAGTTTTAAGAGCATATTTAGAAACTTATTTTAATTCAAATAAATTATAGAATGGTACACTTAGTACAGGTTAATAAATTCCATAAACAAATCAAGTTAAAGATCTTATTAATTTAATTAATAAATTACCAGAAAATGATGTTCCTGAATTTTTTGGATTACCTAATAATATTGATAAAGCTGTTTAAAGATACACAATATAAAGAGTTGTTAGTGGATTAAAATCTATGAATAATATAGTAGGATCTGAAATTAAATTTGATAAAGAATTATGGAATAATTTACTTAATCCACTTATGAATATATGGGATTAATTAAAAATTAGAGATACTATTTAAATTACTAATTAATAATTAGGATCTTTGGATCCTATTGAATCATTTATTTATTTAGAAGCATAATAAGCATGGAATCTATATTAAATTATAAATCATTGCTTTGATAAATTAAAGAATGTATTACATAATAATGGATTATTGACTAGTGATATTATTGATATTGGTTTATTATTTATTAAGGATATAGTTCCTTAAAAATGGAGCAATTTCTGGGAAGGTCCTGAAGATATAAATTTATGGTTAAAAATATTTATTAAGAAAATTAATGCAATAAAATTATGGATGGATAAAATTCAAAGAAAATAATAATTGGATGATGTTGATTTAAGTGAATTATTCCATCCAGAAATTTACATGAATGCATTAAGATAAAAAACAGCCAGAAAATTAAATATTCCTTTGAACGAACTCAAATTATCAGCCGATTTTGATAATCTTAAGCATCCTCTCGTAGTTAAATTAAAAAATTTATTATTATAAGGTTGTGGATTCTAAAATGGTCAATTAGTAGATGATATGAAAATAACTTCTGAATTTATTTAACTCCCTCCCTTGAACATTTCTTATGTTGAAAAATCTTAATCTGAAAAGAATGGATTAGGGGTAATATTCTTTTTTCTAATATTTCTAGGATTTCCCTATTTATCTAAATGCAAGTAGAGAAAAATTACTATCCAGGATTAAATTACCTTAATCTGGACATATGAACGATAAAATAATAGCAGGAGTAGCTATATTTTTAAGCTAAAACGATTGATTCATAATACACATAATATATAATAAAAGATTAATATAGAGATTTCAAATATGAAATTAATATATTAAATTCAACTGTTTAGAATCTTTTTTTTTTCTTTCTATTCAAAAGGTTTGTAATAGTATTTCATAAAATTAATTAAATTTATGAATAATCCTTCACTCACAACATTTTTTTAAATAATTTAAAGTAAGGATACAATTAATAATTTTTAATCTATTGAAAAAGCACAAATTAATTTATAAAAAATATCATTCATTATAAAATATTAGTATATAATTAATTAAGTAAGTATTAATAATTTTAGATAAAATAATAAATGAGTGGTTTTATAAACAATTGATTATGATTTTCATTTTTAGAAGATATTCTTAACCTTTTCAAAGACACCTTCTTAAGTTGATTATTGTGCTTAAGTTTCATTTTTTTCTAACTAAAAGAATAAAAAATGAAAAGTATACTTTTGCCAATTCTTCAAAAAGTTATCTTTATTATTCAGTTAATTTGGTAGGTATTTGAATTTTAAGATTTATAACTTAATCTCCTTTTTATCCTGTATTAGGTGCTAATTTAGTAATACCCTAGTTATAAATATAAATATTATACTAATCCATTTAATCTAATTTTTTCTCCATCTTAACTACCTGGTTTAATATTGATTAGTTTTTCACCATTAAGTGTTTTAATTTTAATTGAATCTCCTAAAACAGCTTAAGCAACAGATATATAAGTATTAGTAATTAAATCATATCCATCTCTTTTATAATAAGAATCTGGTTTAACTTAAATTTTAATAATTAAATCTCCAGGTTTTCCTCCATTTTCCCCGATATTTCCTTTTCCTGTTACTCTTAAATTCTATCCATCAGCAATACCTTTAGGAATATTTATAGATTCAGTTGCTGCTTACTTTTATATTCCAACACCTTTACATGTAGTACCTATTTAATTATATATTAAATATATATTTACATGGATTCTTAATAGATACTCCTGTTCCTCTACATTTAGTACATGCCATTTATATTGTCATAGCTCCTTATCTGTAATTAATTGAACCTCTACCACCACAATTTGTACATCTTCCAGGTGCTGTTCCTGGCTTACATTTACTACCATTACAAGTAGAACAAACACCTATCTTCTCAAATTAAATTGTTTATTATGCTCCATTAACACTATCCATAAATTATATTTCCAATTATATATATATATCTGCTCCTTTTATTTATCTTTCCGATTCTCCTCCCATATTAAAAAATGATGCAAAATCTCCAAATATTGATTCATCAAATTAAAACTCTTATGCTTTACCTCCTCTTGCTCCTTATCTAAAAAAACTACTATATGCCGAAAATGGATCCTATCCTCCTGCTTAATCTTATTCATCTCCTGTCATTCCAACTTAATCATAAACCTTTCTCTTATTTTCATCTGACAATGTTTCATATGCACTTTTATTTTTTTATTTATTCATACTTATTTATCTCTGCAAACTTTTCTTTTGCATCTTTTGATGGATTTGCATCTGGATGATATTTCTTTGCTAATCCATAATAAGCTTTCTTAATATCATTTTATGAAGCATTTCTTGCTACTCCCAAAAGTTCTACTTTTAATTCTACATCAATTACCATAAAGATCCTTTTTAGATGAAAAACTAAGTAAAGGTACATTTGTCAATCTTTTTAGAACGTTCCTAGTCAATAATTGCATTGTTAACCGGAAATAAATTAACTTTATTAATTTTATAAATTTTTTAAATGATTTTTATTTGTGAATAAACTAACACATCTCCATTTATTTTGTATATTCACTTTTATTTTACTCATTTCTAGATACTTTTAAAATTCTATCATATATGTAAATTTTATTTTAAATTTAAAGAATTTACTTCTTCTTTAAATTATAAATTATAAATTAATAATCTTAATTAACTAATAAAATTATAGCTTATTGCACTAATTAAAATCAATACATTTTTCTTTAAACATGCATATTATTTCTATTCTTCAACACATTTTCTAATTATGCACTTTTTCTTAGTTTTTCTTAATCTTTTTCTTTGTTTTTATGTTGCATAAACATTTACATAATTGTCATTTTAGTATTTTAATATTTTGGCTAATCTGGAGATCTAAATGGATTAATATTTTGACAATTGCTCATATTAGAGTTTTTAGGAGATTCAGATGACATTGTCTTCTCAATCCTTTAACTACCGCTATTCTTTAATTTTGGTCTATCAGTTAAATTATTATTGTTGAAACTATTATCGTTATCATCAAAAAAGTTATATAACTTTTAAATCAATTATTTATAATCTTTTCCTTCTCTCTCATCTGTTTTTTATACTAATAAACCTATCAATTAATGAATAATATTTAAGAATTAATATAACTTATTATTATTCATCAAATTTTAAGATTAAGACATATTATCATAAATTGATTTCGATAAATTATTTTAACTATTAAATGCATCAAATAGATTTTATGTTAATTTCTTTTATTCATCTAATTAGGCTTGTAATGTTTAAATTTAATATTCATATAAATCTTTATTAAAAGTAGAAGTATTATGTTCATCCTGATTTTTAATTCTTCTACTTGGTTACAGTGATGAATATTGAGAAACACTTTCTGTTTCTGCTAAGCTTTATTTTAATTTTGCAATAGTATCTGATTTATCTGAAATCTCATCTTTCAACCTTTCTATTTCTCTTCTCAAATTAGCTATTTCTTATTAGTTTAGATTATCTTGTTATTTTTAAAGAGCTTTAACTTTTTCTAATTCATTTTAGTATTACTTTTATTTCAATTCTGAATTCTAAATAATAACATCTTTCTCATTTAATTAATCATTATATGATTTTTCTATTTATTTTAATTTATTCATGTATTCACTTACTTTATTATCAACAGTTGTTTAAGATTATAAAATTTATTATTACTATCTCAAATTTTTATTCTTCTCAGACTCCAATTCAAGTCTTAATTAATTCTTATCTTTTTCAATTAAAGTAATTTTCTCATAGAGATCATCTTCCTATTTTTTATATCTTTATTTCTATTCTTTAAAGTCTTCCTAAATTTAATTACCACTATCACATTATTATCTTAAATAATATAAATATAATATTACTTCAATTATAAATTTAATTTCTTAAATTCATACTAAATTTTATTCATAACATTTTATTGTATTTATTGGATATAATCAATTTATAAATTTTGATTTGCTCCACTATTCCAAATAAGAGATTACTTTTAATTCCATTCTACAACCAATTCCCAAATATTGTCCTATTATTCATTTAATTTATTCAAGAATTAAACCTTAATCTCTTCTAATTATTCTTCATGTTTCTTATACAATCTTTATTAAGCGTCAACATATAATTCTAAAATTTATTACTTTATCATTTTCTTAGCAGTAGTAAATTCATCACTCTCCTTATCCAAACAATTATTCTCTAAATAGTACTTGACTTTTCTCAAAAACTATAGATTAATAAAGAGTTATATACAATATTATGAGATTTCTCTAATTATTCCTAAGAAATTCCATTTTATAACAATAACTCTTCTATACTGTCTTTATAAATTTGTAAACCTCCAATAAGTGTTCTATTTAATTCCTATTTACATATCATTTACCATTATGTTTCAATTACTGGCATATTACCTTCATTTATTGTATTTACAAAATGCCTAAATTAATAAATAACATTACTTGCACATTTCAACAAAACTAAAAGGCGTTGTTGGTTTTCCCTTGTATTATTTTAATGATATTTTATATGAAAACTTTTTTCTTAGAGCAGTAAGTTATTCTTAAAATTCAGTTCTTAATTCTGAGAATTTTAATTAAGATAAATGCTACAAATCTTTTTCATCTTATGTTGGTCTAACCAATGTCATACAATCACGTTCTTAAAAAAATTATGTTATATGTCTTCTAATTTTATTTTTATTTTCAATAGTTTCACTAAATCCTTTTAATGGTTTCAATGCATTTTCTAAATAATCTTTAGGTGTAATTTTATTTCCAAACTCATCCTCTAATCTTAAAGTAAAATCTCTTAAAATCCATAAAAATGAAGGAAATGTCTCAAAGAGATCCTTTTATGTTGATTCATCAGTTTTTTATAACATTTTAGTTAAATTAACCTTCAATAATAAATAAATGATTACAATCAATCCTAAATTTTATAATGCCATATCATCTATAGTACCAACACTATTATAAATGAAATATGAACTCATTAACATAGCCAATAGAAATATTTTAACATCATGATTCTATTCTTCTTCTAATGAACCTATACCTTCTGTATCAATCAATATTGCAGGTATTGGTTCCTTTGATCTTCCAGATTCAAAATATATAATGTCACTCCACATCCATAAACCCTAAACATTTTATATTCTTTTTATGTACTTTTGTACAAGCATTAACTGTACTTCCTACATTAAATCCTTGATTCTATTATAATAGAACCTAATTTATTAGATAACTCTTTCCTGTTCTATATTTGCCTACTACTACTACAACTGCGAAATTCTTGCACTTCTCACTAAATGATTATATTATTTCTATTGCTTCCTATTCCAACTTCAATTCTAATAATACTCTCTATTTAATTACATTTATTTTCATCTACTGATATTAATTATACTGCTCTAGGTCCTTTATTCATAAAATTTAAAATTCAAAAATTTATTTGTATTGTTAATATTTAAAATAATAATAATAATAATACACTTATCAATATATTCTAATTTTGGGAATTTTAATAAATATTTATAAACAATCAATTCATTTCTGAACAATCTTTCATTAAATTTATTAACAATATATTCATTTATATATTCATACAAAAACTTATAATAATTATTTAATTTTATGTTTATAAACTAAAATTGACAACATTATTATTAATCAATTAAGAAAGATTAAGACAAACAAAAAGTTGATCCAACATATTAAATTGAATTATTATTATTTTATAATGTATCATAAATGTAAAATAATATATATTTAAAATGTATTAATGATAATAGTATAGTTTATTGGAGTGAATTAAGTTAGATTTGAGTATTCATTATATGATATTATAATTAATCACTCGATAAACAAAATTTTAATTAATATGGCTTCTTAAAGTGAAGAAAAAGACTTGATAGGATCCATATTAAGTGGTAATGAGAAATTCATTATTGTAGATTAAGATGAGAAGCAAGAAATCATCCCTAAAAAAGCAAGAAAGAATTTATCTTTGAAATCTAAAGAATTTGATCCTCAAATACAATCTAAACAACAAGAATTTTAGACTTCAAATGCTAGTATATTATCAACAGGTTATTAATCGCATTAGAAATAAAGAATATTTTTCCAAACTTAAACATCAATAGAAATGTATATATATATATTTATAATCAAATAAATAGTTAGTCTTAATTTTCTAGTGCTTTTCAATAAACTGCAGATTAAGATAACACTTGTTCATTTGATAATTTCTAATGTATTATTAATTTTAAGTACAAATAGCTTTCGATTCATTTGGTTAGTTACACAGAAAACAATCAACTAAGAAGCACTATACTATGTAACCAATAGGATATTAAAACCAATCTTTGGAATTCACCAGTGATTAATGCATAGATGGTAAATTATCTTTGAGCCAATCAGATCTTGTAAATTGAAAATATTTAATAGAAAGGAATAAATATGTGGAAATTAATTAATCAATAGAAAAATATAAAATATATTGGATAGTAATGACATCAATTCAAAAAGACTGATTTTTAATCAAATAGAAAAGATATGCTTAAAGGCTTCAAAAGATATGTTTGGGAATTACACTGTACAAAAGATATTTGATGTTGGAAGTCAAGATTAGAAACAACGAATGTATAATTTGTTGATTAATCACATCTTTGATTTATCAAAAAATCAATATGCATGTAGAGTAGTCCAAAAGATGATTGAGTTTATTAAGTAATCCATACACTATTTAAAAGAGAATATCCCGAGTAACTAGAAATATTTTTACAAATTCTTCATCCTCAAATGAATTTACTATTAAATGATTCTAATGGCAATTATGTCATTTTATCATGTTTTGAGTTATTCAATAAGAATTAACTGATCTTTATTATTCCATTAATAGAAGATTCAGTAAGCTTTTAATTAATAATAATTGTAGTTGCAATATATGTCAAAACAAACATATGGTTGTCGAGTAATTTAGAGAGTTCTAGAGTAATACCCTTTAGAATAAACCTAAAGAATCTTAGATATCTTAATGACTATTGCATCTTAATTATGTTATTAAGAATTTGGAAATTACATTATATAGTATTTATTAAGGAGTGGACCTCAAAAAGAAAAATAAATAATTTGTTAAATAATTAAAGATAATTTTGAATAATTAAGTATTAATAAATTCGGAAGCAACACTGTTGAAAAGTATATAGACATAATGGGACCGAATTAAATAATAAAAATATTATGTTCAATTTCAAATGATTAGTAAATAATCTATTGTATACTAGATTTGTATTTTACAATTTGTCTACTAATGCTTATGGGAATTATGTTATGAAAAAAGTACTGATTAGTGGTGATCCATCTCTACAGTATTTAAAAAGTTTATTGAAATAATATCCAGATCTTATTTAAAGAATTAAAAACTCTGATTTCGGATAAAGAGTTGGATTAATTATGGATGCATTATGAGGATAATTAACTTGTAATAGTATCTTGCTTATGAGTATTATTCTATACAATTTTTAATATTATACATCTTAATATATATATATGTTTTAAAACTATTTATATAAAGATTGAAATCTCATTATTTTATCTTAAGCTTTTTTAAGAGAGTATTAACAAAAACAACAATTTTTCTAGCTTATCTAAAATTTAGTCTAGGATCACATGCTGTTGTATACATTTTTGGATTAATATCTTCTTCATTTTCAATACATTCACTTACATCATAAGGAGTACATTCTAAATGTAATCCAGCTGGTTTTTCATTATTTTATTCAAGTATATTAAAAAAGTATTATATTTCAAACATAATGTCTTCTATTCTTCTAATTTTATGTCCATTCATTTCAAGACCATTTCCATGCATAGGATCTAAAAAGAAGGATACATTTAATTTTTCATCATTTTTCCAACTAATAATATCTTTTAATTTATCTAATTTATTTTTTCCTAATCTTATTATTGCAAATACTCTCCCATCTTCATTTTTTGGATTCAATAATTTAATTACATTAATAAATTCATTTTTATTAATTGTTTATCCAAACTAACATATATTTATTAGAATACCTTAATTCCAATAGGGTTTAATATTCCCTTAATAAAATTAGAATGAGCATGTTCATAAAGTCTAGTTCTATCACCTATCCAAGGGAAATGTGTATTTGAAAGATAATATTAATTTTCATCATGTAATTTAACAAAAGCAGATTCATATCCTAAATGTAAACATTCATGTGAAACCCATAATTATTAACCTTCATATTTATGTAAAGTATCTATTCCTTTTTTCGAATAATGAGCACCTAATAATAAACGTAAAGGATCAGGATCTCTATCATCTATACTTAATGAATTTATTAAATCTCCTCTATAATTTAAAGTGCCATCCTTTTCATGCAATTATGTTCTAGGTTTTGCAAATTACCCACAAGTTCTACCTATTACTATTGCATTTAATATTTAACCCATACTCTTTATTATTTACATTATATTATACATCATAAAAACTAAATTTCTCTTTCCAATGTTCTTCTGTGCATTCATTATATATTTCTGCACAATCTCCTAATTATAAAACAAATCTCTCTCCCTTACTAACTTTTTTCATTTCATTCTTAAAATTATTTATCTCATCAAAACTTAAGATTCCTGGAAGTTTTCTTAATTTTTAAATAGTCTCCTAACTAATTTTATAAATCTAATTACTATAAATGTTAATCCTAATAAATTGGCTATTATAAAATAGGATATTTCTTCCAACTATCCATATTCCATTCTTTCTCTTAATTCATTAATTAATTTTAATTTTACTTCCCCATTAATACTATTTAATCAAAATATCCTACATAATAAATAGATGGACCAGATTTTCCATTCTCAATCAACAAAGTTTAGATAGAGATATCTAGATCTCATTTAATAATGCAAGAACTCTTAAAACTATTCAATCAACAATAAAATCATTATAATGGAACTAAAAGAGATCTATATGTTTCATAAAAAATATATTTTTATTTAAGCTAAGATTCTAACATTTCTAATATATCCTTCTTAAAAAACTTACATCATTAACAAACACCCAAAAATTTACAATTAGAATTAATAAATATGTATGATGATGATTCTTTTAAGTATAAAAATTCATACTGAAGAATATTCTTATGATTAAAAAATAAAATTCATTCTATAATAAGTTTTTTCTTTATTCTAATTTAAAATCAATTCATCTTCTTAAAAATATAGATCTATACTTAGTTTTTATATACTTTTATAAAACAAAACTATATCATTCGCTCAATTTTTCAATCTTGCATTAATAAACCTATATAAATACAAAAATATAATGTATATCTTTTTCATAATTTTAGTCTCAGAAATAGCTTTAAATATTTATATCTTTATACTTTATTAAATTCTAAATAACTTTAATTTAAGTAACTCATAGGTTCATCGGTTAAAATTTGAATAAAAGATAGCATTCTAAAATACATTTACTTTATTAACAATTTTATTCATCATTTACTGTAATAAATATTTCATTAAATATTAGAGCTAAGGTATATTTAATTGCTAAAAAACGAATATTTAATTAAGTAACATTATATTTGCAATAAAATTATTTATATCTAACAATGTATTTTCATTTATAACAATATATTCACAAAAGTATATTTTATTTTTTTATTTGAATATAAAATATAATCAAATTGTTTAAAATGTAATAAAATGATAATAAGTTTTAAGGATTTAAAAAGGAATATATTTAGAACTGCTAAATTTCTGGTAGAAGTTTTGCAAAAACTATTTCAATAAAACTTACAAATAATAAAGACTTAATCTATATTATTGATGGGAGAATAATAAAAATTGAAGAACTTATTTTAGGGTAAGGTGATGAAATAAAAGACATTTATTTAAGAGATTAGGTAATTGAAAATTTAGAATAAATTAAATATCTGAAATGGATAGGTGATTATGGAATGAAATAGAAAAAAGTTGGAAAGTGGTCTGTAATTTGGAGAGGTTCAACTTTAGATATTGGAGGATCTTATACTGAAGAGGGAAAGAAACAGGGATAATGGAAAGAAATCTATATAAATTATGACAAGTTATAATTAATATAGATATAGTAATGTGTAAGTGTATGAGATGGGAGAATATAAAGATGATATGAGAAAGGGTGTTTGGAAAATTATTTATGATGGTTAAGTGATGTAAGTTCATATTTTAATATCAAAAGTGGTGGAGGTTCTTATGATGAAAATGGAATGAAGAATGGTTAATGGGTAGAATTACATAAAGAATGGAGAAGGTTTTAAAAAGATATATATTAATAGAGATAAGAGAGATATTTCAACAAAAGGTGAATATAGGAATAGTAAAAAGATTGGAAGATGGGATATTATTAATAATAAAAATGGGCATCTTATGTAATACTATCATTTATAAATAACAAAATTGAAAGTGGTGGGGGATCGTATGATGAAAAAGGATGGAAAAATGGAAAATGGGTGGAAATACAAGAGTTATGGGATAGGTTATCTATTTAAATTATTAAATTATAGTTATCGTTCAGTTTAAAATAATGGTGAGTATATAAATGGACATAGACATGGTGAATGGATAATTATAGATTAGGAAAATAAAAAGATGTTATTAAATTCTTTATTAAATTTAGTGGTGGAGGATCATATGATGAAAATGGAATGAAGAATGGAGAATGGATTGAAATTATTGATGAATGGAAGTAATTTTAATTTAATGATTAGTGCTGTTCGAGAGATTAATTTTAAAGGGGTTTATAAAAATGGGAAAAAAATTGGAATATGGCACACTTTGAGACATAAAGAAACAAAATTGTATTTTTAATTTTAAATAATAGTGGAGGTGGATAATATAATGAAAATGGGTTAAAAAGTGGTAAATGGATAGAATTGCATGATGAATGGAAAAAGTATTTAATCAAAAAATTTTAATTATTATTTAGTTGGGAAAGAGAAGTTACTTATGTTGGAGAATATCAGTAAGGAATAAAGAAAGGAAGATGGGATATTTTATTAAATGGAAATTAAAATATGTAATGAATATTGAGAGAAAATAGTGGAGGTGGATAATATGATGAAGATGGATTATAGAATGATAAATGGGTGGAATTATGTGATGGATGGGAAGGGTTTATTTAAAATATATTAATTTAATTAGAAATGGAGGAAATATAATGTAGTTCACTTATTGTGGTAGATATTTTAGAGGAAAAAAAATTGAAAAATGGGATACCCTTGATAAGGAAAATAAAATAATGTAAACGAATTATAAATATTAAATATAAATTAGGGGAGGAGGAGAATATGATGAAAATGGAATGAAGAATGGAAAATGGATACAATAACATAGATAATGGAGAAAGTAAATATATATATTAACATTAATAGAAATTTTAGAGAAATCACATTCCAAGGAGAATACAATAATGGTTAAAAAATTGGATATTGGAACTCAATATATAATTGTGATAAAATTGTGTAAATTTATAATTGATAATTAGTGGTGGAGGTTTGTATAATTAAAAAGGAAATAAAGATGGAAAATGGATTGAGCTCGATCATTTTTGGGATAAAGAGTTCATTAAAATAATTTATATTTAGAGATTCTGCTATTACATTTAAAGGAGAATATTTAAATGGAAGAAAATATGGAAAATGGGATATAATTTCGGATGAAAATTATATTATGTAATATTTAACATAATATTTTAGTGGTGGAGGATCTTATGATCAAAATGGAATGTAGAATGGACCATGGATTGAAATAGAAGAAGTGAGAAAGTATATAAATAAAAATAAAATTAAGTGATTCATAAGAAATTTCACTAAGAGGAGAATATAATAAAGGTAAAAAATATGGAAAATGGGAAACTAATCTTATGATTTATGGAAATAGAGAAATTATGTATAATTTATAATAGAAATAAATTTATAGTGAAACCAGAGAATATGATGAAAATGGTTTAATAATTGGAAAATGAGAATTATCTTTAATATTTTGATTCAAAATAAATTAACATATTATTTCTTATTAAAAACTACAATATTATTAATTTATGATTTTTCAAAAAAATTTATCTTTGTTTAAAATATTTAATAATAAGGTTAAATTATCAAAATTGTAATTATTCTATCAATAAATTGTTTAGATAAATTTTTTAAGACTGATGTTAAAAGATAATAATTCAATTCATAAAAATAAACTAATCAATTTATTAAACCTTAAGAAAACTGAATAGTAATTTTTTCAATCCCAAATGAATTTTCATTAAAGGAGATTTTTTAAAGTTGAAATTTAAATTGAGCATCAGAATATTTATTGAATTTATCCCTTATTGATTTATAATAATTTTTGATGGTGCCTTAAAATTATTAGACAATTAATGAATTGTATATAGAGAAAGAAAATTAAATAATTGAAAAAAACATCCTTATGTCCCAAATATATATATATTGCCAGAAATTTCATATCTCTTGAGATAATAGATGATTCAAAATTGTTTTATATGAAGTAAATTGGTAATTTATACTTAAGGGGCTTTTGCTAATGAATTTCTACTAAAAAACTCTTTTTTAAGGTTATAAATAGATTGATATTAATAGAAATTATAGTTCTAAAAATTTTCTTCCATTAAATTTACCTAATATGTGAATATTCTCATTCAAACTCAATATTAAAATGTCCAAAAGATGAGAACTGAAATAGAGATTTAGCTTCATAATTCTAATTAAATAAACCAAACCATAAAAAATTATTAAATTATAATATAAACAATTTTCCGTATTAATAACATTTCTTATTAATAATGAATAATAGAAAATTTTTATGGACTTTTTTGAATTTTTATTTAATATAAATGTGAAAGATATTAGATGATTTCTTATATTTAAAAAAAAATATTAATAATTAGTAATAAAAATTCAGAAATTTTTTTAATCGTTAAATTATTTAAAATGGACTCTCTTTTTGGACTATTTGATTAGTTTCTAAGAATAAATTTAACTTATTATCCTTAAAATTAATAAGCTTACATATCAGAAAGTTGGGAATAATTTTTAAGTTTATTATAAAGTTAACCTCTTGATTATGGAAAAATATACACATTAATAAATAGAATGACTTATGAGGATATAACATCAGGAAAAAATGAAAGATAAAGTTCTAGTTAAAGATAAGTAGCTCGAAATATTACAGCAGCATCTTCACCAAGAATAGTTTCATCATCATCAGTGTCAAAAAACAGTAATTAGATTATTACATTAAAAGGCACTAATATATTATCAAAAATTTAATAAATGGATAATGTAGCCAGCCCAAAAATTGCAGTATCCAATCTTGCAAGTTAACAATCATTAATTAATAAAAATTCAATACAATAAAATGTGAAATAACAAGTATTTTTAATTATAATATAGTAAATGGTAGATGATTTCAATAGGCATCTTTTATTAAGCAAAATCAAAGAATTATAATTTAACTACTCAGTTTCTACAGATAAGCTTTATGCTATTGCAAAAATATTTTAATCTAAAGAGAGTTAGCCAATATCAAAATCACCTATCAAATATCCATTAACTCAATTTGTAAATAAATCAAGAGGAAGTAATCATAGTGCAGAACATTATAAAATTGTTGCTTGATTAATTATAGTTACTTGTTTAATAAAGTTATTTAACAATCTATATTTCATAAAATATTTACTTTAAGCTATTTTATAGATTACATTTAGTTTTTAAATTAATAAATAAATATATTAAATAAAAATAAATAAATGAATAACAATTATAATTATTTTAATATAAAGATTTTATATTAATTATTGTTTTAAGATATTATTTATGAATATAAACAAATTTTGTGAACAAATTTATTGTTATCAAGGTGGGGGGGATTTAGATCTTATCTACTCAAACTTAAAAGCATTTTAAAATGTTTATGGTGGAGGAGAACCAGGTCTCTAAAAATTTTTCTGATTAAATATTTGTTAAACAGTATTTTATGAATTTGTATTATAATTTTTTTGTTCCACTAAATTTTTATTTACAATCATGGATTGTGGATTTAAAATTTCTTATTATTTAAATTAAGCTTATTCTTTTGATTAAATAGTTTATTATTGGGGATTTTATTTATTATTCATGTTAGTTGTTTAAGAATTTTAGTTATACTAAAAATTATTAATATTTAATTCTGCATTTTGTTATTTTTAAAAATTATTCTAATTAGTTGATTTGATGAGATTTTGAGTATTAATTTCATTTTATTGAGTTTGATTTTTTTATTCAGAAACATTTTAATTTGGGATTATGGATTTGGGATTAGGAGTTAATAATTTTTTTGCTTTAATCTATTCATTTTATTGAATAGTTTAATTAGGGACAAATTATTTAGTATTCTCATTTGCTTTTTAAATAGTTAAGTTAGGTGTGATAAATTTTTTATTTTAAGCAAATTATTCTAAATTTTTAATGTTAATCTAATTTTATTAAAAACTAATTTTATTATGAAGAATATTCTTTGGATCTTAAAGATTAGGTTTAAGCATTTAAATGGTTCCAGGTGGAGATCTGTATCTATCTCTTAATTATACTAAGACTTATTTAATATCAGGTCTGTTTTATGGATCATAAGTTAACATATTCATTATTAGTTATCTATATTCGTCTTTAATAACAGATAATTTGTTCTATAATTATTGTTAATTTATTTCTTAATTAATATTCGTAATTTGATTAAAAATTTCTATTTATTAACTCCCATTAAATAATGGTTAATTTGTAATTAATTCATATGCAATAGCACCTAAAGACCAAATATCAACTTTATTATTATAAGTTTCTCCTTTGATCAATTCTGGAGCCATATAATAACAAGTTCCAATTTATTAAGTTTAACAGATACTTTTATTTGTTGACAAACCAAAATCAGCAATTTTATATATTTTTTAGCTGTTTTTTGGGTCTTTGGGATCACCAATAGTTTTAATTAAAATATTTTCTGGTTTTAAATCTCTATGTATAATATCATTCATATGCAAAAAGTTTATACCATCAGCTATACTTACTAAAATATATCTGAGATCATTTTAATTAACTACTTATTATTAAATACTTTAATAAAGATCTTGGTCACAACAATCCATTAAAAAATAAACATATCCATTATTTTTCTCACAATCTACTATATTTACTATATTTCTATGAGTAATCATTTACAATTTCTTTGAAATCTCCCATTCACTTTATTCAATTTAACTTTGGATCTTCAAAGCAAATTTTTAATTATTTTTTTCATCCAAAACTTTAAATACATTACCGTAAGATCCTCTTCCTATTTGTTTAAGGATTTTTAGTTTTCTATTTTTGAGTATTATTTGTTAAGAATTGAAATTACTCATTAAAATAATCAATAGAATTAGAATTCAATTATTATTATTTCTATTATATGATTTATTAAAAAAATAATAGTTCAAAAATTTACTGTGAATATTTCAGAGAATATTTAGATATAAAAGACCATTTCTATAAAAATCCTATATACTCTGAATCATATTATGATTGCTTAAATTAAATGTTTGCAATTATAACTAAAAAACCTGGGTAAGCCCTAAAAATTAATAATTCTGATTACATTCATAAAATTAATAAACTTTATGCATGCATTAAAAATTCAAAATTTACATCATCTAAATTACTTAGATAAGTTAGAATCACTAAAAATGGTTTAATTTAATAAAAAATGAAATCATATAATATTTGTTAAGAAAAATAGCTGGAATATGTTGAATTAATACCTGAAATTGTTAAAACTTAAGAAATCAAAGAAAAAGAATATAAAATGGCTTTTGAGAATTCTAAATAAAAATTAAAATGGGTATATTTTGACAATTATTCTGATGCTTAAAAAGTGAGAGATTTTTGTTATGTAAATTCTGCTCTCAATAATTTAAAATACAATTTATCAGGATTTATTCACTTTTTAGTAAAACAATTTAATTAATTGAGCATATATTTTATTTTATAAAAGATATCAAAAACTAGATAAGAAATGGAAAAATTATCAATAAGTGATTTAAATTAATCTTAAACACTTTCTTTATATTCTCCAGGTATTTTAGCAAAATAAGATAATGATTTAAAATAATCACTATCATTTTAAGAAAATAGTGTTAAAACATAAAGTTTAGAGAATGAATTAAATCAATTCCTATAAAACATAGTAACTGAATATTTGGATCAAATAGTAGATTAACATTTAGAATTAGCATTTGATGCAAATTTTGAAAATGAAAATGATAATCAGATATAGTCTATTTCATACATTTCTGTTCTTCAGTTATCAGACCATAATAAATCCAAATATATAGAATAAAATTCCATTAATTAGATATATATTTTCTGATTATATTTTTTTTTTAAATTAAAAATACATCAAGTTTAAACTTTTCTTAAACAATAATAATTATATTAATAAAAATTATGAAATTTATTTCTCAAGATGACATTACTTTTGAAGTATATATATCTATCAAATTTAGATTGATAATGAAGTTCTAAGATAATGCACTAAAATTTGTAATACAGATTCTTCTATTGTTAAATTAACAAGTACTAAAAGCAAAATTCTGTAAAAGGTGATTTAGTATTGTGAAATGCATTTAAATGATTTTGATATCCCTGAAATATAAAAACCAATAAAATATTAACATAACATGTAATATTTATTCTAATTTAGCTTTGATATTGTGTCGTTTAAAGATGCTTAATTTATTACTAATCTTGAATTTGAGGAAATAATACAAATTATTTAAGCTGCGAAATTTCTTGGAATAAATACTTTGATTGACCTATCTTGTGCATACATTGCTATCAAAATTAGAGGTAGATTTAATTTTTATATTAAAGGAAAAAACTCATAATAAGTAAAAGAAATGTTGAAATCTAATAAACCTATAACAGACGAATAAGAATAAATGGATAGAGATATGGAAATTAAGGTTAAAAAATGAAACTAAACTTTCTGATTGATAATTAAACTTAATAATTATTTTTAATTCCACGAATTAGATTAAGATGGCAAAGTTATAGTTATATTCGCTATATTTACAAACTTTCCCTTAAACTTATTAAATCTTAAAGTCAGATAGAATTTTTATATTTTAACTTTTAATTATTATATTTCTGATAATTAATGCTCTTATATGTTTGTATTACTTTTCTTATATAGTAATAAACCATTGTAATTTAATTTAATGTATTTTTCTCTAGAAGAAACATTTTTAAAGTAATTAAACACTATTTTATTATAAAAATAATATTATATTATATTTTTTGAATTAAAATGGAAAATTGAAATTTTTCTACTAATATTTTTAATAAAAAAATATATTATTACTTAAAAGAAAAGAAATATTATGAATTTGAAAATAAAAAATATTCTGAATTTAGTTAATCAGCTTAGATAAGAGTGGAATTATAAAGAAAACAATTAATAAAAATAGTTAAATTATGATTATTTTTTATTTACAAAAAATATAAATATAGTATTTAATCATTATTTTTCAGGATTGTTAGAGTTTTTAATTAATTTTGGTAATCCTTTACTTCGTTTTTATAATTTACTAACATAAGTTTATAAATGTACCTTTGAGAAGCAAACAAGAGATTAATATTGGCTAACAATATTTAGTAAGGGATAGTTGGTAATTTATTTGTCTTCTTTTCAGGATGTTTAAATTGGCATCTTTCTCCATAACAACAATAACTTTAATATTAAATATGATAGATACCCATCTTAGGTGTAATTTTTACAAGTTTTAGTCTTGTAATTTGTTGGAACATGAATTTTTTATCTTACTTCATCTTTTCCATGAGCAAAGGCACACTAATTTTTATAAATATATATTACTTATTAACCATAAGGACAATATCCTTCAATGGCCCAATATTTACAAATCTAGACAGAATTTATTAACAAATTTACTTCAGTTTTAACTTTTACTTTGTAGGAAACCTTTTTATTCTTTTTTTGGCAAGGCATTACTTCATCCAATTATTCATCTGAAATACTCTCACTAAATTTAAATAAATGTCATACCAACTCTTTGTTGAATGATTGCTATCAAATTCATCATATGAAATATGCTAATTCATTTTAAATAAAGTAATTAATATCTTATTTTAAAATCTTAATAATATTATTAAAGCCAATCCAGACTATATAAATTAAAGATAATGCGTATTTAATAATATTTTTAAAACATAAGTAATTGCCGGGATTACTATATTTAAAATTTTTAGAGTCACTACCTTTAAAAAATTAATTTTTAGAATAATTAAAAAATTCGGCAATTCCTATTACACTATTTTCTTTAAAATTAAACTTTCAATCTTAAAAATCATTTAGAATTTTTAAGACGTGTAATTATTTAACTTTTTGAAATTGAACAAGAATAATTCATGATAAGTATTATTGTAATAATTACTTATTAAATGAATTATTTATTTAATCAATTCGATATTTATCATCACCTAAATTTTGCATCTTTAACAACTATACTATACATCACCTAAAAAATACTGATAACTTCATTGATTCAAAATTATAAAGAAAATGATGACTAATTAGGTATTTGATAAAAATTAAAAAAAAGATAATAATACATTAATACACTTTGAATTGTTTATAAGTTATCCTACATTGCTTATACTAATAAGTACTATTGCAAATACTACATAATTAATTTTTGCATTTTTTTTGCAATAAATTTCTGGTTTATCATTATTAATTTGTTTTATTTCATCCTCAATAATAAATGGAATTTCTATTTGGTGGGCATTAGTTAAGTTAAGAAGAACTTCTTATAGAAAATCAAGGCTTTTATGGTTTTTATCTTAAAATCTTTTACTTGTAAAATATGATAATTCAATATTTTTAGATAATAATTTTATTGTATTAAGAATTTAATATTAGTGGATTGTTTGCAGTAGGTATATCTTTTGTACTTTAATTGATTGGAATATTTTTAGGAATGGCCATAGGATCATTATATATTCAAGATGCATATGGAGAATTTAAATAATAATTCTTAGATAATCCTCAAGCTACTTCAATCAAAAAATAAATCTCTTTTCATATTTATTATGGATTGTTACCTTTTTTGTCATTGATTAGAATCAGTCAATAAATTGTATTTGATAGATTATTTAATAATACTTTTGATTTGTTGTATTTTGCTTTAATTCAATTTTTTTAAACAAAAATAATGACTTATAATGATGAAAGTAGTTTAAAATCTAATTGGGGAATTAAAAGCATGAAATTGTCTAAGTAAATAATTTATTAAATTTTAATTTAGATCTCCAATGTATTATTTATTAATCTATTAATGTATAATATCTTTGAACAGAATAGAATCATTTGATTTTAATAATATAAAAAATATAGCTCTTTGTGATTTTATGATATTTGTTATTTCAAATGGAGCAGTTGGATTATCATCAATTTTAGTTTAGAAATATTTATAGGAATAGAAAAAATGATAAGATATTATAATAAGTACATTAAAATAAAAATTAACTATTTATTATCAAAGAGATAAATAACAATTTAAACTATTAATGTATTTTTAAGTTTTTCTTAAGACAAAAATATTTATCTTAGAAATAATAGTTATTATAAAAATAAGACATATTATTCAGTTGTTAAATAATAGAACCATAAAATTGGAGTACTTTAGAAAATGTAGAATGATAAATTATAATATATTCAAACCTCCTAACAGATAACTTAAGTTGGTGTGACTAATTCTTCAAGATTATGGGAATTATGCTAAAAATTAAACATTTCTTATTCTTTTGAGCTTAATTATTATTATTTATCTGTAACAGATGAATTCTTCATGCTATCATTATCATTTTCATTATCTGCATCAAATTAAAAAGCTGCCTCCAATTCAGGTAATTAAACTTTGTTTACTTTCGATTTTTTATTTTTGCCAAGTGTAACTGTGGTCTTAGAAAATTTCATGTTTACATTTTCTTTATTATTTAATTTTTCTATAGCATCAGGATTACCTTGTTGATTAGAGAAGCTAATTGGAAAATCAGAAAATATCTCTCCTTATACTTAATTTTAGAATTTCAGTGGTTTGTTTCTAAGATATTTTCTCAAATATATTCCAACAAAAGTTAGAAGCAGAAATAGCAAAACGACAATAAATAGAGTTTACAACATTATTTATATATTTCAATTAAATTCTTAGTCTTAATATTATGAGGCCACCAATCTAGAATTCAATGTAGTTGTTTGTACTACTCTTTTTATAAAATTACCGTCATCTTTATTTATAACTGACTCTCTAGTCTAAATAATTATATTTTAATTTACCCTATACATAGATTCATTTTTCATTCCTTCATAAGCTTAGTCATATTTAGCTTTAATTTAATCATATTCTAAGGTGAGTTTCTATTTTTCTTAATTGCATTTATTCAATTATTATTCAAGTTTAAAAACAAGACCTTTTTACTATTAAAGTTAATATTGTAAATCATCATTTTATCTTTTTAATTTATCTATTTCTTCATTCAAAACAATAATTTTAGTTTCTAATCCTTTAATTTAATTTAGAAGTTTTTAATTTTCAATTTTGAGCATATCTGTTTCATTTTTTTATTTATCTCCAGAAGTTTATCTAGTTTTAGCAAAATTATATGCTTCTTCAATTTCATTATCTTTAGTTTTAATATCTTCCTTTAAATTTTCAATTTCTCTTTTCATTTTTTAAAATTCAGCTTTATCTTTAAGACTTTATTAAACAAGTTAAAAGTTTTTAGCTGTTAATTCATCTCTTTCTTATCTAACAGCTTCAAAGTCTGCTAATGATACTGTTTGAGTTTCAAACTTTAATCTAAATTCTTCTAACTAACTTATTCTAATATTATTTTATTCTTCTAATTTTTTATTTTCTTCTTATAAATGTTATTCAGATGATAATAAAGAATCATATTTTGTCTATAATAATTTTAATTATGATTCCAAACTATCCTTCATTGCTTAAAATTTCAATTCATTATCATTATTATCTAATTTAAATTTTTAAAGTAATTTTATTTCAATAGTTAAATTTTAAAATTATTATTCTATTATTGTATATCTCTCTTTTAAATCATTATCTTATCTTAAAAGATCTTCATATGTATTCTCTAATCTATCATGTTTAATTTATAATTATGATAATCTTTATTCTGTTTCTTATTTTGATTTCTTAATTTAATTTAGTTAGGATTCTAATTTTAATTATAAATCTTCCTTCTCTTATTATAACTCTCTTTCTCTCTCTTCATGTTAATCAGACAATTATGAAAATTTTATTTTCCATTATCTTTCATCTTCTTAATTTTACTTTTTCTATTACTCAACTGCATTATTTAATTTAGATAATTTCATATTACTAGTTTATTCTAATTCACTATATTTAGAATCTCTTTCTTCAATCTCATGAGTTATTTAAATTATTTATCTTTCTAAATCTGATATTCTTTATTTAAGTTAATTTATTTATTAATTTGCATTCTTTATTTATTTCTCTTTTTCTTATACATTCCCTTATAATTATTCTTATTATTATTAAGAATTCATATAAAATTCATTATATTCATTAGTTAAATCATCATGTTATTAATTAATAATTGATAATTTCTACTCTAATTCTTATTTCTATTTAAGTAATTAATCAAATTGCAACTATTAATCCTTTAATTATTATCTCAATTTTTCCTTCTCTCTTTCTTAATTCTTCATTTCTAATTTTAATTACTCTAATTCCTCTTAAAGTGATTCCAATTATAAATTCAAATCAGATCCTTTATTTTCTTCAAATTTTATTTTTAATTCATATTCTTGAATTTATTTTTATAAAAGTTAAATCTATTTTAATAAATCTTTATTTGTATTCTATAATTTTAGCATATTTTCACTTAAACTATTCTCCTTTTAATCTGATTCTAGTTACATCTCTGAAATTCTCTCTTTTAATTCAGTTATTGATTAAGTCAATTATTAAATCTGTTTTTAAAATTTATTTTTTTCTTATTAACTTTCTTATTGTAAACTTTGATATTATTATTATATTTTGCTTATCTATATTTCTAATTAAGAAATAGTTGTACTAGAATTCTCTTCTAAAGTCTTGATTGTTTATTTTAATTATGAAATTTCATTTTCCTTTTCTTTTAAAGTTTATTTAAGCTTTTCCTTTTCTTTTTCTAAATTTTTCTATTGAGATGAAGCTTAAGTCTAATATGATTGTAGCTATTATTGTAATTAATTAATCTATAATTCCAATTACATAATCTATTCACTATAACTTTCTGTTGTTTATTATAATGTTCTTTTTAATTATACTAATTCATTTTCCTTATCCTTTAACTTTTTATCTAATAATTATAATTATTGTTAATATTCTTATAAGGATATATTAAATTCCTCTTTCTCCTTATCTAATTCATTTTTAAGATTTGCAAAATCATTGGCTCCTTAAGTTAATCTATAATAAATATAAATAAATACTTTTATTTTAATAATTTTATTTCACTTTCGTATAATTCATTTTTCTTAGAAACACTATTTTATAATTATGATTGATGTTCTAATAACTCTGAATATTATTATTTTGATGCTTCCAATTAGTATTATAATTCATCAAGACTTAACTATGATTTTCTAACTAAATAAATAATAATACCCTTAAATTTATTATAATTATGTTTTTAGACGATTAATTTCTAAATTTAAATTTGAAATTTATGATTCATATGATTTATTCATTTATTCATATTCTTATTGCATTTAATATATTTAGTTCTATAATTAAGAATTCTAAGTTTTATTATTTTCTAATTCAACTTTGAGTCTATTTAAAAGTGATTCCAATTCTTATTTTTACTATTATAATTTCATAATTTAATCTCTAGTACTAGATTATAATTCAGCATAAGATTTTTCTGATGTTGTTTTATGATCTCTTATTTAAACAGTAAATGATTCAAATTATTGCTTCATTTTTTATCTTTCCAAATCAAGTTGTTTTGTTAATTCATCAATTTTTTATTATTTTTATCTCAATTCAACTTTTAATTATTCTATCATTTCATCTCTTTCTTATAATTATAATTATAAATTTGATAATTTCAATTCATATGATAATTTTAATTCACTTGATCCTTTTTATAAGTTTACTTATTTTTAATTTATCTAATTATCTATTTAATAATTATTACTTAATTTTAAAATTATATTTAACAATCCTCTAATTATTGTATATGTGATTCTTCAATATATTTCATTTTCTTATTAAACTTCAAAATCTTCATATTCAATCTTTCTATTTCATTGTATGCCAAAAATACTCTTAATAATTTAATAAAAATAATTACTGATGTGATAATTATAATTATGAAGACATCTTCTCAACTTCTAACTATTCTGTGTATTCTTATTTTTCATCTATTTAACGCTAAAGTAAGGTAACTTTTTCAATCTATATAATTTTTACATTAATTACATATTCTTCAATTTCTTGTCTTGATGAATGAACTAGTTAATTATAATTAGTAGTAGTAATTTATAATTACTTTTATAGATCTTAGATTTTTTCAAAAAATTATCTTTCTTATCCTTTTTATGACATTCTATTATAATAATTATAAAATTCTACAATTGTAATGTAAGTGAATCTATTTATCTCTATAAATCTTCATAACCAGACATATGATCTATTGAAGTAACCTTCTGTAATTACTCTTCTAATTCTACAATCCTTTATTTAAGTAATTTGATTTGTATTTCTAAATCATTTTTCTCTAAATTAAAATCACTCTACATTCCTGTATATTATCGTTCTATTGTTGATTGTTTCAAATACTCAAAATGTTATCTATTAATTATTAATATATACTATACTTTTATAAGGTTAACTTCTTCTCAGCTTCTGTTTATTGTGTTATTAAAGATTCTTCAAGCATTTTAACACGAGCTTCAAGTTAAGTAACATATATTCTAACTCTCTCAATTTCTCTTATTTGCTTATTATTCTCTTGAATAGCAGTCTCCTTTTCTAAATTAGTTTTACTGAGTTGCATCTTTAATTATCGTATTTATTCTCTCATCTGTTATACAGATTATTAATCCCTATTAAAAAGACCTGATTAAATGTTATCTGTCTATTTATTTATATTTATAGAAGGTGAAAACATCGAAAAGGTCTCTTTCTCATTTGGGTTTTACTTCTACATATTTATTAATTTTTATAAAAAGTCATTAACAAGTTATTAATTGTGTTAGAATATCAAAAAAATATACAATGATATATAAATTTATTTACTTCATTATCACTTTATAATCTAATAATTTTTCTACAAAATTTGAAACACATATAATTTAAAATCATAGAATCATTAATTTAATAACGATTATATATTTTATTTATTTAATATAGAATACTAATGTCAAAAAAGACTGTAGGATCAAAATATGAATATGAACTTTCAAATAAATTAGGATCAGGAGCTTTTGCTGAAGTGTATAAAGGGAAAAATAAAATGACAGGTGAGGTAGTGGCTATAAAAGTTATCAAAAGAACACTTTTGGAAAAATATGGGTATGTAAATATTTTTATTTGTTAAAAGAGATGAAATCCTAAACTAAATTCATTAGGAAATCAATATATTATAAAAGTTGATGCTTTCAATGAGAAAGACCCTTTGTCCATTTATTAATAAAATTTATGAGTGCCTTGAAACAACAAATAATATTTATATTGTTTTGGAATATTGCAATTAAGGAACCTTATTAGATAAGATTAAAAAGTAACGCAAACTACCTGAAGATGAAGCCTTATTTGTCTTTTTCTAACTAGTTCAAGCCTTAGATTTTATATGTGACAATAACATTGCACACAGAGATATTAAACCTGAAAATGTATTCATAAAGGATGGAATATATAAATTAGGAGACTTTGGATTTGCAGGTTAAAAGTCTCTCTACAATACTCATCTTGGGACATATCCATATATGGCTCCAGAATTCTTTAATTCAAGTTCATATGATGGAAATCAAGTAGATATTTGGGCTTTAGGATTATTATTACATGAAATATTATTTGGAGAGATCTATTATATTGGGAACAGTCAATATGAAGTTTCTTAAAAAATCTTAAATAAATAATATACATTAGGAGCACAACATAAATGTTGCAAAGAAATCCAAGATTTATTACCTAAAATGGTAGAGAAGGATAAAACAAAAGTAATAATATTTTAGTATCATTTTTAGCGTATTACAGCTAAATAGATATTGGAATTGCCAATATTTTAAAAATTTAAGAATGATAGTCGATATTTGAATATTGAAGCTTAAGAAAGACAATTTTGGGAGTTATTTTTGAAGAACGAAAACAATCAAACTGAAGAAGATCTAAAAAAGGCTTCAAAAGATGAAGAAGAGAAACAAAAAAAAGAAGAAAAAGAAAAATAAATGTTGGCTTAAGAAAAATTATAAAATGAGAAATAATAAAAGAGAGATCAAATTTGTAAAGCTATATCTTAAAATATTGAAATAATTAATGAAATGAGAGATGGCATGAAAATAATAATCAAACTATGCGAGTTTCTAAAAGAAAACTTTAATGAAGTTTGCAGATATGATATTTTCTACATTCTTAAGTAAGGATATAATTAATATCATCATTTGAAAGAGAAATTAGATGCTTGTAAAATACTTACAAAAGAAGATCATATTAAATTTGAAAATTTTGATAATGAAGTTTGGGATTAATTTTATTTAGATCAAAAGTTTTTTTATTATTTTATACTAGTGTACAATCTTTAATAGGTGATATTGAATGTGAACGAAATCAGATTAGAAAGGAATACATCAGTCAATTTAATTAATTGAATAATAGAACAAGCAAAGAATATAATAATTATTTATTAGAATTCTAATCTGTAAAATTTCAAATAAATATTAGGTTGGAGGCCTGGATATTGATGTTGGTATTCCTGAAAAATTGTTTCTTGAGCAAATGGCTTCAACTATCAATGTTTTAAATTGTGAATTGACAATATAGAGTGACAATAAAATTTAATAGTTAATAAAAAAGGCAATTATTTGGATATTCGCTGTTGCTTAATTTTCAGATTTAGTTTCTGGTAGAAAAGTTGATATCTAAAAGTTTTTGAGATGCATTGAAAATGACTAAGTTGATGAAATGAAAAAATGCTTATATTCAAATTGATATATATTATATTAAATAATAAATGGATTAATAGGAAGAGGGTTATGATAAAAAAGAAATCGAAGTTTAAGTGTGTGATCCTATTGTAAAGAAAGATGGTTTAAAAAATTATGTGGTTTACACACTCAAAGGTTTTGATAGAGATGGCAATTTTGAAGTTGTGCGTCGATTCAATGAATTTGATTGTTTTAGGTAATCATAAACTCTATGTAGAATAACTCTTTAGATACGATGGCCAGGATGTTATATTCCTCCATTGCCAATTAAAAAATCAGTTGTAAGTATCTTAACTTTATCTAAAGGGAAATATGGATTAAAAGTTCATTGATGAAAGAATGCATTACCTAAATCTCTTTATGAATAAAATGACTACTATTGATCATTTATGGTATTCTGATGAGTGCAAACTCTTCACTAGAGGCAATGGCGATATTGAGAAAGTACTTCTTTGTAGAAATTCTTTTAGTAACTAACCAATTTATAAAAACCTACTTCTGGTGATATCATCTACAAATATGAAACTATTTTCAAAGATTTTTCTGGTAAAGAGATTAATGATTAAATACTCTCTAAGATTAATAATTTTGCTTTGTTTTTAAGGAGAATATAACCTTAATTAGAAGTCTTTTAATAATAAGTAAAATAACTTATTTAATCCAGGTATATATATTTATAGTATCTAAAGAGTTCAATGCTAAGAGAATATGAATCTATTATTAGATTATTTAATGCCTGAATATGAAAAGAATTGTTTAACAGAATACGTTGTGAATCCTGAGAATAAACTTGTTTTTGTTTAACATAAAGCAGAATTATATCAATAATATGTTTAATTATTTTGTTATTTTTAGCGAGCAGCCAATGAGAAAAGTGCTCTTGATAATTTTGCTTTATCTATAAAGATAGAAACAAGAGATATTGATGCTATTTTGGAGGCTATATCATGCAAGGAAAAATATGAATAAATTAAATAGAGTTATTTGACTAAATTATGTAATTTGAGTAATGAGAAAAAGGACATTGAGAATGGAAAAACCACATTGAAATCTTTGTTCAATTCAAATAAGGAAGAAATCATTTAGAAAACATAATAATAAATAGATAATGTAAAACTATAATGATGATTTTTTATAGGTCTAGAAAGAGATTGAATAATTGACAAATTTATGTGATATCATAACAGTAATAATTGGATATTACATATTACCTAGATATAAGGTAATTTTTAAGAATTTATTATAAGCAAGAAAAAGAAAAGAATTATTATTCCTTATTGAAACAGATGGCATAACAGTAAGTCCAGAAAGCTTAAGCAGAGAGAAATTATTGGTTAGATTTAGATAAAAATCAAATGTTTTTGGAAGTTTTAAATTGATATATATATAAAATAATATTGAGAGATAAAAACTAGTAGACTATTTTGAAATTATTGAACTCATAAACATATAGAGTCATTGGCATCTTATAAATTTAGTTCTGTTCAAAAAGAAATATCATTTTGTCTTTTATGGAAATTACTTCTTTGTAGTCATTTTGATTATCGAGGTCTTCGAAATTCTGTAGAAAAATTGAACATTTATAAATTTAATAATTCAAATTAGTTATCTTTAAGTTTTGTCATTATACTCATTAAGAGCTACCAATACATCTTTCAGATATTAGCTTTAATACATTCTGCTGCTCTCAAACATCATTATTTTATTGTTATCCACCTTCTTAAGTATTTTAATCAGATCTTCACATATTTTCATTTAATATTCAACCAATTATCAAATTTTTTCTGGTATAGGATTAAGTTTTTAGCTTAATTAAGATAAGTATTAATNTATTTATAGTATCTAAAGAGTTCAATGCTAAGAGAATATGAATCTATTATTAGATTATTTAATGCCTGAATATGAAAAGAATTGTTTAACAGAATACGTTGTGAATCCTGAGAATAAACTTGTTTTTGTTTAACATAAAGCAGAATTATATCAATAATATGTTTAATTATTTTGTTATTTTTAGCGAGCAGCCAATGAGAAAAGTGCTCTTGATAATTTTGCTTTATCTATAAAGATAGAAACAAGAGATATTGATGCTATTTTGGAGGCTATATCATGCAAGGAAAAATATGAATAAATTAAATAGAGTTATTTGACTAAATTATGTAATTTGAGTAATGAGAAAAAGGACATTGAGAATGGAAAAACCACATTGAAATCTTTGTTCAATTCAAATAAGGAAGAAATCATTTAGAAAACATAATAATAAATAGATAATGTAAAACTATAATGATGATTTTTTATAGGTCTAGAAAGAGATTGAATAATTGACAAATTTATGTGATATCATAACAGTAATAATTGGATATTACATATTACCTAGATATAAGGTAATTTTTAAGAATTTATTATAAGCAAGAAAAAGAAAAGAATTATTATTCCTTATTGAAACAGATGGCATAACAGTAAGTCCAGAAAGCTTAAGCAGAGAGAAATTATTGGTTAGATTTAGATAAAAATCAAATGTTTTTGGAAGTTTTAAATTGATATATATATAAAATAATATTGAGAGATAAAAACTAGTAGACTATTTTGAAATTATTGAACTCATAAACATATAGAGTCATTGGCATCTTATAAATTTAGTTCTGTTCAAAAAGAAATATCATTTTGTCTTTTATGGAAATTACTTCTTTGTAGTCATTTTGATTATCGAGGTCTTCGAAATTCTGTAGAAAAATTGAACATTTATAAATTTAATAATTCAAATTAGTTATCTTTAAGTTTTGTCATTATACTCATTAAGAGCTACCAATACATCTTTCAGATATTAGCTTTAATACATTCTGCTGCTCTCAAACATCATTATTTTATTGTTATCCACCTTCTTAAGTATTTTAATCAGATCTTCACATATTTTCATTTAATATTCAACCAATTATCAAATTTTTTCTGGTATAGGATTAAGTTTTTAGCTTAATTAAGATAAGTATTAATTTACTCAATATTTCTCTACATTTATTTCAAATTTTACAAAAAAGTTATTGTAAAAGTTTGTATTGTATAAATGACCAAATTAATCTAAAAATAACTTACATATTTAATCCAATTTGAATTTTGTTATTTATTCATAATTTTCAAATTTGAACAATCCATAAATTATCCTAACAAGCATGAATCTAAGAGAAGCTAAATTTTGGAAATGAGCAAAATCATATATATTGTAATATTTAAAAATATTTTCAATTAATATTTCATATATCAATTAATTTAACTCTTATATCATAATCAAGTATTTGCTTCAAACATTCAATCGCAAAATAAGAATTTCCTTTTTTAAGATATAAATAATTTTTATATTTAATCACTCTATTAATGAAGTCAACAACTAATTCCTTTTATCTTCTTTGGTTGACACCTATATTTACTTCAGGTATATTCTGTTTTATAGATGGGTAGTTGGGTGGTTAAATATTGAAATTTGGATTTGGGAATTGTTTTTAAAATTATTATTAAGACATTAAGTTTTGAAATTATTATTAAAGCATCTGGTTTTATTATTTATCTAAAGGAACTGGGCTTTAAAATTGTTATAAAGATGCTTGGTTTTATAATTATTATAAAATTACTGGATTTGGTAAAGGGAATTGATTTTTTGAAACTATAGATTAGTTTATTGTAAAAATACTTGATTAACACTAAATTATGGTTGAGACTTTTGATTCCCAGTAAAAAGTTAAATATTTACAAATTAGTTTGTTTCTGGAGAACTTTATGGTAAGGGTATTATTGATAATTCTATATGATAAAAAATTGATAATTATTTTAATCAATAAATAAATATTGTGAATTATATATATAAAATAATAATATTTTTTTTGAAATGAGGAAACCTAAAACAAATAAAGATCAACAAAATATTGAAGAATAATAACCATAACATGTAATAAAGGAAGAAAAACCTATCAGTGACAAGTATTCAGTCAAATATAATTCAAAAACTCAATTAAGATTGGATGAGAAGGACAGTTTTGTATTAGGAGAGCCAGGAACAAAAATATATAGTGTGAAATGGGATGCTGATGATAAATATATTGCATGTGCTTGTGAGAATGGAACAGTTCGAATTTTCAATATCAAAAAAAGATAACTGTCATATTTGATAAATTCTCTTCTGCCCGGCACACCATTTTCATATGTGAAATGGAGACCTCAAGCATAACAATTTAAGACAAGAAATATCTTTGTAACAGGAAATACAAAAGGAGAAGTACAACATTGGCATATGACAAGTGGAAAATGTTTGGGAACAATGAAGGAAGATAATTCTGATATTTATTGTATAGATTATAATTAGGATGCTACTAAATTAGCAGTTTGTGGATTGAATCCAATAATTAGAATTCATGATGAAGAAAAAAGAGTTGTTGATGTTAGATTAGGAGTAGAATAAACATAACCTCCAGGTCATAATAATAGAGGTATTAATTCATAATATAAATAGTTTATTGTGTAAAATTTCATCCTCAAAATCCTAATATGTTAATATCTGGTGGTTGGGATTATAGAGTATTAATATGGGATATCAGACAAAAGAAGCCTGAGGCTAATCAAATATATGGTCCCTTAATTTGTGGAGATGGTATAGATATGAGAGAGTCTTTTGATGGATAATAATTATTAACAGCTTCATGGACACAAGAGAAATAATTATAAACTTGGGATTTAAGAACTTGTAAACTCATTTGTAATTTTGATTGGAATTCTCAAATAAAGGTTAGTAATCAACCTTGTCAATTGTATAGTGGACAATTCTCAAGAATATTTGATAATTAATTAACTTTAGCTGGAGGATCTGGAGAAAATGAAGTTAGAATCTTTGATTCATAAGATTTTGATAATGCTTAAATATGCATTCATGATTTATGTAGAGAAGTCAATACTGTTGACTGGGCACATAAAGATTCAAGATTTGCTTTCTCTGGTGGTGATGGATACTTGAGAATATTTGAAATATAATAAATAAATTGAATTAATGTAAGAACGTTTTATGAGGGCTATCCAAGAGTTGGATGCTCTTTTAGCAGAAACCGAAACTGGCAAAATTAAGCTTAGTCTTACTCTTAAAGATTTAGCATAATTGCATCACTTACAGTCTAGACTTCAAGAGTGTAAGTTTCTCAATTCCATCTACTCAGAGGAAAGCAGAATTAAGTAACTGTCTCTCTTATCAACTTTAGATAATACCTTAGTAAAGCTGTGACAGTTAATCTATAAATATAAGAAGAATTGTGTTCCACTATAGAGTCTCAAATGGATTCAATTACAGTATCCCATTAATAAATAATTAAGTCTAACTTTAAACATTTAGATAAGTTAATTCTCTATATATTGAATTAAACTATGAATAGAGCTACCATGAAAAATGTACTTTAATAAATTAGCAATATTATTTTGGGCAGTAATAATTTCACCATGCTTCGATTCTAAGAAAAATCTGTTGAGAGTGTCTCTACTGATCAGTTTATTGAGGTAAATTATTCTTCTCAAAATAGTAATAACTCTCTTAACAATAGAAATTATAACTTTACTAATAATTTCGTGGTGATCAACTTGAAATAATCACTTTCTAACCTAATGAGCAATTGCAACACATATTCAAATGCAATTTATTATAGGTGATTAGAGTACCTCAAAAAATGAATGCTTAAACCCATTCCTCACTCATCATATATGAAGCACAACAATTAGCCTTATTGCCATTATCCAAACCCCATTAAATTAAATTGATTTGTGATCAACTTATCACTATAGGTTATGACTATTTAAATGAGAATTTCCAGTAAACATTTCTGCTCAATATCATTTAGTAAAGATGATTTAATCAATTCAGTTAGAGCCATTGGGTAATTTTTAATAAAAAATGCTCCAATCATATTTTAGGAATACATTAGAAATGAAATACAAAAAAAACTCAATACAAAATGGTATTCTTTAATTACATTTTAAAGTGAAATAATTTAATCAACAAAAAACTCCAAAGACACTAGTTTTGCAATAATAGAAAATTAAACGAAGTGTTTTATTCCAGTTATGTCGAATCAAGTTGTTTAATTTTATTTGCATATGGAAAATGTAACTTTGGACATAATCACTTTTGCAGATTTTGTATTTATCCATCTGATCTATATTAGATGTCACAATTATGGTAGCACTTTAAACATTCATTAAGAGAATTAAAAGATAAAGAATTTCTATACTAAATTATTGAAGTAAGTACACCAACGAAATTAGTAATTGCATCTGATCTTCATTTAAATATCATTTATTAAAGTGGTTCTGTACCATCTTCATGGAATTTTTTGGATCTGAGCAATTAATAAATTGATTGTTATTAAAATTTGACAGAAATTAAAATGGAAAAAATTTATAAAACAATGTTACTTTCATCAATAGATGAAGTTTAGTAAAGCAAAAAAGGTGCAATTGATGCTGGATAAATCATATATCATGATAAATATGTTGATATTGCAATTTATGTAAAAAAAGACGAAAAAAATGAAATAAATTAATTCTTTATTGTATTCGATTAACCAAAGAAAAGATTTGAATCACAACGTCAGTCAAAAAGTGAGATCAAAGTATCAGAAACTCTAGCAAGCTTGAAATAAGAGAAAATAGAAAAAGCATGTTTGGTTTTATAAGAAACATTGAATCTTAATTTATAAACAGAGGAAATTATTGAAATGCTTAAGGAGCATGCATTGATGACAATTATTGAATAAAAAGAATAAATTACTGAAGATATCAGATAAACTTATGTTTTAGAATATTATAGAAATTCTGAACAAGTGTAAACATATCGCAGAACAATAAGTGAACCTGATACTCCTTTTGCAACTAAAACTTTAATATAAGAACAGTAATTGACTAATGCAAAAAGTAATTATGTAATTAATTAAATTAGAAATGGAATTATTTTAATTAAGACCCGATGATTTGGAAAATTTAGCTAATTGGTGTTTTGATATCACAGTTTAAAAGGATTAAATAAAGCATTATACTTGGGCATTATTCCATTTATTAAACTATTTTGACAAATACTAGATGTATAAGGAAACATTTTTTCAATTTTTAGTTGCAATAGAAGAGAGATACAATAGTCGACGTAATCCCTTTCATAATTTTGAGCATGGCTTTACTGTAGCTCATGCATGTTATTATATGATAAAAAATAAACTTTTAGATGGATATTTAGATGAAACTGAATAATTTGCAGCAATATTGTCATCTTTATGTCATGATATAGATCATACAGGTCGTACAAATGGATTTGAAGTAGCAAGAATGTCAAAATTGGCTGTTCGTTACAATGATGAAAGTGTTTTAGAAAATCATCATGCAGCAATGACTTTTAAAATAATGTAGAGAGAGAAATATAATATATTATCTAATCTTTCTCAAGAATAATTTCAAAAAGTAAGAAGATTCATGGTTTCAAACATTTTAGCAACAGATATGAAGAAACATTTTGATTTAGTTTCTTAATTTGAAATCAAGTATAAAAATGGAGAAATGAATATAATTAATATGGAATCAAAGCGTGTTTTATCAGGATTGATAGTTCATACTTGTGATTTGAATTAGCCAACAAAGAAATTTGAAATAACTAAGAAATGGTCTATAAGAATATAGAATGAGTTTGATAATTAAGTAGAAGAAGAAAGATTATTGGGATTGCCTGTAACTCAACATTTAGTATGTTAAAATTTACCAAAATAAGAATTGTCATTTATAAGAGTATTTACAATATTAATTATAGAACATCATTTAACCTTTATATGTGTTGACATCATCGATTTTGAATAATGGATTATAAATTGCATTGACATATTTGGAAGAGAATGAAAAAGAATGGACTAAATTACTGAATTGATAAAAGAAATATGGATGCATTGATTTAATAATAATTATGTTTTATAGTAACGAAAGAGCTGAGAAATTAGTGGAATGGTTTCGATAATTAATTCAAAATTTCTATTCTTAAGATGCACAGATGATTACCATGGAAATGAACAAAGGCATTTTGACTCTCCTGAGTGTACCTCAAGAACAGAATGTGTTTTGTTCCCAAGAGTATACAGTATTTTCATTTCAACATTAAAGGTAGTAAATTTCATACCAAAAACATTGTTACGATGTTTTATGAGAATCAGTAATGTATTTCTACTTATGATTTCATTGATTATGATAATAAATCCATTACTTTCTCCATACTTGAGTTGGATTATAATTGTATAAATCTCAAGTGGTGCAATTATATTTATTTCCAATGAAGCTATATGTGATTTTTAAAGAAGAAGCTCTGACAAAATTATAAATCAACAATCCACTAAAAGAGGTGCCAAAAATGGTGGTATAGAAGAAATCAAATGGTAAGACATTAATATAGGAGATGTATTACTCTTAAACAAAGGGGACATAGTCCCTGCAGATATTATTGTATTGGATACTGGATAAGTCAGAGATAGAGAAGCTGTTTGCATGGTAGATTCTACTTATTGTGATGGAAAAAGTACATTTACAAAAAAGAAAAGTTGTTATTTGACTTAATGTAACTATTATCATAATATAATTAGTAATTGTTTTAAGAACTAGACAGAAATCTCAATTTGCAGAATATAGAAAATTATTAACTGGTCGATTAGAATATGAAGTACCTAATGGACACACAAATATTTTTCGAGGAAGATTGAAATTAAAGAAAGATCCTAAGGTAGAATTCTTGTCAATAGAAAATCTGATATTTAAAGGATCAACAATAAAATAAACTTCATGGTTATTTGGATTGGTTGTTTATGTTGGTTCTAAAACAAAAAACTCTATGAGTTCAAAAAAGAATAAAGCTAAATGTTCTCATGAAGAAAATCTGGTAGATTTCATTTCATTGTTCATGATAACGTTAATCCTATTTTTCTCTTTAGTAAATTGATTTGTTATTTTAGATTTCAATAATTGTGCTACTAGCCAGATCAGATGATATAACATTCGCTTTGAGCATTGATAAGAACACATAGAATGGAATGAAGATATTTAATCTTCTCATTCTTTATAGTTAATTTATACCAGCTAATATATTTATGATTCTTGATATTATTAACATAGTGAACAAATTTAGATTTAAATTACACAGACCTTAAACATTTTCTGAATTAGGTTCTTTGGATTATATGTTATTGGATAAGACTGGTACTATTACAACGTCTTATTACAAATTAGACAATTTTTAATTTGGATCTTAAGTTTTCAACCTAAATCATGATTAATTATTCAATCAACTAACAAAAAATAAAAGAATTGATGAAGAGGAAGATGTTATTAAATTTGCATCTATATTTGATCAAGAATATTATATTCCAATGGAATATGATACAGTTAATCGTAGAACAAGTCAAGTTATTGATTTGATGCCTAATTAAAATAAAAAAGTATTAAAATCAGTTAAAACATCTAATAATCAATAATTATTTAGTTAGGTTCTTGAACAATAATATAATTTTTAGCCAAATAGCGTTAGAAGCTAAGATTTTCATGAAATGATTAGTTTACGTAAATCTATGTTATTTTAACATAAAAAGAGGAATTTATTACATTAACACTAATCTTTAATGAACAATAATAATGATGAGTTTTTATAAATGATTAATCAATATAAATAGAAATCTCCACAATTAGAATATGCTGAATTATAAAATGAAAATGCTCTTTATTATGATTGTTTTATGAAATGTTTAATTTTGTGTCATGAAGCAAGACCAGTATATTTGAATGATGTTTAATATGAATCATTTTCTAAAAATGAGGAAATAGCGTTAGGATTTGCTAGATTATGTGGTTATTAATTAGAATCTTTTAATAAATTTGATAGTCCTGATGCATATCTTTGCAAAATACGAAATCAAAAAGTCTATTATGATATTTTGGGATTAAATTAATATACAGAGAATAGAAATGTTAATTCAATTGTTGTTTAATCATAAAAAAGTGGAGATATAGGTGATTGGGATAGTTGTGCTATTTCTCATTTAAGTGGAGAAGGTTCTAAAAATAAATCTTTACTTATATGCAAAGGTGATTATGATGCATTAAAAATTAAATTATAACTGACTCCAAAAGAGAAAGAAGAATTAGAATAACATATTCAAATATTAAAAATGAGAGGAGTAAGAATGATTCTTTATGGAACAAGAGTTTTAAATGAGAAAGAAACTGAAGAGTATAAAAAATAATTTAATTTATTGAAAAACTCCTTAACAAATTAGGATGACTAATTAGAATAATTAGCCAATCAATATGAATAATAATTATCTATTATTGGTATGATTGGTTTCAAGGAGGAATTAAAATAAGATGCTTATGAGTTTATCTAAGCTACAAAAAGCTAAAATATTCATATATGGCTATTAAGTGGGGATTAAGAAGCTTAAACAATCAGTTGTGCTTAGGCTTTATAAATAAATGAATCAATTTATAACAAATATTTATAGATATAGCAAACTGAAAATGAAAAAATCTGGTTTTAATTAAATACATGCATTGGAATTATTTAATCGGAGATGGTTAAACAATAATTATGTAATGAAGATATTAATACTCTCATTAATTCAAGTTCAACTATTTATGATGGAATAAATTACTAAAAGATGTTAAAGTTTACGCTTTTAGTTAATGGAAATTCTTTAAATATTATTTAAAAAGATAATGATTTAATGAGTCATTTTAGATTCTTGGCAGGAATATGTAAAAATGTCATTGGCTATAATTTGAATTAATAACATAAAGAGATGATGTGTAAGATTATTAGAAATTTCTTAAAAAAGAATGTAATAGCTATTGGAGATGGATATAATGATCAATTAATGATGCAATATTCAAATATTTCCGTAGAAGTTATTAACAATAAGTATAAAAATTCGGTAATTAATACAGGAGATGTAAAAGTCTAATATTTAGGAGAAATAAAAGAACTTTTATTGTAAGGTAAGATTTATTAGGAAAAATTACATCATTTAATATTGTATTGTTTTTTTGCTGCAGGATTAATGGGAATGTCATTATTCTTTTTTAATTGGTTTTGTTATTTCACATCAACAAGTCTGCATGGAAGCTTAAATTTATTTTTATATGTGTAAATATTCATAGGAATAAATGCACTTTTAATAGGATTATTTTCTAATTAAACATCATATTATATAAATCAACTTTATCCTTCACTTTACATTGATGGATAAATAAGAGTAAGAATTATTTGGAAAATATTTTTGTTAAATATGATTGAATCTTTTTTAACATCAGCATTTATATTTTATATGATTATCTACTAATTTAACTATGCAATAAATGATAAAGGACACACTAATGATTTAAAAATGGAATCATTAGGTATTATTTATTGTTTCTTGATTATTATTACTTTGAGGGTATCTTTTATTTTAAATAATTTTGGAAAATTAATTTAATTAAAACTAATATTTATTTTAGTCTTAATAATTATATTTCATGATTAATATAAAAATGAAACTTATTAGATATTTACTAGATACAATTGTATAATTTCAATAATATAATCATTAATATTATCTTTTACAATAAGATACTTATTTTAAGATGTAATACGATTACGAATATTTCCAAGTGTTTATGAATAATTGTAATTTAGGTATGAATAAGATAATGAGTCAATTAATAATCAGTAGATTATCAACCAATATTTAGATTAACAAATGTATATTAAATTTTGATATCATAGAAATATATCACATATTATATCTTAAGTATTCAAAGATTGCAAAGTTTTATCTCCATATATTTAAGAAATATTGAATCCTGGGGATACAAAAATTACAGAAATGAAATTATCGAAATTGACTCTTACAATAAATGACTTAATAGTGGAATAGAAGTTTCTATCAATAAAACTGTAAGAATCACTCAATAACTATCGCTTATTTTTGACTTTGTTGTTGATCTACTTTGGAATATATTGTTTCATCGATTTTTTCATTAATCACTAAAGACTTCAAACTGGTTTACAATATATAACAATATTCTGTATTTTTGCCATCATCATCACATACATAATGAGCAGGCATTTTTAATAAAATTACTATGTTAATTCTCATATGATTTTTGTTGTGTTGTATATTATTAAAATTGCATTCGATTGGCTGAGTGATGATCTTAGTTTCATAATGTCATCAGTTTTAGTAGTTTTATTTACAACAAATAATACAATGAACATAAACATTATACCAATTTTTGTGTACAATATAATTTACATCATACAATTAATAGTAAGAATCATATTGGTTTTAATTGTTGATTCTTCTTTATCTACTTAAGTCTATTATAATCACACTAGAGTTGTGATTTATGGATCTAGCACTTCAATCCTTTTGATGTTAAGCTTAACTTTTAGTTTACTTTATACATTATATAAAACAATATAACACAGAAGAACTGATTTTTTAGCAAAATATTAGATAGAACAAGATAATTTGGCGGCAAATGATATATTATCAATTTTAGTCCCTAAATTTGTTCGTAATCAAATTTAACTTGGTAGTTTACATATGTAAGAAGCTTAAAATGATGTTTCTATACTTTTTTGTTACATTTGTGATTTTGATTCAATAATGAAGGAAGAAGGAAGAAATGTGGTTTTAATGCTAGATTCATTATTTAGAATATTTGATAATCTATGTTTATAACATGGAGTTTAAAAGATTGAAACTGTAGGGTATACATACATGGCAGCAACTGGTATTAAAGCTTCTGAAATCAATATTTCCCCTCATATGTTAAAAACAGAGAAAACCATGAGACTTGTAAATATGGCATTTGATATGATGGAATAAATTAAAGGAAGATAATATGGAAAAGGAAATTAAATAGAAATGAAAATTGGTATTCATGTTGGCAGAGTTATTGCAGGTCTTATTGGGCATCATAAACCTTAATTTTCTTTGATTGGTGATCCAGTTAATTAAACAAGTAGAGTTGGTTCAACGGGAGAAATTGGTGCAATAACACTTTCAGAAGAAGCTTTTAAATAAGCAAAACATGGTATTAGATACTATCATAAAAAATAAAAGGAAGCTAAAGGATTAGGTTTGATCGATACTTATTAAGTTTTTAAAATTAAACCAAACAACTATTAAATTCCAATCAATTAATAACGATGGTAATAATTAGCTAAATTAGTTATTAAGTAATAGAAACTAAAAAAAAATCTTGCAGGAGAGACTTAAAAAGAAACCATTTTATAGAAAATTTAAAATTCATTAAATAATTTACATGATAATAGTTTTTGGGGAAGTTAAAAAATATCTAATTCACCCAAAACTTAATTTGCACAATCTTTATTAAATGTACACTCTTTGCCTGATCAACGAAGACATAGTTAATTAGATACTATTCCAATTTAGAGTTTAGCAATTTTAGATAGTGAAGAGACATAAATAAACGATCCGTAATAAGTTTCAGATGATGATGAGAAACATAAAGGATTGCTAAAGCCCAATTTATTGTTAATGATTCCAGAAAGTTAAAACGAGATAAAGAGAAGCTTTTATAATATACATTATGAACAATAATAATTTGAAAGTCATTTTGGTTTACTATCACTTTGGATCATTTATTTTGTAATAACACTACTTAATATTATTATAAGATAATTCTTCGGACAATAATACGATATATTTTTTATTAGAGTATTAATTTATTATTTATGATTAGTCCTTATTTTTAATTTGCTTGGTAATTTTATTACCTATTATTAAACAAACTTATAAAAATATCTACATAAATTGGATATTTTATATTGTATTTTAATATGGAACTTTTACTATCATATATGGAACATATCTAGCTAATAATAAATTAGTTTCCACAATTTCAATGGTTGAGTTGATTTATTTAGTTATTGTAGTATGTTCTTTGAAGATGTTTACATTTGTTTAAATTTTAATTTTTATGCTTTTGCTTTTTACATCATTTTTAGCATTATTTATTGATAACAAATAAATAACTCATTATTATGTATTCTATTTATTATCAGCAATAATTTTATCATTAATAGGTTATTATAAAGGAATGTCTGAGTTAATAGAAATGTATAATAATTTGTAATTGAATGAATAGAAGAAGGTTAAATAGATTTCATTAGTGAGTCAATTATTACCAACACATTCATATTTAAAAATGAAAAATAATACACTTTATAATCGATCTGAATTTATTGATGATTTAGATGATGTTACTTTATTATTTGCAGATATTAAAGGATTTACAGAATATTCACATACTTAATCTCCAGAAGGAGTTGTTAAGATGTTAAGAAATCTATTTACTGAATTTGATAAATTGTGTTTACAATTTAATGTTTATAAAATGTATACTATTGGAGATTGTTATGTTGTTATGGGTTTTTAATAAGCTAGTAAGAGAAATGTAATATATTTATTTATTAAAAATTAGCCAATTCAAGAAGCCATTAATACTGTGAAAATGGGATTTTCTATGATTGAAATAATAATGGAAGTAAGAAAATTGATTGATTTTCCTTTATTAAATATGAGAATAGGAATACATACAGGATCTATAATTGGAGGAATTATAGGAACAGATATAGTTCGATATGATATTTATGGATAGGATGTTAGTATTGCAAATAAAATGGAGAGTTCTGGAACTGAAGGACATGTGTAAATATCTGAAACTACAAAATTAATGATAGAGAGAGCAGAAAGAAATCCTTTTGTATTTTAATTTAAATAAAATGTGGAATTAGCCAAATTTAATACTTCAATAAATGGATATCTAGTAGAATGGGAAAGAAAGAAAAGGGATCGAGGTGAAAGTCATTTTAGAGGGGAACCTAATTTAATGAGAGATATAAAAGAAAGTCAAAATTTGTGAACTATTGATTTATATTATAATAATTAGTTTATAAATACATTAAATAAAATTTTATGATATTAATACATAAATCAGATTAGTTTTTATTTTGAGAAATTTATTTAAATAGATTTACCATCTAATTCTAGTCCATTATTATTAGCCAAAACAGTAAGTGCTATTTCTGCACTTGCAAATCTAAGAATAGCCATATATTTAGTTGCATTTGTAATGATCTTATATTGTTTAATAATTCCATACTCTTATAAGTATTGTTATAGTAAATTTAATTAACAAGAATTCTTAGTTAAATTAGATACCTATATTGTATCACAAGGAGGTGCCAAAGTATATGTGCTTTCAGGTTTAATTCGATGTGTTTCTTCTCCTCCTTAAAAATATTCTTCTTAAGCTTTCAGATCTTAAGTATACTCTCCAGGTTTACTTGGTTAAACTTTTAATGAAATTTCATCATAATTTGAAAAAAATATCTTTTTTTTAAATAGTATGGTACTTTAATTGATTATCCGTAAAACATTATATCATTAAGAGATTCTTTTGCAATAGCAGCATAATCATTTGTCATATATTGTATTAAAGCACTTGATCTTTCTTTTAAATAGATCATTTTATCTATATTGCCATAGATACTAAATAAATTATATAACATTTATGATGTAACAACTTTTCTATCAAACCATCTAGCATAAATAACTTTAGATTTTTTAGTTTCTATTTAAATTTAAAATTAAATTATACATTAAAGTAATTTAGAATTTGAATAATCATCTATTTTATCTGCACTTGATTACATTTTGTCAAATTAAAATTTTTCTACTGATTATAATGTTACACTCTTTGAAACTGGCATTCTAACCATTTTATTTTTAAATTAATCTTAATTAGATGTCTAAATTTATTAAAAAGATGGTTAAATAGATTATTAAACAATTTAAGATGGTTATTATAAAATTTATTATGGTTTTTCAAATTTATATTAAAATTGATTGATTTAATTCTTATTTTCTGAATTCTAATCAAAATATTGTAAAAATTCATTATGTTATTCTTCATCATCCTCTTCATCTTCACATTGATCAGATCCAGTTATTTCATTATCTGATTCTCTTAATCCTAATCCTTGAAAATTTAAATCATCTTCATATGCATCACAAAGAGGATCAGCATTATTATTCTCTTAATAACTTTACAAAAATTCTATCTAATCATTTTTCTTTTATTATTATTCAGCAGGCAATGTTAATTTTTTACGATTTAATTGTTTAGATGGAACATTTTATTATGATGGATCATCAGATTTATTAACTCCTTATAGAAAATTTTGATATTAATCAGTTAAGTGTTAGAAATTAGATTAGTATTCAAAAATCTAGTTAAGTAATTATTACTATTTTTCAATTTAAGATTAAAGATCAACTGATGATACTGTAGGTATAGAAAAACCTTCAGCACTCACTAATTAAAGTTATCCCATTACTGAATTAATTTATTGAATTTGTTAAGACATTTGATTTTAAAATTGCATTTATGATTACAATAATTAAATAGGTATCTATTACTATGGCTATTAAGATGCTGGCTGTTGTTATTTACGTAATAATGTGTAATCTAGAGTAAATGATAAATTATACCAACTCCACCAGTGTTGTTTTCTTGGAATGTAATGTAGGTTAGTTTACTAGCATAAACATTCATGGGCAATTAAGGATCATCACAAAATAATTTATCATTCATTATTTATCTAGCTTTATTAGCTGACTCTAGGTATTCAAATTCTATAAATGTTTTCCAAGTTAATGATCTTTCAAATATTAGCATCTATAAATAATAGAGTAATAACAATTTTTACTCTTTGAATTGTTCCAAATTGACTAAATACTTTAAAATATTTATCATGTCCTAGAGTTTTATTAGCTTTGTTTGTAATCACCACCAAAATCACATTTGTTGTTTCTTAATTCATTAATTAATTAATAAGAATTCTTAATACGATATATTATATATAGTTTCATGCTTTTTTTTTGTTAAATCCATTAGATTTGGTTCCTGAGCCACTTTCTCTTCTCACTCCATCTACTAATTAATTTCTTAAATTTCGAGACTCTTATTACGCTTACTATAATTATTCCTCTAAAGTATTATTTTATTCCATTATTTATTCCAATTGTTCATTCAATTTATTAATCTCTTCCTTCAAACCTTAAAATTTCTTTATTACATCCAAATACCTTCTGTCCTTGCTTATTCTTTTTATGCTCTCTCAATTTATTTCTCTCCATTTTACACACTCTTCACATATTTGTCTTTCCAAATTTCTATTTCTTTTAAATTCTCCTAAATCTTCATTTCTTAACATTACTTATCCCTTGTCATATTCTCTCCTATGGCTATTAACTTTTCCATTTAAGTCTTAATATGTTCATTTTCAATCAATAAACCTATAATCTATACATATCAATACTTGCTATCCTATTCTCTAAAGCTTTTACTTCATTCTAATTTCTTTATGCTTAAGATTTCATCTTTTATTGTTCAATTGTTGAATTTTTTATTTAATCTTGAATTTATCTCTAATTATCATTGTACTATTTTTATTAATTAATTAATTCTATTTTCATTTGGTCTTGAACTTATTTGACTTCTTAAGCACATTCTAATTTAATTTACTATATTTAATTATCTTTTTGATAAATAGTCTATTTAACTTACTCTTATAATTGATTGATTTTTTAATTTTTTTCTTTGATTTCTAAATTCTATTGGTCAATCTTTTCTTAAAGTTTTTTTATTTTATTATCTAATTCAGTTAATTTTATTTGTTCCCCTCTTAATTTTAATTCATCCATACTTTTCTCTCTAACTCTGATAGGTACTTACTTTTACTACTATTAAAACTCTTCTAATTTATTTTCATTAATTTATTATATTTCTAATAATTTTTGATTAGTTTTCTCTAAATCTGAAATCTTGCCTTTGCTACTAATATCATCCTTTTTTATTTTCTATTATAATTAAAAGTTCAATTCTCCCAACTAATTATTTTTTTTAAGTAATTTTTCATATTATTAATAAATATCATCAGATTCTCCTTAAAGCGACTTATATTTTGATAATTTTAATTTTGATACTTCAGCTTATAAATTTGAAATTGTATTTTTGGCTGTTTTCAATTCTTCTATAAAAGAAGGAGAAGAATTATTTCGATTTTGATTTGCTTTAAAATTTTCAATAATATCTATTTTTTCTTAAATTTCGCATCTATATTAATCTTTCATTTTTGCAATTTCTTTTTGGTGTTTTTCATTAATAATTTTAATTTTTTATTCATATTTATCCTCCAAAATTACTTTAGCTTCATTTTCTCGACTCTTTTCAGATGATATTGCCTTTTATAAATTTCCATTTTCTTCTAAAAGTAACTGTATTTTTTTAGAAAAATCTTAAATCTTTAATTGTAATTCATTATTTTAATGAGTTAAGATTTCAATTTCTTTTCCTCTCTTATTAGCAAGTACACCTAATGAAGTATCAGAAGAACATTATTTCTCTAAATGTATTAATTTATCTCTTAAATCCTCAACTATACGATTCTTTTCTTTGAGTTATTCTTCAACTTAATGTAACTAATAATTAGATTAGAATGAATACTTTAATTTTTGACGTTTGAATTTCATCATTTAATCTTTTTTCATTAATAAATCGTTCCTTTAATTGTTGTTCCAATTTCTGAATAGTATCTGCAATTTCAGTAGATTAATTACTCGTGTTCATCTCCAATAATTATACTACTTTATCATTTTCTTCCAACAACATTCCAATTTACTGATCTTTCTTTTCACCAAGTAATCTCATTTATCTAAGATCATTGAGTGCATCTTCAAATTATCTACCTATTTGTTAGGCTTCTTAAGATGTTTCATCTAATTAAGATTTTTATCTCTATATAACATTTTCTTATTATTTTAATTTGATTTCCAATTCTAAGATTCTCTTCTCCAACACCTTTCTAGCTGCTATTTCTTTGGAAACTTCTGATACTTCCTTTATTGTACGAGAAGGACTCGAATGTAAAGCAATTTGACTCCCAGTATTTTTGATATGTTAACTCATTTACAACTGCAGATTTATTAATAAATTTTATATAAATATTGAACACATATATATGAAGATTTAATACTATAAACAAATTCAATTATCAGAATCATCATCCAAATGCTCTTCTCCTTCTGGCTCTTCTTAATAATTTTCTGGATCTCCCTCATATTCACTTAAACCTTCATAATCTTCTTAAGCAACATTCTCTTTCTTTTTGTCTTCCTTATATTTTCTAATTTCATCTAACACATATTCTTATTCTTTTTCATCATCAATCTCTTATTCTGATTCTTCAAGTTCTTCACCAGCTTATTATCTTTATTTCTCAGACATAACCTTTTATTTTATTAATTCCTCCTATTCATAAAGAAGTTTTTGAGCTTCACTCTACAAATTACTTTCACCCTTTCCTCCTTTTATATGTTATTCAATTAATCTTATTAATTCTTTTACTTTTATTTTATTTCCAACAAAACCAAAATCTTCAGATGTTCTTTTCAATTATTTCTCCAAAAATAATGTATATTCATTAAACCATTATTCTTTTGAAAATATTGCTAAATACACTACAATCTTATTAATCACTTACTAACAAAAATCTGCCCAAAAAGTTCCTGATTACTTATATTTGGGTTTTATTACAATATTTATTTAAAAATCATATGGTTTAACACTACTCTTCAACTTTTTTCTCTTTAATTCTGCACAATTCAACATTCTTAGAATATAACTCAATAAATTTTAATTAACCTTATAAATTTATGAAACTTTGATTAAGATATCAATTAACTGTAATTAAAAAGTGTAATTATCTATACAAGGATAAAAATCTAAAACGGATTAGGCAATTTAAATAAATGGAGGCATTAAATCAGCCAATTAATTTTCTCTTTTATGTGTACAAATTACTTATGCCCATAATTTTAGTACATTTAAAGTTTATTAATTGTAAATAGATTAAACATTCTATTAATTCTTTGAAACACTAGCATCTCTAATCTTTTTTACCAATTTCTATAAGCTCAAATAAACTACTTAATATGCCTAGTTCATATTCATATTACATAATTCAGTAATACAATTAATCATGAAATTTATTGCTTCATAATTTCTCCAAAGTACATGTTTGGCTGACTCCAAATATTTCTCATAAAATTTCTATTTAATTATTTAAATTCTTATACTTTTAAAATATCCTATTGTTAATGATCAACCATTGATTAAAATACTTTTCTAATCTAAACAAAAGCTTGTAATTTAATTTGTAAAGATAAATGATCACCCCATATTTTTATTAATAATTTTAATGATTTCTTTTACAAACTTTCAAAAGCTGTTAAAACTACATTTAAATTTCCTAATGCACGTATAACAAATAGGATTGTTCCTTCTTATGCTTCTTGTGTTTCTATAGTATGTTCCAAAAAATTCATTGCTTTAATGAAAAATCCTCTTATGATTACCTAATGAATATGAGATTCAATATGTTCTCTCTTAAATGTTTCAGCATAATCCACTTAATAAAAATCTCTTAAAATATTTGGAAGTTGTATCAATGAAAATTAAATAATCTTAGAGTAATCCTCAGGTTCTTTAAAATACTTTGTAATAGCTTAATCTGGTTAATCTTCATCCTAATCTCCTTTAGATGCAAGTCTAAAAAGCTTGATTAGAAGAGAAATGCTCTTAAAATTTGGAGATTCTGTGATTTTCTCAAAGAGTTGATTAATAATCATTAATTAAATATGTTACTTCATAACATTAAAATATGTATAGCAAATATATATTTCAGGTTGCTATTCCTATAAAACCCTTTATAAATAAAGAATGGTAAATTTTGGATATAACAACTCTATCGATTTAGTTCAAGAAACCATAACTATCATTTCACCTATTGAAACTCCTATTAATAAAAAAATTACACATAAAATTTAATTGGATTTTTTATAGAATGGTATTTCAAAAAGAAATCTTTGAAACAACTCTTTATTTTCAATTTCTACAAATAATTTATGCCATTAATTTTAATATTGCAAGTTATGGAACTTCAGGATTTGGTTAATAACATAAATATTATTAACTTTTTTAGTATAGACTATTAAAACATGTTGATTAATATGGATAATTAATTCGTTCCATCAATAATATCGTTTAAACTATCTAAAATAAGATAAGGAATATTTTCATTAATTTTTTTATCTGGAAATCTTGGGAGTAACTACATGATTTACTTAATAATATGAATACAAATCTAGATATTAGAGATGATTAAGAAAAGGAGTTATTATTCATCTTATAAAAGAAATCGAAAATTCAACTACTATATAAAAATTGATTTAACTTATTCACATTGCTAAAAAAATAAAATCTCTTAAAAAAATACGAAATACTCATATTCTCATTTTTTATTCAAGATCATCCACAAGCATGGTGACTAAAATTATTTTTGCTAGTTTGGGATCGATTGAAATGGGTATCTTTTACAAAAAAAAGAAAAAAAATATCCATCATTTATTCTTTATAGAAATAGCAAATTAATTAGATTTTTCAAAGAATATCTAGAAAGCAATTCTAAAAAACTCACTATTTCATGTGCAAGTTTTGCTATTCTTGATTATGAAGATACTTTTCAAACATTTAACTATATTGAATATAATTAAATGGCTAAAAAGATTAATATCTAAACTTCTATTAAAAATTTTTCTTAAAATAAACAATAATTAATCTTAGAATAAACTAATCATGATTGACTTACTTAAGATGAAGAATTAAAAAATTAACTTAATAAATAAGTTTTAAATTAATTCAAAATTAAAACATTTTATTATTCAATATTTCAACAGAGAATCTTAAACTTATAAAGATATTTAAATTACAATAAGAATAAATCACTATAAAAACTAAAATCCTTAGAACAAATTGATCAATAGAAAGAAAAAAGTATCTTTCGTTAAGAAATGATATTAAAGTGCTAATTTAAAATTAAATGATATAATTGTAAAATTAACTAATAATTTCACATTGCAATAATAGATGTGACATCTTTATTGATTATAAAATACCAAGTAAAATAATTTAGTTGATTTTGATAAATTTTATATCTCATTAATGTTTCTAAAATCTTACTACATTCAGAAAACAGCAATTTTTTTTACAAGACATTTTCAATAAAAAGATCTTTTATGTATAAAAATTAAATCAGATTGAGCCTTTTAATAGAAAAATAAATTAGTCACTTCATATGTCAAAGAGTTCATTAATTAAGAAATAGAAATGAAGATAAAATTACATTAATTAAACTAAAAATAAAAAATATCCTAAAAAAATAATATTTCTTTTATTTTTCTTATTATTTAACTTACTCATAATCTAAATTAACCAGGCATGTATCCTTAAGAATTTATTCCTATTTAATTATTCCTTTATGGACTTGAATTATAGAGACCCCCTAAATAAAGATTTGGTTATGCTCTTTAAGGTTATTACTAATATGTTTGAGTAAGTCCATATTATGCTTACTAAGATTATTAAAATTATTAATTAAATTGAGGAATTTGTTATAATTATTATTAGTATTAAGGTTACTAATACATAGAAATAGGTGGTTATTTTACAATTTAATTTGTATCAATTTAATGTAAATAATCCTAATCATAAAGAGCTTTACTAAAATTTACATTTAATATTATTACTGCATGCAGTTTACTAAAAGGAATAAAGACAATAAAAGTAGCAATATTCCAATAATTGCTGTATAAAGAATTGTATTTTATTGAATATGGATTTCATCAGGAATGACTTAATATCCATGAGAAATTGAAATTTAATTCATATCTTAATTGAATACCACATAATTTTATCTAAATTTAGATCTAAAATTAATTTTACTTAAAAAATGTATGAGGAATAATTATAATAGGTTTTTCTTATTAAGTTAATAAAGTATTTTTATCTGAAATGGTTTTCATTAACAGATAGCATTAGTCATTTTCTCTGTGAATGTAATCTTCTTTTGATAATAAGTATGAAATTTTATCTTAGAGATTAAAAGAGAAATAAATGTCTTTATATTTTTCAAATTGATCATTATTACATGGACATTTATATAAACTATCTTATAATTAGCAAATCTAAAATAAAGTAATTAAATTACAATTTAGAAATTTTTGATTTCTTTTAAAAATTTTTAAATAATTGATATATCTGCCCAAATAAATCTTGTAGTGCTATCAAAAATAGCAGTTCCAGTAGCTAAAAATTAAAATATATCTATATACAAGCAAACTTTCCTTCTATCCCATAAGAAATTTTATTAATCTTCAAAGCCCAAACTTTTTTTCCTATATTTGTAAATGTAGTGAATTTTGATTAAGCAAAATAATTCTATTCTTCACCAATAACCAATAAATATAAATTATCTTCTAATTTCAATGAAAATGTTGATTATGGTACATTATTTAATTAAGAATGGAATCTATATTATTTATGATATTATAAATACTATTATAGTAAACTATGAGTTTATTCTAAAGTTGGTTCTTTTTTAATTTCTTTAACCATAGCATTTATTTTATTCTTATATTCTTCATAATCTGAACCATATGCAAAACCTATGACACCATTTTTGGCCTTAAATTCATATTTAGGATCCTCTTTTTAGTTCAAATTATCAATAAGTCCTAAACCAACTTATTTTGCTTTCAATCCTATTAATTCCAAAGAATCCTTGTTTCATGATTTATTTATACCTATGTTGCATATGATCCTGTAACTATTACTCGACCTCCATAACTATTTTCATTTGTTAAAGGAATTTTTTTTTCATCAATTTAAGTTTTTTAATATTAACAACTTCCTTCACATTTGAATACTTCTGCATCATTTGGGCAATTAGTACATTAATTTGTCTCAGTTTTCTTTGAATAAACCCAAGAGATAAAAGATGTAGTATCAATTGTTTATTTGAATTAAGTTGAACCCAAAGTTAATGGTATCTCATTTATTAATTAAGAATACTGTTAATGTATAATCATCCAAATATTATTTAGAATCATTTTCAGTTGCTTTTAACCTATTACTATCAACTTTTTAACTGGTAAAATGTTTATTACTGTGAATTTCCGAAGCTGCTTTCTCAAAATTAATTTTAACTTCATATGCTGATATGCTCAGAATTAAAATGCAAACTAATTCTGGATTCATCAATAAATAAATTTTATCAAATTTAATTCTTTTTTCAGTCAAATATTTACTAGAATTATTATTATATGCCAAAAACATCAGATAAATATATTTTATTGTTACATTTTAAACTCTATTTTTCTGATGTAAATTAATTTAAATGATCAAAATTTTTACTGTTTCTTAAGATTATTAGTTTAAACATAGGACTTTTGAAATTATTAGCTTAATAATTATTAAGTCATATTATTTTCAGTTATAAGTAGTATACCATTACTTTCTTCAATATTTAATTTAAAATTTAGCCTTTTTATATTTATTAATATTTTTATCATTCTTTCTATATAACTCATTAATATTTTGCTTATCGAGGAGAGAACAATCACTTATATTACTGATAAATAAGTTTAGGCATTGGTACCCAAATGTAATTAAAGAATTTATTATTAAATTAACTGAATAAATTAAATCGAAAATAGTAATGACATTCTAAATTTTTATTTTACTTAAAATAGTTAAGATAAATTTTCATATTATCATATTTATTTCTAATAGATAATTTAATTAAAAAGAATTTTCTAAGTTATTTTAAATTATATGATATAATTCTAAGTAAAAAACTATTTCAACATTTCTAATATGATTGTTTCCCTATCTTAATTTTGATTATTATCAGAAATATTTACAAAAAGATTCTAAAGATCTAGTTTTTTATTAAATTGATATCTTTAAGTTTTTTTTTTACTTGATGAGAAATAAGAAAATTTTAAATTAATTTTAGTTTTCTTGAAATATTTCAATAATATTAATTTATTATAAAATATTTGAATATAATTAAAATTCATTTAATTACTATTTGTATTTCTTTAATTCCAAGAATTAATTTATATACAATTTAGTTATATGTAAAACTTTATAAAGCCAATATCTGTAATAATAGATTATGCACATTAATATTAGATTTTAAGTTTCAAATTAAGCTGATATATTTATTAAACATATTTTTATAATATACATATATCTAATAAATTAAGATATTCTAATGTATAATAAAATATTTCAGTTTAAAATGAAAAAGATTGTCAAGCATGAATTTAGTTATTATATAAATAGGAAAGAATGGATAATTATTTCAATTTTTTTAAAAATTTATTAGTTATATAACAATATTTAGAATAATTAGAAATGAGTGTTCTATCATTAAAGCATTCATAAAATAGTGGAAGAAAAAATAAAACTGAACCTGATAAACTTAATAAATTTTCTTAAAATGATATGAGAGGTATTAAAATTTTAATGTTTTCCCAGGTCCATTTATATATGAGCCACTTTAAAATATAGCACATCCAATATAACCTGAAGATGATATTTCAATAAAAGATCCAACATTGAAAACAGTTGATAAATCAAGGATTTCTTAATCTTATTATAGAAATAACTCACCATAATTAAGTATTAGGTCCAAAACTTCTTAAAGCGAGCCTGAGGATAGTCCCTTTGTATTAAGTTTCCCACTTAAATAATAAGAAAATATTCGTAAGAGATCTAAGAGCAAATAAATTTAATATTTTGTAGAGAAACTTAGAAAAAGGTTTAGAATAGATAGCATGGCTAAAAATTTTTAGTATCTATATGATTAGGAAAATAATTTCATAGATAATAGTTGTAAGTGAAATATCATATTTAGAGGGACCTTGTTACCATCTTCTGCAATATTACAAATTTGGAATGTAATTTTCTATAGTTTGTTACATGTGATAATGATATTTATTCCTTTATCTACAGCTTTAGATATCTAAGACCTTAATTATCTTTTTGTATGCTTCAAATTATTAGACATTGGAATTTAATTAAGCAGTTCTTTTACTTTAAAGGGTTTATTAATAACTAGTTTCAAATAAATATCATTAAGATATTACAAATAGTGTTTGTGTTTTGATGCAGTATTTTCTTAGCTTTATAAATTAGTTTGCAATAATAGGATTAGTATTCTTGAATACATTACCATCATCAAGCTAATTCTATGTACTTACACTAATTCTGATCAGTTTAATTAAGAGATATTAGGAGATAGAAATATTTTTAAAATTGTAAGTAAAAAATGATTTAATATATTAGCGAATATAACTTATTTTCTCCTTACTTATAAATTATAAATAGTTTAATAAAGATAATATTACTAATTCATATAATAACCTGCTATTAATATGGATTATTTTATCATAGTAATTTGTTGTTTGATTCTTATATGTCAACTTTTAGCATAGTAATTTCTATATTTACATTTAATTCAAATTATTCACCAAATGATCAAAATGAAATGATATTTTACAGTTTTGTCGCATTTGGCTCGATCATTAGCTTTGCTTATTTGTTAACACAATGTCTAAATCTTTTTAAAAATACAAGATTTTCTTCTGAACTAAGTGAGTTTTTAGCAATTAATAAATTAGATTCAAATTTAAAGTGCAAGATTATTAATCATATATTAAATCAACCAAAATTATATCATAATTAATTTGTTTCAAAATTATCAGGTCAATTACTTTAAGAATTTAATAGAATATAGAGATTCTAATTACTGACTAAATATTTTAAATATTATAATATAAATACTATTTAAACACTGATAAACTTTAGTGAAGATGTTATATGTTAACCAAATTAAATTATAGTGACAGAATCTGAATATGATGATTGTTCATTGTATTTCATAGTTGAAGGAAATTTTAAGATAGTAAACAAGATGGGAATTCAACTATAAATTTTAGGAGTAATATAGTAAATATTTTTTTCAGCCAGAATAAACGTTTGGTGAAATCTCCTTTTATACTTAATTACCTAGATCTGCTACAGTAATAAGTGAAGGAGTTTGTAGATTATTGAAATTAAGAAGGGACATATTTCTTAAACTATTAACTTTTAGTGATAAAGTATAATATACATATAATTATTAGTAATATTTCTATGCTATGAAAGATAGAATTATAATCCATAAAGATTTACCTTGTTAATGTTTTTGTTGTTCTTCATTTGATCATTTAATAACCAAATGTCCTTTGTTAACTTATTGTCCAGATAAAGAAAAAGTTATTAAAGCTTTGATATATCCAAGAAGAAATTTCAGATAAGAACGTAATGACGTTTGTTATATATTTAATTAGATAAAAGAAGATTAGTAAAAGACACAAAGGCTTATGATTTTACAAAAGATGCCGAAGCAAATTAAGATTATTTATTATAATTGTATTAGGAGCATCATTTTTAATCATCAAATTAATTTAGCTAGTCTAATTTACCATATGATGATGTTTATATTAAAGAAAGCTATGCTTCAGGATAAAGTTTTAGTAGATTAAGTAGAGAAAAATCCCTTTTAAAAAGCACATCTTTATTAAAAGAAAAATCATTACATGAATAATAGTAATCTATCATGAATGATGTGTAATTATATTAAAACTATTATCGAGTAGAAGTTATTAAGATACATCTGAGAAACAATATATTCTGCATTAAGGGGAAATGGATGATGAGAAATTCATCAATCTTGTTAGGAAAGATTAATAGAAGAATACATTTGCAACTGCTGGTTTTGGAAATGCTGGATAGCAATCAATTAAAGATTAAAAATCATTAAAAATAATAGTAGAGAATGAAAGTTCAGAAAATTCACCTTCTTTAGATAATGCATTAGATTTGGGAAATTAATTATAGAGAAATAAAGATCCAAAATTAACATTTAATTATAATTTTGATAATTAAATGAGTGATTTATAGAACAAATATCAATAATATTAAAGGAATGCTACAGAATCTAATCATTCTATGAAACGATAAGAAAATCGATAACCTTCAATTCGATAAAATTCTTCAAGATCTCAAACATATAGTCCAATAACATCAAATAACATAACAGCAAATTCATTAAGATCATAGATGAAATAAAATGAAAATACTTAGACAGCATCAGGTATTCATAGAAGGTAAATAATATATAAAAATTTAGATCAATATCAGGAGTGATTAAATAATATACTGATAGTCCAGAGTTATAGAGTAAAAGAGGAACAAATAGAAAAAAGTCAACAAAGACAGGTACTAAGATATCTGTAATACATTCTTAGTTTTAACCATTTAGTGGATTTGATGTATAAATCATTTTAAAATTATTAGAATCCAGTTGGTTATAATTTAGGAGATAATGATTTTGAAAAGCTTTACTAATTTGAAATATATTTACCTTATAATAATTATGATGTAGTAATTTATAAGTAAATATTAAATATAAATTTAGGTTGAATTAGTTTAATAAAAATAAAAGATTAAAAAGGTTATCTAGATATTTTTTATCATTTAGATTAGCTAAATAGATATAAATATTAAAAGCAAGATAATAATAGAATTGAATAATATATATATTTAATTTATTAATAATGAAATTCAATCTTGCATTTAAAGTCTTAGTTTTTATTTTTTTTCAACTTATTTATCATAATCTTCAATGAATTTATCAAAAGCAGGTGGATCGACAACAAGAAGTTTGGAAAAACTAAAGTACCATTCATCAATATTGACCTAAATGAAGATGATGAGATATTTAATGTACTCCTCTTTCAGGATTGCATAATGCAACTGATTTGATGAAATCTTTAGCATCTTTTTCAGCTTGATTATCAGTTATACTATCTTCAATATATTTATTGAATTTAACAGCTTTTGAATGATCAATATATTTAGAACCATCAATATCTATATCCTCAAAAATGGCTTATAGTTTGAATTTCTAATTTTGTTTTAAAACACCAAAGGCTTTACTTTCAGCTGTTAAATTATTAATAAAAGTTCTAATTTCTGTTATTCCATCACCAGGTCTAAGATATATATATTAGAATAACCTTTATCCAGATTGATTCTTTAAGTTTGGATCTGCTTAATTAACAACAAGTAATAAAACAATTTCTTTATTCATCTTTTCTGCTGCAAGATGTAATGGTCCTGATCCTTATAAATTATAAACTTCAAGAGATGCATCATTTTAAATAAGAAATCTTACAATTTCTAATTGATTATGCATTATAGCCCAAAAAAGAGCAGTGTTTCCTCATATATACAATTGAATATATATACCTTCTCTATCTTGATAATTGATGTCTATATTTCCTTAAACAATAGCTCTTTTAATCTCTTCCATAGAACCTTTTTATGCAGATGCAAGAAATTATTCATTATGAAAAGTTTCCATTATTTTAAATTATAATGTCTCAGAAAAAAGCAGATTTTGATTTCCTTGTAAAGTTACTAATTATTGGAGATAGTGGAGTTGGTAAAACTTGTTTGTTAATGAGATATTGTGAAAATCTATTTACAAACAATCATTTGACAACTATTGGTACATACATTAAACCATATTATTAGGAATTGATTTTAAGTTAAAGACTATTGAAGTAGGAGGTAAGAAAGTTAAAATATAAATATGGGATACAGCAGGTTAAGAAAGATTTAGAACTATTACTTAAACTTATTACAAAGGGGCTTAGGGAATTATATTAGTTTATGGAGTAGATGATCGGGTTTCATTTCAAAGGTATTATTATATTAGAAATTGTATTCAAGTATTGAAAATTGGATGAAACAAATTAATACTCACGCATAAGAAGGTGTTACCAAATTATTAGTTGCAAATAAATCTGATTGTTCTGATAGAGTTGTATAAACTTAAGAAGGTTAAAGATTAGCAGATACATATTCTATCCCTTTTTTTGAAACCTCTGCTAAAAATGGAACCAATATCTATGAAATCTTCAATACTATTGCCAAAATGGTTATTGATAAATAAAACTAAGATCCAACTGATCGTCCATCCAATGTATAATTATCTTAATAACCTTCAAATGAAACATAAAAAAAATAAAGTGGATGCTGCTGATATTTTCAAAATTATTATTAGAATATCCAATAATATTTAACTACTTATCCAAACTTCCTTATTTCTTATATATTTATATACTCTATAAACATTTAAATTATCAATATCTATAAAATATTCTACCATTTTTCAATTATTATCTCTCTATCCTTATATTTATTTTTCTAAAACTGTGTATTTAATCATTCTTTTTAATGTAACAAGAATTATCAATAAATATAACAAACCACTTTTTCTAGATCACAAAATAATAGTGATCTTCCACTTTAAAAGTAATTATTTTACCATACTTCTAATTTATATACATTATCATCTTCAAATATTCATTATCCTCTTCTTCTATTATAATATAAAACTTTCGTTTCTCCTACATAAAATGGAGAAGGTTTAACAATATGATTATAAACTATTTTTAATTAATTTCCAACATATTAATTATACATCTAAGATACTTTGCATCTAAAATATAGTTACTTTTTTATTAATCAGATATTTCATACAATTTTAATTAAAACTATTGCTATATTGTTATGTTATACCTATATTATGATTTTAATTTATTAAATTTCTTTAATTTATTTTATATTTAAATATAAGCGAAAAGATTAGTCTTAGATCCCTTTTGTTATGGTCAATTTGGAAAATAATGAAGTCAATAAATACTTTATGATAAAGAGAAATTTGTAGAAAAAGTGAATGAATTATTTAATAAAGAAGAACTAAAAGATTGGTACGAATTAAAAAGAATAATATAATTATGCTCCGTTTTGTAAACATATATTTATTTAAAATTTTTTGGGATAATTTATATAAAACAATGAGATGAAAATACAGAATTATCAATGCTTCGAATTACATCAATGAGAAATTAATTAGAACCTAAAGAAGGAGAATCTGGAGTAGAAATAAACAAAGAAGAATATATGAAATCTGTTGATTTTTGGTCTAAACATGTTTAAGTTTGAGTGATATTTATTTAGACATATTCATAACATTTAATCTAAAGCTTTTATAGCTTGTTTTCTTTTAAGTGGTGCATTATATGGATTTAAATCAAGTTCTTATTTACGTTCTTTTTATTTATTTTTTCCTAATTGTTTCTAAAATTAATCCTCATCAAATTAATATTGATATTTTTTTTTTTCCTCCTTTAATTACTTTTCAGTTAATTCTTTCTTTTATTTCTAAACTTTCTCATTCTTAAAAATCACTTAAGCATATAATAATGTATTTAAAGTGCAATTATTAGATTATTGTTAATTCAATGAAGAAATAGGTAATTAGCATCTTTATCTTAAATTGTTCTATTCATCTATTTCTTATGAATTATATTTTTCTTTGTATACTGATTCCATTACTTAAGTAAGTAATCTATTCAAAGATAAATCACTATTATTGTTATTCTTTTTGAAATGCTATAACATGGATGTACATGTTATACTCAATTAATCTAATGCTAATAAAACATGAAATATATCTCCTTCTTATCTACCTTATAATTCATATAATTTTCTTGAATTTGAACCCACTTTTCTAATTACTTATAAATATAGATTAACAAATATATACTTTTTATTAAAAATTCAGCCAAAAGGTTTATTCCTTATTCTTAACAACTGCTAATACCTGAATTAAGAAGCATTTATGCTACATATATCTTCATCTAAATATTATATTTTATATTAATACCAATTTACCAAGTGATTACTCTTTTGATCTGCTTTATTTAAGCATATTTAATTAAATATTTATAATGAATCATTAATCATTACCTTAATTACAAAAGTTCAAACAAATTGCATAAACTCCTGAAGAAAATTCCAAAAGAAGTGATGAAGTGACTCGATTGAAATAATAGATTGCTCAGTTACAAAAATAAATAGAATTCGTTCAATAGAACAAATCCTTTGTAATGAAAATTCAAAATTAGCAATGCACTCTCTGTCTCAGATATAAAGTACTAAGGTACTTTATTTATTGTAGACTTAAATCGAACAATTAATCAAATAAGAAAAATAGATCAAGAAATAATATGAATTAAAAATTGAAGAATTATTATTAAGTTTAAATCAAAAAAATGTTAAACTAAAACTTTCATAAACTTAACAAACTGACCATGTTCCAACCCTAGAAAAAAGTATTTAAGTTGAATTATAGATTGTGTAATAAAATCAATTAAATTCTATTGAAACTTTGAAGTAATCTCCTTTAGTAAAATAATATGAACAAATTATAATTGATTTTCATAAGGATTATGAAAATAAGGCCTATTAAGTTTTATAATATAAGGAATTATATGAAAAATAAAAATCTTAGTATGAATAATTTAAATCTTAACATATAAATTGCAATGAAAAAATACATAAATTATAAATCGAAGTTAATTTTTTAAAAGATACCTCAAATCAGTATAAATTACCTGATAACATCTTAAATCTTAAAAAGTCTATTGATTGCACAATAGAATAAAATAAAATGAATTAAGTTGTAATGAAGACTTAAGAAAGTGATTCTACTATTAAGATATATCAGAAATTGTAATAAATAGAGACAGATTTATATATTAGTCTAAGATGCACAAAATGCAAAGATTTTTATTAAAATCCTATTACATTTGTTCCTTGTGGCCATAGTGTTTGTTTTAAATGCCAAAACAATAGATGTGAAAAATGTGAAAAAGAGGCTAGTTATTTTAGAAATAATAATTTAGATCTCTTAATCAAGATATATAATCAAATTAAAGATATTCATTAAAAAAGATGATAGATAAAATATATATATATAATTGTTCAAGATTTAGTTCTTTTTTCATCTTTTAATGCTTAAATTCTCCAACTTTCAGAGAATTCATTCAATTTTTACATGAATTCTTAATGAAAACCAACATTGTCTGAATGTTCTGGTAGCTTAAGTTTTTGCATTTATTTCTATTGCAATTATTAAATTTGTTATTTTTAAATCTACTATTTCTAATTTGCTTATGTTTATGTAGTTTTCTTTTAAATATTAGATAAATCTAGTTTTAATTTAACATTAGATTTAGCATCGAGAATGTTGGCATTTTTATATTCAAACCTTCTAACACTTTCAACAATTGATTCATTATCAAATCTATTAAGGAAACAAAAACTAGATTCGTCAGAATCATTAATAACTGAATTATCAGCATCATGAACACTACGTTCATAGTTTTAATGTTTAACAATAATTGATTTTTCTGTTTATTCAGCAACACTATCATCATTTAAAACTTCTTCATTATAGATTTTTTCAATATCAACACCACTTTTTTTAATAGCTAAAACAAGTTTAATTAATTTAGCTTCTTTTTCACTCATTTCTTAAATTTTTTATTACATAACATCTTGCATTTCCTTTAACTAAATTGTATCCATACTATCAATATTACTACTTTATGCATTTTTAGTATTTTATACTTATTTAGGTGTTTTAAGTTATTTAACAGTTTCTAATAAAATGTCTCTTTCTTATTCAATTTGTTTGTAATTATTTTACCATAAATCTTTTTCTCTCCTTATTTAATCAATAATTTCATAAAACTTTTCTTCTTATTCACATAAAACTTAAATACTAATAGAGTTGAAGAGTTCAAGTAAATTATTGATGATTTATTATTATACATCGTTAAAATCACTTAAAGATATAAATTATTATTTATATGATTGTATATTTTTTTGTTATTTTAGTAGATGTTCTTTATGAAATTCTAATCTTGAAAACTATTTTTTAGCAATTAAGCAAGTTTGTATTTAAGTATTGAGATTCCAAAGTTCTTAATTTTTTTTAATAGGTTTTCTTTGTCCAGGACTTTAAGAATCACTGGTGAGGTTGCTAGTTAGATTCTATTTAGATCTATATAATAAAGTGTAAACATACAGTTATTGAAGTATATTAGTTGATAATATATGACTATCACCAATAATTTTCCTCATTTTTAATCCATTTTATGATCCATATAATGAATCATCTTCAACTTACATAGTGGCAAAAGCAGAGACTCGACTTTTAGAACTGCTGTTAGTACGATTGTTGTTATTTTCCGAGATATTGTTTTTGTTTTATTATTTATAACGTTTCTCTTCAATAGATTTGGAAGTTGGCACAGTTTATTTAATGGTTAGACGCTATTGCTGAAACTTTGGAGGGATATGAAAGAAGTTATTATGTTCTGGATAAATGTTTGGCTGAGATGTTTATTTCGGAATCACTACCCTTGCCATGGCATCCTTAACCGTGTTGGGGGCTACTCGTTGCATTTCAGATAATTTAATTTATATTTAATCATCATTCTAACTAAATACATAAGAGTATTACACTCCTACTTTCTATTTTATTTTATCAATCTTATTAATCATGTTTCATACATATAATTTATTCAACATTTCTTATTACTAAATTATTCTGTCAATTACTTATATTCTTTTTACAATATAACTTTTTTTATAAAAATAAATCCATAAAACATATTTCACACATTATTAAAAAATCATCACTAAATTTATTAATTATTATTCATATTTTTAATGTATAAATTATACATATAAACAATTTTACTTTTTTGTTAGTTATTTTTTCAATAATAATAATATCAATATTGTTATTATATATTTTTTAGATTAAACAAATTTTAATATATATTAAATATATAAAATAGATCATTGATTCTAAATTTAAGTTATAATTATAAGCAATATAAATTATTATTAAAATAAATTTAAATTCAAAAATATGAATACATTTCAAGAAAACAAATTATTTGTTTAACAAATTAAATAGAAACAAGACGAATTTAAAGTATAGGCTTATCAATTAATAAGAAAACAATTCAATTTCCAATTAAGAAAGAACCTCTACTTTTACAGCAAAATAATTTTAATTAAGTCACATCACCAAATTAAAGAAGAGAACAGACTCCTAATTAAAGAAAGGGAAAGATTGAAAGTATACATTATTATATAAATATTTTAGATGATAATTCATGTTCACCAACTCTTTTTCGTACTCCTTAAATAAGTTTACATTATGAATAAAACAGAAAATAACATCAATTGAGTAACAATAGAAGTAGGAATGAAAATGTATCAACATACAAAGAAAGAAGAGAATAAAACAATGATTCAGCAACTAAAGATTATTCAAGAGTTTTAGAAGAAGTAATGAAAAAATATAGATAATTAAAATCTGAATTATTAACCAAAGACAAAGAAGTTTAAAAAACTAGATTTTATAAAGAAGAATGGTTGAAAGAAAAAGTAAATATTTTTATTATATTACTAAATAGAAGCGTAATGAATAATTATAAGAAAGAAACAAGATCTTGAAAACTAAAATGCTAAAAATTATTGAAATGGTTTAATAAGATTAATTGAAATAGAATGATGATTCTGAGGTAGTATCATTTTATTAAAATATTAGTTAATAGGGTATAATAGCTACTCTCTCAACAGAAAATAAGTATTTACGTTAAATGTTACATTTACATGATGTGACAGAAATCTCAAGCAAATTGGAATAACTTGAAGGAGAGTAAGATTAAGAAGTTGTTTATATTGATAATATTTTGAATGTTTTCCTTGGAGATTTGAGAACCATTTAAAAGAACAAAAGAGAGAAGAAAGATAATTAATAATTAGGTACATTTAGTGCTAATATATTATAGGTTAATTTAATTCATTATCATTAACAGTTTTAAATAAAGAATCAAGTTTTGTTGATTTATCAGAAGATAAGCTTTTAATGGAATAATCATGATTTTATTAAAATTTACACATAAATAGAAATTTTATGCAGCATCTTGAATTATTGCTACATTTTAATTTTTTATTCATTAGATAAAAATCGAGATATTTATTTTACTATATAAAAATAATAATGTAAAATAGAGATGAGATGATAAAACAGTTATAGAATATATAAGACCCTTATATACTACAACGACAAAGATAGCACGATGCAAAACGAAAATATGAACAATTATTAGCTTCAGTCAATTTGATTTATGATGAAGATGGAAAAGAACGTCAATATTCAGTTGATTTTCAAAGATTCATTCATTTTTATAAATTCTTGGCTCGTCGACCTGATAGTGAATAATCAAACTAGTCAGTGATAAATAGATTATAATTATGGGTACCTGATACAATAGTGTTGAATGATAGAGAAATTCCAAATTATTGGTTATATTCAGATTCAAGAGGTTATGTATTTAGAACAGATACATTTACTTCAAAGAATGTAATTAGCAAATTAGCTAATTATACATCTCCAGATGAACTTGTAGCAGTGGTTAAGAAATAATAGTTTCGCAATATGGAATTAGTTGGAAATGAAGTAAAATTAGTTTGTTGCAGAGATTTGTAATCATAAATAAATGCAAATTTTTCAAATAGAATGGATTTATGTGTTATTTAGAAATTTGTAAAAAGTAATGGACCTAAGGCATTTATATGTAGAACAATTTGGAGAAAAGATAAGAATCCTTATTGTTATATAATAACAAATAAGGAAGATTTCTTTGCATAGACAAATAATCCAAAAACTGAGATGACTAAATATGCTACTAATGTGAATTTACAAAATTCATGTACAATAGTAAATACTTGTCGAGGTAAATATGTAGATGAAACAGTTCCATATGTTAAGAATCTTCTAAATTATATATATATTCATTTACATATAACTTTTAAAGAGTTCTCAGCAGATTTTATTAAAGATGAAAGTGGAATTTGGTGGTTTATAAATGTTAAAGGATTTATTATAGATAAGAGTCCAGATAAAATATTATGGAAATCTATTACTCATTATGGAGAAGAGATAAATGAGGAAGGGTAACCAATAATTTAAGAAAAGATTTAAACTCCTAAAACAAAAGTAGCAGATATGTGTTAAAAGTAAAAGATTTGCAAATATTGTGAATAATCATATCCAGAATAACATTTACAATATAAGATGACTTTAAAAATGATAATTTAAACAGATAAACATTTATACTGGAGAGGTAAGACATTTAATTGGATAGACAGATCAGATGTAACTAATCTTGAAGTGAGTAATTTATATCATGAACATAAAGTATGCAAGTAATGTTATACTCTTTATAAAGAAACAGAATAACTTATTGAATTGCAACTTTAATTTAATAAATAATTAGGATTACCAAGTGATTAAGATAAAATTAATTAAATGTTAACACTCAAAGCCAATTAAGTAAATAATGAAATTGTTAAGACTGGATTAGAAGACTCTAAATAAATATTTAATATTTCTGCAACAAAGTAATTAATACTAAATAATCAATCTATTCCTATGATTCATAATACTGTTATTAAAAATTTGAATAGGTTTAGATTTATGATATTGATTCATTCAATCAGAGATGTTCCATAAAGTGTTGATTTATCTAAACATTATTATATTGAATGTAATATATTTGATTAGAAATTTAAAATCAAATTAGATCTAATATAAGGTTAGTTATTTGATAAAGGATATTTCTTAACATTAAATCGTATGAGACTCTATTATTTCTTTAGTGATCAACGTAAGGGATGGATAGAATATGTTAATCAATTAAAAGTCTTACCAATGTATTTATATTAAGAAAATGTGAAAATTGGTGTTTTAGAACTTGAACTCTAAGATTTATTATCTGAAAGAGTTATTAGAAGGGAATTCCTTAAGGTTTTTAGTGTAAAAGATTGCTATCCAATATTAAGTTGGTCATTAAATGTATTAAATATTCAATAATTTAGTTAACATTAGGATTAGTTGATTCTGGACCAGTCAATGTTACAAGAATTAAATTACAAGATCATTTTGGTATTTAATTACCAAATCCTGATTATTGTACATGTGAACCTTTACCTGCTGAATGGATGACTATTTTAAATCAAAAAAAAGATGTTGAATATTCAAAATTTGAAAGATAAATGACTGCTTAAACTTTAAAAAGAGTTTCAACAGCTCATGCTAAATTTTAAAAAAGTAAATTTGAAGGATCTTCACTTTAATAAGATATGGAGTCATTTAATGATTCAACTAAAGAATTATACAGTTAATTAAATATAAAGAAAGAAATTTAATTATATGAAGTGGATGAGGAAGAACGTAAAACAAAGAAAAGAAGATAATTTTAATAATATGATTTATGATATAGTATTTTTTGTTAATTATCATAATGTTATAATCAAACCCAATTTCTTAAAATCTCCAATTTTTTATTTTACATTCCTAGCATTTATTTTATTCTATGATACAATAATATTCTTCAAATGAATACCAATTAATCCATTTTAATATAACTAGAATAAAGTATCAATACTTTTATCAGTTAAAGAATTTTGAGATAAATTCACACTCTAAATATTTTCATTCTACGATAAAGCTATATAATTAATATGTATTAAAATAATACCCTTAAAAAGTAACAAAAGTTAATCATCTGATAATTTAGATTTCATAATCTTCACACTTTTAACTTTCCAATACTTAATTTCATTTCCAATAACTACTAATAGTTCTTTTTCTAAATTATTGAATTCTGCCACATCTATTTTACCTTTTCTTAATTCATCCATATATAATTATAATTTCATAGGAACTTATGATTTCTTTCTACAAATTGAAGTTCTATTACTTTCCTACTATTATTAATTACTTAAATACTATTGGTGATAAAGATGGTTCACAATTTTCAGTATTTACTTAATTAGTTGGAGTAGCACTTCTAAATACTCTTTTTATTTAATTAACAGGTTCAGCTTCATTTGCAAATGTTGCACTAACATCATTTAATAAATCAGTTTCTTCTATTGATTATTACATTGTAAATGAACTCAATAAATATGGAGATTATTAAGATTAATTTGTAGTATTTGTAATCAATTCTGGACCTTCTATTATTTTACAAAAATCTTCAAGTTTTAATGAATTCCAATTAAACTTTACATTTATTTCTTAACCAATCATTTATTCTTTTTTAGCTATTATCTACTATTAATGTTTCTTGATTTCTCTTATTTAATTAATTAATACTCTTACTATTAGAGTTAAAGTCCATTATTTCTTAAACTATCTGTAATATTTAGCAATTCCCAATATTTAACTTATTCTGTAAATTACTCAAAAGTATTTTATGCTAATTTAATCCAAGTTTAACAATCTTTCTCTATATGAATAGTATTATTCCACCAATCACTAAATTTACTAATATGATTAGATGTAGCAATCATTATTTAAGATACTAACTAAAATTAGAAAAATAATACACTTACAATTTTTTCTTTTTAATCTATTTTATCTCTTAATTCTCCAAATTCTTTTTTTAATTTATCAACAGTAATCCGTTGCATTTCTTAAATTTAATTTGAGAAATCCTATTCATGTTTGCTTCTAGAAATAGACTAAGATTCCTTATGAATTCTTTCAACCATTTCTGTTAATTCTTAAGCTTTCATTTCTAAAAGTGAAATTATATCTTCTTCACTATAAATATAATGTCCTTTATGACTTCCAAATAAAGCACAATTTGTACAAATCATAGTCTAACATTATAAACAAACAACTTCAAGTTGTCTGCGATGAGTTTAACATATTTTACCGGAATTATAAGAATAATTGAGAGAACCAAAACTATCATCTTAGTCTCTAAATCGTTTTAAATTTAACTTTTAAGGTTTCTTTACAGAAGTTGCCAATTCATCCAAAAAATTACTATCAATGCTTGTTTCATCTGATGGCCATTCTTCAAATGTTTAATTATTTATTTTAGATTCTAAATTTAATGGACGAAGATTCTTTGATTTTTATAATTAAAGAATTCTTAATAAGCTCTAATTGAGAGGAAAGTCATCTAGTTTCAATTAGTTTTATTTAATTTGTTATAACTAATTTTAAAACAAAAACACTACTTGAGTCAAATCATTTTATAAATGTATAATCTTATCAGGCTCAATCGTCTACTCTACAATTTGTTATACGCATAATTAACAAATTGTGTCTCCTGTATTTGGAATCAAACGAGGCCATCTTATACAAATGTCTAAGTCTTATCCACAAATTGAACATAAGAGCTCCATAACGATTTAATTTTAAATTTTATAGAATATTTTTAATAATTCATATTACTATATTTATAATTGCTTTCATCATTTTTAAAGTAAATTTTAAGTCTTTAGAATTATTCATAATGTGATGGTTTATAATATATATTATTCTCTTATATTTTAAGTTCAAATATCTCATATTGATATATATGATTTAAAGAGATAAAGAATATAAAATTTTATTTTCTAATGTAAGACGATCGAGTTAGATACATGTATGAGTTTTGTTTAATAAAAGGAATTCTGTGTATTCTGAACATAGAAAGGATCTTTCTAAAAACATGGACGTTGTTTGTTTTGCTATGGCTGTTGAATTAGATAGATTGGTGCAAGAAAACAATTTACTTAAAGAAGAAGTGAGGGAAATCTCAAATCTAAGAGTTGATCGACTAAATTATGAAAAATAAATAGGAGATTTGATGAATAGACTATAATAACTTATAGCTGAAAATGACATGTTAAAACGGGATAATGAGAAAATAAAAGCTCAATTGAATTAAGCTAATTAAAAAGCCTAATAATTAGAGGGACAAGTGTCAGACTATTTATAAGAAATATAAACAGTCTCTAATAAATTAGAAGATATTACAGGAGGAGATGGAGGTATATAATATAATATTAATATTTTTTAGATTTTGACATTGAAGCATTAAAATAAAAGGCAGAATTGTTAGATAGTTTAGCTAAAGATGGATAATCAATGGAAGATCTATCAGATTTATTAGATTCTCTTAGAGAAAAAGCTGAAAAATATGATCACCATTTAGAATTATTAAATGGAAGAGAATTAGAAGATGTTTTAAATGATCTTGATGAATTGGAGAAACTTAGAAAATTGGTTAAAGAACTTTAAGCCAAATTAAATGAATTATAAAAAGAATCAGATTTAATGAAAAAAAAATCAAAAGAATTAGATGATATGAAAAAAAAATTAGGAGATGATCCAAGTAAAGAAGTTGATAAATTAAGAAAATAATAAAAAGAATAAGATGATTTAAAAAAGAAACTTACTGATGCTTTGAAAGAGATTGAATAATTAAAGAAATTATTAAATGATAAAACTGCAGAATGCAATAGATTAGGTTAATAAGTTGCTTAACTCACTTAAGACAATTAAGTTAAAGATTAAAGAATTTAAGAATTAGAAAGATATGCTTAATAATATTAAGAATTATAAATAAAAGTAAATAAATTAGAATAAGAATTGGATAATGTATAAAGGTAGTTGAAAGATAAAAGTTAATAATTGGAAGATAAAACAAGATTAATCGATAATTTAAATAGAGAAATCTAATAATTAAAAGCTGAAATTTAAAGATTAAAAGATTTAATTGCTAATTTAGAGAGAGAAAAATAATAATTATTATAATAACAATAATAAATGTAAAATTAACTTGCTTAATGTTAAGATTAATTAAGAAATTCTTAAGCATAATTATAATAATTAAATTCAATTGCTAATTAGAATGATGATGAGAAAGAGAAGTATGAATAAGAAATAGATGAATTGAAAAATGAGATTGATTCACTTAAAGAATAAATAGAAGAATTAAATGATGAAATAGCAAGATTAAAAAGAAAAATATAAGAATAAGATGATTAGATTGATTCATAAACTAAGACTATATCTAATAAAATATCAAGAATAAAAGAATTAGAAGATTTATTGAATTAAAAAGAAAAAGCAATTAAAGAATAAGAATTAAAAATAAAAAAATTACCTGGTTAAAGTGTAGTTGTAGGTGGTGGAAGTAGAGGTTAATCAGGATAATTAGGATAAGGAGGTCCAGATGGTATCAATAAATCTATGTCTAATTAATTATAAGGAGGAACAGGATAACCAGGTAGTAGTTTTGGATTAAAGAGTGGAATTGGAGGTTTAGGAGATGATTCTTAAACCACAATTATGTTAAGTTAATATTAAGATGTTTTATTGGCTTATTTATTAATTGCAGCTGAAAATGAAAGAATAAGCGAAGCTCTTAAACATACAGTTAGTGATTTTGAATTAGTATTAGTAGATTTAAGAAATGCTGAAGGAGAAATATCGTATTTAAAAAAATCTATTTCAGATTTATAAGCATAAATAAATGATGTATAAAATTAATTTTTATATAGCTCCGTTTTTAATTAGATGAAGCGAGAAGAAAATCTATGAATAATGAAGAATTAGAAAGATTAAGAAGATAATTAACAGAATATGAAAATAAATTAGCCTTATTATCAATGGAATTGTAAAGATAGAAAACAGTCTCTGGTTCAGGATTATAAGGAGTATCCTCATAAATATAAATGATCTCTTAATAAAATACTTATGGATATGAAGACAAATAGATCAATTTTGATTAATAATTTAGATCACCAAAAGATTCACAAAGAAATTTAAATGTCAATATAGTAGAAGATGAATCTTGGAGATTAAAGAAAATTATAGAAGATTAATTATGTTTAATAGTTCTTATGTCAGCAGAACTTGAAACCCTAAGATCTTAAGATTAAACTAATGCAAGATTAAGTTCATCAGGAATTCAAGGTCAAAGATCAACAATATAAACCAGTTAAGTTTAAGTAGGATATGGAAAAAGCGCAATATATTGAATAATCATATATTAAAAAATCAATAAGTTATAATTATTTAAGTTACAATTTAAATATTTTTTCATTTATATGTAATACAACATCATTTCTTAGAGGATAAATAGAGACTCTGTGATGGTTATCTTTAATAAAAGGAGTATTTTCTATCTGTCCCTTACAAACTATTAAATTGATTACTAAGTTCTTCATATCTTTTCTTTTCGTCTAAGAAAGATTATTTCAGCATTTATTATGATTTTTCTTCCTTCATAAATTAATAATCAGTCAAAGTCTTAGTAGAAATATGCTCAGTCTTTAACCTTTCATTAATATATGGTGATGCTTTATCTGTTAATTATTTTGGTTTTTTTAAAATATCCACATGAGATTAATACATATTTTAAGGAGCTTATTTCTTATAATCCTATTATATTTATTATACTTATTATTATTTATGTATATATTATTATTATTATTATTATTATTATTATATTATTCTTGTATTTAATAATGATCATAAAAGGATTGTTTTTTTAATTAAACTAAAGGCTTTTCAAAAAAATCATTTAAATCTTAATCACATAAACCTATTAGTTTAATAAAATTGTACTTTTTTGTTTTACTTCCTTATATTCTAAATTTGATTGAATTTAATTTTTAATAGATTTTAGTTCTTTAGAAGAATCTTCTTGACAAGTTTTTCTTAATTTATCTAAAGCTTCAGATAAATTCAAGATTTCCTTGCAAATTAACGAAAATTTCTAAAATTGAGAGGCTTCAATTTTTAATAATTATCCTTAAATATCGCTGATATCTAATTCTTTGACTAAGAAGTCAATGGTTGATAAATCATATTATTTTTTTGATATTTTTGCAATGTGTTCAATAGTTCTATTTAATGGATTATAATTCTTTTTAACTTTGTCTTTCAATTCTGTGCATCTCTTCTTCAGTATTTACATAATATCTGTTTAAGCAATATAAACTAGTTAATCAAATAATGTGTTAATTCCCTCTGAATTGTATACATCTTTGATTCTTTAAACTAATGCATCGCTATATTAAAGAGATAAATAATAACTTAGTAATCATGGTTTCGAATTCGTTAATTTTAAGAACTTTTGAATTATGATGATTGTGATCCCAAGCACATGATTAGCAAATCAATCTTCTCTAAGTACATTCCTTTAAGGTACATACAAATTCTATTGGGTTTCTGTATTTACAATAGCATAATTGATGATTCATTAATATATGAAAAAGAAATAAGTCAAATCAAAATCTTCAACTCCTATTAAATAACATTCAGCTATAGATACTCCTAGATTTAAGGAAAAGGCTTCTTAACTATCTATAATACCTAAATCTCCTAAAATTTAAACAGACTCAGATTATTTCTCTTTTGGTGGAATAGAACATCATAAGTAACAATCAAAATCAAACCATGAATTTATTGACCAAGAAAAATAACTCAATAATAGTTTCATAAAAGATAAAAAGGTTACAAACTCTAAAGCATAGAAAGTTTAGATTTTCAATAACAACTACCAAATAATCAATATCAATTAAATAGAAAAGAAAGAATCAATTCGTTCTCTTTAAAGATAATTTCAATAAATATTAGAGAATCAACCATAAAAAAAGTCTGTTACACCCATTAAATTGAATTAATCTAATAGTCCTATATAAATTAGCACATCTAAAGCTTCTGCTTATCCTTCAGCTAATAATTACTTTTAAAGAATCAAAAAACCAGGTTAATCTACTTTGTTAAAGAAAAAGTTTTGATTAATAAATATATATATGAATTAAACGAGCCTCTCTCCAAAGGTGCAAAACATTAAATTCGATCAATACTCTTTAAATTTGAAAAGTGTCTCTCGATGTAAAACTGAAATTGGTATAGTTCATTAAAAACCTATGATCAACTTAAAATAAATTCTTAAGGATCATAAGTCATTTAGTAACCATACTCAAATTGACACCGCTCGAACATGTATTGTGGCAACAGATTCATAAAAGAGATTTCTAATTTAAAAAAGAGGATCTCGAGTTGTTACAGCAAAACCTAAATATTCTGAAGAATTAGAGAAAATTAAATAAAAATTTATTAAACTAGCAGAAAGCTGGCATCAAAAAGAAGAAAATTACTTAAAAGAATAAACTCTTTTGAAATAAGAAATTACAAGATTGCATGTGATTATTTAGCATCTTACAAAAAAATGAACAACTTCCTATCCATTTATTAATTTACTAACCTTTATATTCAATTAAATAATCCTTATCCTATTATTCCATATATTAATAGTTGAATAAAGGAATTTAATTATAGAAATTCATGTTATTTTTAACAATATCAATCAATAAAAATTATTATAGATTCATTTTTATTATTGTTTCAATTATATAATGTTGTAATCTTTGTAAAGCTAAAAAATAAAAGATTAAAAAGCTTGTATCATCTTTATTTATATCAAATATTCTCTAATAATTCTCAAACCTTTATACTCTTTTTAGATGTTACTGTTAATCATAACCTAATATTTTATTGTTTAAAATTAAATTAGTTAACATTGCTTCATATAATCAATCAGATTTAAATTCCTTTCATGTAAAATAAATCTTTCATCTGTATTATTAAGGCTTTTGCATTATTTTGTATAGCTTTTTAATTTAACTATTTATTTTGTTCATGCTTTGATCTACATTAATCTACTTAATATTATTTAATCGTATTTATGGCCAAAATAATCCTAAAAAAATATTATTTTTGCATTTTCATTTTATTTCCTTAAGTATTGATAATTTTTTTTTATTTTTCATTAAAGTCAAATAATATTTCTTTACCTTCTTTTATAATTAAGTTCTTTATATTTTTCATTTATTATTTTATATTATTCTTCTGGAATATTTAATTATTAAATTTTATTATATTATAAAACTTTAGAAATAATTCTCTTACAATTTCAATTAAATTAGCAGAAATTAATTTTTTGCATTTTTAGCTTAATTAATTAGTTATTCGCATAAATAATCATATATGAAAACCATCTAAAATTTGAAGTCTGTAACAATTTTCATAATTTATTTAGTTTAAGTTAAATCTTAAAAATTCTTCAATTTTAAACTATCTATTTAATTTTACAACTTCGTAGGATTTTTTTTTAATAGATTTCTAACTTTCTTTAATCTTAGTTTCTTCTGAGGGTATATTAAAGACAGAATATCAAATTGAATATTTAATATTCGACTAAACTTAAAATAAAAAATAACATTTTCTTTTCAATTAGTTCACTATTAACATTAGAATAAATAAAATTTAAATGATTCTATTGAATTTGCCATTCTTTCAATCTTTCTTATTTTGCTTAGAATAACTTTTCGATTAAATCTAAAAATTCTATTGTTAATTTAATAATTTTGAGATATACTTATTGTTTAAGCTAAGAATAATAAAAAGTAGAAGAATAAATAAAAAACAAATTTCAATTAGGCAAAATTCTAAAATAATAGTATTAAAATCTTGGAAATGCTTGATACATTTATATATTTAAAAGTTGAATTTAAAACCATTAATTTAAGCTTTAAGAGATAATCATTGAATATAATCTAATTGATGAACAACTTCATCAATTATAAATAAAAAGACAATGAAATTTTATAGTTTGAGAAATTAAGAACCTAATGATAGGATTTTGAGATCTTATACATAAATTATATTAATAATCACAATAGCAAGAAAAATAAAAATTTTGTATATAAATATGTAATTAATATTAAGAACTTATATTTCTATCATATATTTCTATAACCACATCTTTATTCAGAATTATAATATTCATAAGTTTCTTAAACTTTATCTTTTTTTAAGTTAAAGTAATCTAAATAATTTTCTTCTACCTTCTTTCTTGATATCCACTTCTTATCAATATCATAAATGAAAAATAAATATTCATAATAACATTTCTCATTTTGATTGTAAAAATAATAGTTATGAAACTCAATTTTAACAGGAAAATATTAACCATTATAATTGCATCCTTGCATATTATTAATACACTGGTTAAAAGTGTTTAAAATAAAGAAATTACTTAGATGTTATAAACTTTGATAATTTTCTGAGAAATATAAAGGAATGGGTAAATACCCAGTCTCCATTGCATGATGGATGACCATCTCATAATTTATTCCTATTGAATTTAAATATAAGTCATTCATAAATCTTTACTAAGTAATTATTTGATCATCTAATACCTTCGATATATACCCAGTACATGGTTTATCAATCATATTCTCAAAATTAAATAAGTCTTGTTCCTTTAACACAAAAAATTATGATGAATCTAATTTTTTGTAATGCAATTTCTCAATAGATGATCTCAAATATTGATTTCCTCTACTTAAAATATGAATAATATTTTCAAAAGGAGTAAGACTTTTCTAAATTGGATCAAATGTAACAGTTGTAATATTACCATGCCTATCAATTCTGTTAATCTTGTAATTATAACAATAAAAATCGATATTAAGTTAACCTAGTTTATATTGATTATTTGCATTCCTAGGAATTTATACATTTGATTTTAGTCTAAAACTGTTGTTTAATTGAATTGATTTTGGTATACTCACCTCAATAAATTCTACATACTTCTATAATTTTAATTCCTTTTACTACAAAAATTACTCCTAGAACTTATCCTCTTTAGTATATTGGTTTTTTTGTCTTCGTTTTTCAACTATCTTTTTGATTTCTATCTAATAATCATCATTTATTTATTTCTTAGCTTGAGTAATCATTTTGACCAAATAATAAAGATAATTAATCTTTTATTTTTATTTTAATACGGATAAACTTAAAATGTTCTTTATATATAAATTATTATTTTCATTATTTCTTTCAGAATTGAAAAGTTCAAATAAGATTTATCTTATCAAGGTTTTAAAATTTATAAGGTATTTGTAGGTCTAATTTAAAAATTGATTTTATTCCTGAAAAATTAATATAAAATAATTATTATAAATTATGATGTTATAAAAATGTAAAATACTCTTTAAATTAGAACAATTACATTATGGAAATATTTCACATAATGAATAATCAAAAAATCAAAGTAGAATGGTTCGATCTATTTAGATTTATGATCAAGTAATAAAACATCTTTATTAATAAGCTCATAATATTTTCCATAAAAGAAGGATAATAATTTTTGTTAACTTTTCTAGATATATATTAAGGATATATTGTTAAAATATTTATTATATATTTATTCATTAAAATGAAAGAAACTTCATTAAAACTTATTAACTGTTAGTAATTTCAAAATTTCCTTGAATGTTTCTTTTTTTACACTCTTCTTAAGCTCTCATTTAATCACCACAAAAAATTAGAGTACGATTTTTGTATTTCATTTATTAATATAGATGCTATATTAAATCAATACCTGCTGTATAGTTGATCTAACCTTGTTCAACTCTTACCATATCACTAACAACTCTAAATTAAGATTATTCTAAATATATCATCCATTTATATTTTTCGATAATAAGAATTGCATCTTAAGTTGAGACACAAAATATAACAGAAAAGTTATTATTTTACTTTTCTAAATCTTCAGCAAATTAATAATTGTTTTCTGGATTGTCATCAACCCATAATAATACTTAAGTTGATCTAGGTAAAGGTAATTCTCTCATAGTTACAATAAGAGGTTATTAGAGATCAATAACTTAAACGTCATCAATAATAAAATTTGAAAAAGGATACATTAATAATTCTTATTCTCCTTCATAAATTGATATTTTTCCTATGTCTTTGGCACTTATAAGTTCAACTTAAAAAATCATTCCTTAAGAATTACTAAAATTTTAAGCAATTTTCTTTTTTAATGAAACACTACTAACTTCACTCCATTACACAATCTTTCCCTTTTGATACACTGTAGTATTTTAATAATTCTTAATTCCACGATATGCTACTCCTTTGTAATATTTCATATATCGAAGCCCTTCCATTAAACATTTTAAATATTATTTCCAATTTTCATATTCTGTTGTTCTGAGATCTTAATTTAAGTTTCGATAGATTAGATTACTAGTGTATAATTATATTGCTATTATACAATGAAGAGGGATTTATTAATAGTCTTATTTCTTCAATTAATTATTATTTATCTCTTACAAACAGCATTCAATAAATTCATTAATTTTACAATTCCCCAACCATTATAAAGAATCTTTAAGTTTAGATATATTTTCAACTTATTTATCATTTAATTATAAAGTAAATTTTAATTAAATTCCTCCAGATTATTGATCTATGAAGAAAATACTTTAAACATTTTATTTATCTTTTAATTCCCTTATTGATCCATAAGGTTTTCCATTACATAATATTAATGATCTTTTTATTTCATCACTAGATGCACATATTAATGCAATATCTTAATAATCTATTTTATTTGAATTCTTGTTTATTGATAATCGATATTCTTCATTTTTTACTATAATTGTAATAATATTATTATTATCAGTATTTTAATAAATATCTTATTATTATTCTTTAGAAATTGATAATACTTTTAATATTAATGGATCCTATTTCTTTTGATTTAGATACTTATAATTATCATATTTATAATAATCTTCTAATGCAAATTCATCTTTCATTAATACTCCTTTATGATATAACTATTATGATTAAATTGGTATTCCTTTCTTATTTTAAATAATAACTTTTATTTGTTAAATTAAAAAATATGGTAATACTTCAAATTCTTCTTTAATGCCATTAATTTCAATATATATTTTATTTTCAGGTACTTTAACTTCATTGACAAATTCTTTTATTATTTTAATTGTTCCATTAAAAAGTTCAATAAGAGAAATTTAAGGAAAAAAACCAGAACCACCCCCGCGTAATCTGTAAAACATATAAATTTTAGATTCTTCTTTCACTTAATAATCATCAAACAGCTTATTATCGTCTAATGATTTCCCAGCAAAAGTCATTCTAATATCTTCTGGTGGATAGTTCTAGCTTTCACCTCTTTCAAAAATCTCTTTTTTTACATCATAAACAGATTTACAATGTGTGTAGACAATTATAATTTTTCCAGTTGGAATTTCTATAAACACTTTGTTACTTTTAGGAAAATTTTCACCTTTTTTAAAAATTACAACCATATTACTTTTAAAGGCATAATCTCTGAATTTTTATTTTCTATTCACTGTTAATCCATTTCCCATCATCATCTACACATAATTAGGATCTTCATTATATGGTAAATATTTTTAGCATACTTTTATAATAAATTTTTCAATGATTTATGAAAAATCTATGATTTCTGCTTTTTATTCTTCTATGTTAAATCGCTACAAATCAAGAAAAATTAAAATATTTTCATTTCCCTATTATATGTAATTACCTTAATTGTCAAAAAAGGCAATTTCATCAACTAATGGAGGTAGTTCATCAACCTTTTACCATTTTTTAAATGAAGCAAGCATAATATATTTGAATATTATTATTTTTATAATTATTAATTTAATATTATTGTAAGTATTTTTAAATTAATAATAGAATTCCAAATAAAATAGTTGAGTACAGCCTAAAATCATTAGTTTTATTAAATTAATTAACCAATAAGATATATTATAGCATCTTTATAAACTCTTCATTATTCATTTAACGAAATAAGAATATCAAAATGAAATTATATTTTATATATTTTAATATAAAACAATTGAATAAGCAGATCATTAACCTAATATATTGATATAATACTTTTATAATATATAATTACCTTTTTCGAAATTATTTATTCTCTCATTCCATTTTTAATAATTTTCTCAATTAATTTATCTCCATAGAAACTATTAACGAGAAATATGATATCATAATCTGAAAATATTAATATTAAATTAAAATTATGATTAGAAATTAAAAATAATTCTAGAATGAATTTTTAATTGAAGAAATATAAATATGTTTTTTATCTTTTTTTAGTTTGTTCATTAAAATTACAAATTTTAGTAGTTAATTTGTTATGCATGTTTATTTATAAAATTAAAGCTTAAGAATTAGTTGAAAATATTTGAATTAATATAATGTTCATATTAAGAGATTTATAAATGTAAATAAATAAATTTATAAAATAATAAAACTTATGTCTAAAATAGATTGGGAATAAAAGCTTAAATAATATCATGCATTAAAAGATAGAAAATCGATAACAAATATGTTATAGATTAAAACAAAAAATATGAGATTATCACCATCATTAGGATCAACAAGAGCTGGAACAGAAATAAATTCTTTTAGATTAAAGAGATTAAAGACTCCAATAGATGATGGAATATAGTAAATAAAGACTAGTAGATCTTAATAAGTATGTAAAGATAATTGAGGAGGTATCTCCATTAAAAGATGTTTGCCCTTGGAATACTTAGACACCATTATAAAGATTAATGAAAATAGATAAAGCAACAGAAAAGGAAAAAAGGGTTTTACAATAATTTATATGTAATAAATGGCTAAAGGAAGTCATATAAAAAAAGAGCATACATGTAGCTATACCAAAAGTATCAGAAGAAGAAAAAAGAATGAGAATATAAGAATTTGAGACTTCAGAACATCATAGATAATTAAGAATATAATAATCTTTAACTCCAAATATGAGTAAAATGGAGAAAGTCTTTTGCAAAATAAAAATATTTTGTAAATTAGCAAGTTAGAGAGAAATAAATTTAAAAGATTAAATAAGAATAAATAATGATTATCGTCGATTAGTGTTTTTTGTTCATTTTAGAAATGAAGATTACAAGATATGTGATTAAATGATAAATTCTGATCCTCATATAAAAAATGCAATTGATATGGTATAAGTTAACTCAATTTAAGTAAGGTGATAGACCTTTACATATTGCAGTGAGAAGAAATAATTTAAGATAATTATCATATATATTAAATAAGTAACCTGATTTGGAAGCAGTTAATTTTTATGAATAAACAGCATTAAATTTAGCGATATTATTAAAACATTATGAAATCTAAAAAGTATTTCTTTAAATAAAAATTTGATTCTTTTAGTTAATGGATGTAGTCCTTGGAAGATATTTAAACCAAATAAATTAGTGAAAACAGCTATTCTATATAGGATGAGAATGATATGTGAACATACATAATTATATGATGAATTGGCTTATTGTTTGAGTATAATTAATTGAAATTTAATTATTTTTATGGATAAATTTGAGAAGCGTCTAAATCAAGTAAATATGGTAACACCCAAAAATCCAGTTACTTAATAATCAAATCTTAAGTAAACTGATGCTGCTAAGAGTTATGCTTCTTTTAATGATTTTAATAAATTGGGAGATTAATATGATAATGAAGCTGTCAATTTGAGATCATAAGTTTAAATTTTAGAAGGCAAACTATAATTTTATGAAAGAGAATTTTAAATCAAAGTAATAATAATATTGTTACAAATTTAAGTAATCATCTTTAGAGAAAAGAATATAATAATTGATATCTACTTCATCTTAACTAACTCAATAAAATACACAACTTAAGTTATAATAATCAGCTTTATTAAATGAATATTAAATTCTATAAGATAAATTAATATAATAAGAATAAGGTTAGAAAGAGTATGAAGAGAAAGTTAGATCATAAATTGAAGGTTTGAATAAATTTCAAATTGAAAAAGAATAATTAATATAATATGCAAATAAATGTAGAGAAAGATCAAAATAAAGGAAAATCAAAGTTAAAGATTTAACAGCTAAAGTATAAGAATTATAAGAATAAGTTAAATAATTTGAATTATAATTTGAATAAGCCAATATTGAAAAATAATAGATTTATGATTAACTTTAATAATAAATTGTATTACTATCTGAATAAAATGAAGATTGGCAAATGAAATATGAAACTATTGTAGAAAATTTTAAAAATCATCTCGCAGATCAAACAGATAGCTAATAAGAAGAATAATTATTAGGTACTCATACTATTTTAGATTAAAGAGAAGCCTAAACTGTTCAACAACAATTAGAAAATTTTAGTTTATTAAATAGAGAATTAAATTAATTATTAAATCAATTGAAAAATCCCAATCAAATCAAACCTTAAATATTTGAAATGCCTTAAATTAAAGAATTAGCAGAAATTTTTGGTAGAATGATAGATAAATTGTTGGAATTATAATAAAAAAAGTCTTAATTAAAAGAATAACTAAAAGTATTTTTTAAATAAATAAATTTATAGTAAAATTAATTCCATTTGTAGTAATAGGCTTCAATAAAATCTAGTTCTGGGAATTAGAGTCCAAATATTCATGATGAGAGAACTAAAATGCTCTTTGAATAAAGAATCCTTGAATTAGAGCAGTATGAATGATTTAATCCTAGATTCTATTAGAGAGACAATAAACAAGAAAAAGTTAGATCCATTACTTAACCAAAATATAATGATAGAAAACTAAAATAAGTAATTTCAGTTATAAACTAAATTTTGGAAGAATTTCTTAAGTAACAAAAACACCTTTCTATTTTGAATCTTCATTTAAATAAAATTCAATATGATCCAAACTTTACATAAAGTAAAAGATCATTAAAAGTTTTTATTTGGGTAGTGATAGCCATAAGTCGAATGAAGAAAATAAAGAATTCAACTTATTATTAATAATTTGTATAATATAAGAAATTGAGAATTGAGATGCCCATCTTAGATTCTTTTAATCAAATATTATAGCTTATAAATAGTTAATAATATTTAATAGATACATTATAAATAGCTGTTGAATAAAAAGGATCTGATGGAGGATTATAAGAACAAGAAATACAATAGATGGTTGATGAAGAATTAAGATAATAATTGATGACTTTATAGGTTGAACTTGATAATAATAATAAAAAAATGATTGAATATAAAATTAAATCAGAATAAGATTTAGAAGAAAGAGATCAATTAATTCATGAATTATAGTAATAACTTTAAGAAATACCAAATGATTACAATTAAGAATTAATGGAACATTTAGAAGATCAAAATAACAGAGTTAAAAATATTGAGATTGAATTCAATTTATTATAGGATCTTGTCAATTCATTAATGTGAATTATTAACATATCAATTTCAATTATTATTTATTTTTGATTTTGTCATAATAGAAATGTAAGTTACATTTAAAAAAGATGGTATTATTTTTATTATTATTAAATACTTTTATAAGATATAAAAATAAAAATAGTAATGATTTAATTCTCTAATCTATCATTTAAAAGTCTTTCTTGCTATCAACTAAGTTGACGTTAAAGCATTTCTTGTTACGTCATTTAGTATAAAAGTGTATTAATTGTTTAGTTCTCTTGAACTATGATGGTAGGATAAGTATATTTAATAATGATTAATACTAATGTTAAAACACATAAATTATAAGTATGTATAAATTATTACATAGAAGAAATAAATTCCTTTTTATATTATGTTAATTAATAATATATTTTAAAATTTAACGATCATGAATACATCTTTTCCAAAAATGTCAACTTCTTCGTTAAGTCAAACAGCCTCTTAAACAAATTTTTATGAATCAAGTCCAATGTCATCACATTCAATAAAATAGTAAAGTTCAAATGACAATTTTAAAGTGGTTGTAAGAGTTAGACCTCCTTTATAAAGAGAAGTAGTGGATGGAAGATTTATATCTACTATTTAAGTATCACCAGATCATAAAAAAATATGTTTATACGAATATTACAATATTGATTTGGTAGAACCTGAACATTTAGAAGATTATCTAAATAATCCAAATAGTTACACAATGCATACGTTTTCCTTTGATTATGTTTATGATTAAGATAATACATAAGAAGAAGTATATGAAAACACAGCTAGAAATGCAGTTTAATCAGCACTTTAAGGTTTTAATGCAACAATAATGGCTTATGGATAGACAGGAACTGGTAAAACATATACAATGGAAGGATTTAAATATAATTGTATTGATCCATAGAGAGGAATAATTCCAAGGGCTATAGAAGAAATATTTAAACATATATCTAATGGATCAAATGAATCAACTACTTTTATGGTTAGAGTTAGTTATTTATAAATTTATAATGAAGTTATTAGTGATTTATTAAGAAGTGATAGATAAAATTTACTTATAAGAGAAGATAAGAAAAGAGGAGTATTTGTAGAAGGTTTATCAGAATGGGCTGTTCGCAATCCTGGTGAAATCTATTAATTAATATAAAAAGGAGCATCATCAAGAGCAACAGCTAGTACTAAAATGAATGATGTAAGCAGTAGATCACATGCTGTATTTATAATTATAGTAGAATAAATGACAGAAATAGATGGACATAAATCAATTAAAGTAGGAAAATTAAATTTAGTAGATTTAGCAGGTAGTGAAAGAGTAAGAGTTACAGGAGCTACAGGAAGAAGATTAGAAGAATCTAAAAAAATTAATTAATCTTTAAGTTGTTTAGGTAATGTCATTTCTTCATTAATTGAATAAAAAAATCATATTCCTTATAGAGATTCTAAAATTACTAGATTGTTAGAAGATTCATTAGGTGGTAATTGTAAAACTACTATGATGGGAATGATTTCACCTGCTATTGATGCTTTTCTTGAAACTTTAAGTTCAGTTAAATTTGCTAATAGAGCTAAAAATATTAAAAATAAAGCTACTATTAATGAAGATGTTGATTAAAAAGCACTTTTAAGGAAATATGAATGTGAATTATAAAGATTAAGAAAAGAGCTTTTAGAAAAAAATAAAACTTTGATTGATGCTACTAAATTATCTCAGTTAGAAGAAGATAAAAAAAAAGCTGAATAAGATAAAAATGCTGCAATGGCAGCTCTTGAAGCTAGAAGCAAATAATTTTTTATTGAAAGAGAAGAAAAGAAAAAATTAGAGGAAAAAATTAGATAAATCAATAGTCAAATGTTAATTGGAGGTTGCAATATAGAAAACAGTCCTTTATTCAGAAATGCTATTGAAGAATAATAAAAACTTATTCGAGCATAGTATGAAAAAAAAATTAGTGATTTAGAAAAAGAAAGATCTTAAATGGAAGAAGATAAAGTTTAAGTTGATAGATATAAATAATTAACTTTAAAATAAAGAGATATAATGATTGCATTAACCACTAGATTAAATGAAAGAGATGAAACTATTGTACAATTATAAGATGAACTAGATGCATATGATAGAATTCATAGAGAAACTGAAACTATGTTAGATTAAAAGATATAAAGAATTATGCAATTAGAAGATTATATTAATTCCATAGGTTGCAATATTCCAAACATTTAATAAATGCAATAATTGAAATAAAGTAAATTTAAGGATTGTGTAACTTAAGATGGCTAGGACACTTATAATATTACCAAAGAGAATTTATAAGATTTTGAATGTTAAATTGAATAATTAACTTTAATAAATTAAGAATAAGAATAAGAAATTCAAAAATTAAAGAATTAAATTGAATGTTCTAGTAATTCAAATGTGATGGATTTTGTTAGATGTAACTTATAATATATGATAATAAGCTTCTGTTGATAACATAATAGAGGCCTTATCCTAACCAAATGATGGATTTAAATTACAAAGCGTCGCAAAAGATCTGATAACTCTTCAAAAAATACTCTCGAGTGAATAGACTAGTGGCGTAGTATTTTCAAATATCTAAAATATGGTATATTCAAGGAAAGAATCTCCATTGCCTAGTAATTAATCTAAGAAATCAATAAATAATTCCTAAAATTAAGAAGAAGATGATGAGCCTCGATAGTTAAATAATTTCTATACATTTTCTAAGTACGTAATACATTAAAATTAGTAAATCATAAACATCTTCAATGAAGAAACAAAAAGATCCATCTTTGCCAAAACCTCAGATAAATGTCCAAGAAATAATAAAAATGAGAGAAGTAAAAAGAAACCTCTATTCTTGATTAATTTTATATTTAATATTCGAATTAGTAACTTAATTATAGAAACTAGATTCTTTATTAATCATCAAGAAGATAAGGAGACTTTAATTAGTTAAAACTTAGGAATTTATAGATAAAATAAATTAGATTCTAAACAGTAATATTAGGTATGCTTAAGAATAACAACCAGAGCTTCACTTCTATTTAAACACTAATAATAGATAATAAAATTTTGTGAGGCTTTTTTAGGTTGTTCCTATAAAGCTCCTATACCACAATAAAACATTGATATATATATATATTTGAAAGAAACAAATCTTAAGGGCAATTTATATCCTTACATTATTTATAAAAGCTGAAAAATTACAATGAAAGGGCATGATCTATTTTGATAAAGAATCTTAAACAAATTCTTCCATATATGCAATTAAGTTAAATATCATATCCAAATAGAAGCAATAAAAAAGGTTTATTCTGATACAAAAAAGCTAAGTTCGATTGGTTAGGGCCAAAAGATTCTTAGCAATTAATGAGTAATTGCTTGATGATACAGTAATATTAAATTTCCATATAATTTTATAATTTCTGAGATATGCTATTCTTTTTGATTCTTGGTTTATATTTTTAATAAAAAGAGTATTTTCTATTCATTATATCTTTTTGAACGCCTCGATCTTGAGAATGTGAAAGCTCGAAGCATATCTTAATATCATTAAATCTACTAACATTGTCAAGTTAAATTAAACTAGCTACATTTTAGAATCAAAGGCATATAATGTATTGAAAGTAAAATTTGATAATAAGTTATTTAAAGTTTTGGGTCATATATGATGGATTAATTCAAAAAAGAGTTTAATAGATAAATTTACATCTTAAGATTAAGAGAGAAAAGAAAGTGATATTTTAGAATCAAATTTTATAATCTATATATTTCTGTCTACAATTGGAATTGCGCAATATTCACAACCAAAAGGTCTCCCTAAATTATAATATATTTCAAATCTATTTAAGATTCAATTAAGTAACGAATTGAAGATATTTAAGTTGCTGTAATAGGCTCTAATAATTAGACATAGATAAATTATTCATTTATTAATCTAATTATATGAAGATGAAAATGAGAATTTTATATATAGGAAACCATTACAAGTTGATGTTAAGAAAAGAACTAAAAATGAACTTGCTTAGGATACTTCTATTGGAAGGATTTTTAAATAGAGAAAAAGGGTATCTATACTGATAATTTTGTATTTGTGGGTTTGCCTAATTTAAGACTGATTTGATATATTTTTATTAAAAATAATGTTTACAGAGTAACCCTATTATGAGGCAAAAGTATTCCTCAAATCATATAACGACGCCCTTTCCTGTTTGAGGTACTTTTTGCTATAAATAATTTAAATAGAGAAGCAGCAGAATACAAAGCCCATGTTGAATTTTAGGAAAATGCTCTTTAATCCCTTGCGAATGCTCGTACAAGATAAGAAGTAATGAGAGTACATAAATTAGCTTGATGTGAGAGATGGTTAAGTTGTACCAGGACTTAATTTTGCATAATCTAAATAGACCAAGCTATTCCAATTCTCAAAGTATAAATTTTAGATAAAATTACAGTCATGTGTTTTCAAAATACCTAAAAGGATTTGAAGAATACACAGGCAGTTTTAAGGGCTTCTAATAGATTCTGAGCGAGGGTCTTAAGAAAATGAAGTCAGATGTAAAATGAGATATGATCAATGAAATTATATTATTATATCAACAAAGACAGTATAGTGGGTTAAAATGATTGATAATAATTTTATTGTCTTAAGTCTATTAGTCTCGAAAGTCAAATGATATTAAGAGAAGGTTCTTTATAAGATAAATATCTTTATAAAGTATATCTTAAGGGAAAAGTGTGTTTATAATAGTTTATAGAATATGTAAAAGACAAGGAAATAAAGATCGATAAATTCGAGGGAATTTTAGCTTCACAAAGAAAATAGCTATTTAAAAACAAATATCTATTCATGGAATATCTAAATTTATTTTAATAAAATAAAATGCTGACTAGGGTATTAGCCAAATAGATGCGTGCAGGTATTTAGATAGTTTAATATCTTCATAGCATTCTCTGCTGCTAAAAAATAAGCAGAGACCACTGCAACAACAACAAAAGCTACTACAAAAACAACTACAGGTTAAATTGCTTAAGTTATTGGTGCTGTTGTTGATGTTTAGTTTGATGGACCTCTTCCACCAATCTTGAACGCTTTATAAGTTTAAGGCACAAGCCATAAATTAATTTTGGAAGTAGCTTAACACTTGGGTGATAGCAGAGTCAGAACAATTGCTATGGATTCTACAGAGGGTCTTATTCGTGGATAACCTGTATCAGATTTGGGAGGTCCAATAACAATTCCAGTTGGTCCTGAGACATTAGGACGTATTATGAATGTTATTGGGGATCCAATTGATGAAAGAGGACCAATTGAAACAAAAATAAGATATCCAATTCATAGAGAAGCTCCAAGTTTTGTAGATTAAGGAAGTGGAGCAGAAATATTGATAACTGGTATTAAAGTTGTAGATTTATTGGCTCCATATGCAAGAGGTGGTAAAATCGGATTATTTGGTGGTGCTGGAGTAGGAAAGACAGTGTTAATTTAAGAATTAATTAATAATGTTGCTAAAGCTCATGGTGGTTATTCAGTATTTGCTGGAGTAGGAGAAAGAACAAGAGAAGGAAATGATTTATATCATGAAATGGTTGCTTCAGGTGTTATAAATTTAAGTGGTGGATCAAGATGTGCTTTGATTTATGGATAAATGAATGAGCCACCTGGTGCTAGAGCTAGAGTTGGTTTAACTGGTTTAACAGTTGCTGAATATTTCAGAGATGAAGAAGGAAAAGATGTGTTACTCTTTATTGACAATATTTTCAGATTCACATAGGCATGTTCAGAAGTGTCAGCATTATTGGGACGTATCCCATCAGCTGTCGGTTATTAACCAACATTGGCAACAGATTTAGGTTAATTATAAGAACGTATTACAACAACAAAGAAGGGATCTATCACATCAGTCCAAGCTATTTATGTACCTGCAGATGATCTTACAGATCCTGCACCAGCTACAACATTTGCTCACTTGGATGCTACAACCGTGTTATCAAGAGCTTTAACTGAATTAGGTATTTATCCAGCTGTCGATCCATTGGATTCTTCATCACGTATGATGGACCCAAATATTGTTGGTGAAAAGTAATCTATCTCATATTATTATTCTAGACATTATACTGTTACTAGAGGAGTTTAAAAATTATTATAAGATTACAAATCACTCCAAGATATCATTGCCATTTTGGGTATGGATGAATTGTCTGAAGATGATAAACTTACTGTTGCTAGAGCTAGAAAAGTTTAAAGATTCCTTTCTTAACCATTCTTCATGAGTGAAGTTTTCTCAGGAAGAAAGGGTAAATTCGTATCACTTAATGACACCATTGCTGGATTCAGAGGTATTTATTTTAGTTTATTCTAGCTTTACTTGATGGTGAAGGTGATGAATATCCAGAAAATGCATTCTATATGTAAGGAACCTTTGAAGATGTTATTGAAGAAGCTAAAAGAGTTGCTGCTGAAACAACTAAATGAAAAACATCTACATTCACATTTAAATAAAAACAATAATGCTCTTTATATATTAGATATTATATTTTAGTTTATTCTATTCAATCATCTAAATTCTTCATTTATTTATTATTTATGTATTCAAACAATTTTAAATCTCTGCAAGATCACTCTCTATCCAAGGATAAGCTTATCTATTCTTTAGATAGTTTAAATACATAGCCAAAATCAAAATAAAAATAAATCTTATAGAGATTTTACTAAACTTAAAATTTTAGTAAATTAATCAATCAAGGTCAAAAGAAATTATCTACAAAAAAGGAAGTATTCTCAACTAACATTATTCTTAATACTACATTAAGGAATGTTACTCCAAAAATTAATCACATTAATTAAGAAGTATCTCTTATATTAATATAACTCTAGTATTATTTTTCCAAACAATAGTAATTATAAACTACTGTTAGATAACCAGAGAAAATAAGCAAAACGCTTTAATCAGTGTTGAACAAACCAAATCAGAATTTTAATCAAGAATATTCTAATAACAAAATAGGCTAAATCAACACAGATAGAAAGCATAATTTAATATCTTTAAATTCCACCAAATTAATTCAAAAAAGAAAAACAGAAAATTAAGAATAAACAATAACCAAAGAAAAAAATAATTACAAATTAAATTCTCCTCTTCTTATTAGTTTAGAAGATGTTGTCACTCAAGTCACAACACAAAATCTTTCAAAGTCTAAGATATCACCTTTCGAATAAGCTAAATCATTATCTCCACCAAATAAAGAATTATCTCTTAAAAAGAAAAGTATTTATTGTGTATAATTTAGATAACATCTACTATGTCTCAGCAATGTGTGAATCAATGATAGATGACACCAATCCTATGAGTTAAATATTTTAGGATCATGCAATCTAAACTTTCAACAGCATAAATTTTTGTTTGAACTAATAGGAAAAAGACTTACATTAGATACAAGAAAAAATGATAAAATGGCCAAAGCAAAATACAAAATGTAAATAAAATCTTAGATTCAAGTTAATAAAACAATTGTTTTTGACTTAGATGAAACATTAATACACTGTTATGAAAATAACACAACAAAACCAGAAATTTTATTGCCCATAACTTTTCCTTCAGGAGAAATTGTAATAGCTAATATAAATGTTCGTCCTTGGGCAAAAGAAATATTATTAAAATTATCCGAAGTTTGTGAAGTTGTAATATTTACAGCATCTCATAAATGTTATGCATAATAGGTTATTGAGTTGCTAGATAAGTTTAAAGTAGTATCTGCATCATTATTCAGAGATCATTGCTAAATCACAAGTGAAGGAGTCTATATTAAAGATCTTCGAATATTAGGAAGAGATATGAAAGATGTTGTTTTGATTGATAATGCTGCTTATAGTTTTGGAGTTCATATTGAAAATGGGATACCTATCATTCCTTATTATGATAATAAAGCTGATAATGAGTTAAGATTATTGTATGATTTTTTGATCAGTAATGTTCTTCCTTCATTTGATTGTAGAAAAATCATACAAAATACATTTAGATTAAGGGAATTTGCAAATTACGTAACTCCAAAATTAGCTATTAAAAAACTATATTTTTGATCAAATATATTTAAATATTTAAAAACTCATTTATTCCCCATAACCAACTACAATTAAATATTTTTCATTTGAGTACATATCTAATATTTTTGTTAATTTATTAGCATATTCCATATCATTAATCTTTAATTTGTCTTCTTTGATCATAACTAAATTGTTACTATGATTAATCAAATCATCGTATTCTGATTCTAATTAGGTATCATAGAGATACCATTTATTTTGGGTATCTCTAAAGTAAAATTGATCATCATTTAATATTAAAGCTTTTGTAATCAAGGCTTCTGAAATTTTAAATTAATTTGTGCTTAATATATGATTATTGCTGTCAACACTATAAATCAAAACATTTCCAAAATTATCAAATTAATCAACAACAATAACATCATCAAAATAAGTTGTAATAACATTACCTTAAATTTTATCTTCCATTTTTAAATGTCTAAATCCATTTAAAAAAGCATTTTTTGCATTTCCAATATAACAATCTCCATTATCAACTCTTATTTTTATGACATGATGTGTTTCTTATGTATATTCATCAATATTAATAATATTCATCTCTCCCAATTATGCATCCCTTAACATATTCCAACTCTAATCTAAAAATTTATATTCATTTTAATCACTAATTATAAATAAACAATTATTTCTTAATTATTTGATAATCTTCACAGGATTATTAAATAACTTTAGTTCTTATTTGATTTCATTCAAATCAAATCTTACAATTTTTCCATCCCAACCTCCTGTTATGAATTCATTTTTAAAATTAATTATGCAACTTGTTATACAAATATATTAAGGATTAAAATGTTCTTCATATTCAATCAATTCATGTGGTAATTTTATGTTCAATTCAACATCCTCTAAATTACCTGTTTATTATTTTTAAGATTCCTACATTTACTCTATGTATAATATATCAATTTCTTTCTAGATTTTGATAATTTCATCTTCAACTTGAATAAAATTCAAACTCATATCCATTTAGTCAAAATTATTTAGACAACATTTTTGAATATAATTTAAATACTCTTGTATTTTTGCCTTATTTATGACCTTTTGCTAGAATATTCTTTCAATTGGGCTTTCATAATTATTTATTAATTTAATCTGCTCTTTTATTGATTCATTAATAGGCTAACTGAATTCTTCTATTATTTTTTCAAGTTTTGAGAAATATTCATTAAACTTTGTAACTATCTATTCTTTCAGAGTTTAAAATTCCTGTATCAAGGATAATTTATCAAATTATTATATAATCATTATTTGATTAAAATTAATTATTATTTATATTATGTAAGGTGATTTGAGAATCAATTTAGACTTTTAAGAATAAGAATCCTTTTATTCTGATGATGATGAAGAGGAAGAAGGAATCAAAAACTATTAAATTGGTCGCTTCCATCCAGTTTTTATTGGTGAAGTATTTCATGGGAGATATGTGGTGATTTAGAAATTAGGTTATGGGAATTTTTCAACTGTATGGTTAGCAAAGGATTTCAAATCGAATAATTTTGTTGCTCTAAAAATATAACGAAGTGCACCTTAATCATAGGAAGCAGCCCTCGATGAAATTGAAATACTATAAACAATTCAAAGAAAATCTCGAAATATTAATATTGTCAAATTATTGAATGTTTTTGTACACAAAGGTTTATTTGGTAATCATTATGTATTGATTTTTGAAATTCTTGGCCAAAACTTATTAGAGCTAATTAGGAATTGCGATAATGAGGGTTTAAATTTGGAATAATGCAAATCTATTATTAAGTAAATCCTGATTGCATTAGATTTTCTGCACAGAGAATGTGGGATTATCCATACTGATTTAAAGCCTGAAAATATTTTATTGTGTCTTACAACTGAATAAATTAAAGATATTGTTGAGAAGGGACAAATTAAATAGCGCCAATACTTTTCAGAATAATTAAATAAATATTATAAGCAGTCTAAATCAGATAAAAAAAAAGAAAAAAGAAAAAGATAAAAAGAAAAAAAAAAATTGCAATCCATCAAATATAAACTGCAGTAAATTGATTGCAATAAAAGGTATTGCAAATTAATAATTATATAAGAATCTTTCAAGTTAAAATTGCTGATTTCGGTAATGCTTGTTGGGTAAATCATCATATGAGTGAAGTGATTCAAACTTAAAAATACAGAGCACCAGAAGTAATATTAGGTTAATATTATGGAACATCAGCTGATATTTGGAGTCTTGCTTGCATAGCATTTGAATTAGTAACTGGAGACAGTTTATTTGAAACAGAATTTGAAGATTATGATACACATTTAAAGTAGATTCAAGAAATTTTAGGTCCATTTCCAATTGAATTCACTTCTGTTGGAACATATTGTAGATAATATTTTAAGTATAACGGAGAATTGAGAAATGTTAAAGTTAAACACTATTGTTCTTTATAATAGCTTTTAGTTAAAAAGTAAGAATTTTCAATTAATGAGATATCAGATAGAAAATTATGAAGCTGCTTAATTTGCAGATTTTTTATTACCAATGTTAAATGTATTTTCTTTCAAAAGAGCAACCGCATCTTAAATGCTCAAGCATCCTTGGATAAGTAAATAATAGTTTAAGTTTAATTATTTCATCGAAATGCCCTAAATAGATAATGAGCATGAATATGATTCAGAAAGTGATGATGAAAATTTGGACAGTGTTAATTTTAAGTGAAATTGTAGATAATAATTATTCATCTTAAAGTTATTTTTCAACTTAAATATTTCAATTCCTATTTATTTTATAAAGATTTTACTATTTTTATTTTAATACGAGATATAATGATATTGTGATGAAATCTGCAATTTTTAATCTTTTTTTATCGAAAATTTTTAAATTATGTGATATCCAAAGAATTGAAAAGAAGCTTACGATAGATTTAAGAATAGTTTTTGAGTACTTTTGTTTAGTTGGGCACTCATTTTTAATTATAAACAATTTCTATTAGGAAAAATCATTCATTACAAGTGTATTTTATTAATTATAAAAAATTTTATTGATAATTTATGGTGAGAGCCTTGAAAAATCTAAATACCATTTTGGCAGAAAAATAAATTTAGAAAAAAATAAAATAAAGTGGAGCAATAAAAAATGTTTATAATTGGTGTGTTTTTATCGAAATAAGGAAAGTTATAGGAAGCTTTATAAATTTTTAGATAATTGGTTGATAAACTTAAGGGTGATGTGGATAAACCATTATTACTATTATTTCATGTAACCTAGAATTATGAGTAAGACTTAAACATAAAGCCAATAACCCCTTTTTAGATTTAAAAGCCACCCTAATAATAGTTTTAAAATTAACCACAACCTTTTTAGCTAGCAATAATAATAATTAACAACATTAATAGCGCCTTCCTTAGCATCCCATAAGAAGGATCAGCAGATAAAAATATATCAAATCAACAAAGTTTATAAAGTGATAAAATTTCATCTTAATAATAATTTGATGAGCATCAATCAAGCATAGAGTAACTATTAATGATATAACCTGTAAAAAAAGATAAAGATTTGTTAAATAAAATTCATTAACGCTTGATCAAAAAAAATGGCACTCATTGATTTAAATAATGAAATGCAGAATCAATAACGAATACGGAAGAGCAAGCAAAACCACAAAATTAAGTTAAAGAAAAATTTTGTTTCTAAGAATCTTAACCATATATAGAACCATAACAGCCTAATGAATAATTTAATTTTAAGGAAATTCAGATTCTTATAGATTAGAGTCAATTAAGGAAAGATCTGTTGAAAAAGGAAAGAATAACAAATGAAAAACTCTTAAAACCATTCAAAATAATAAAATGAAAATGATGATTAGATGATAAAAACAAAAAAGTCATTTAAAAAAAATTAAAATTTAGTTTAAATGAAGATTAATTATATAAAAAAAGCAAGAAAAGATTGAATGAGCAATTCGTTAATAAAATTAAATAGTAAAATTTCTAAACATAAAATTAAAGTTACAAAGGAATACCATAAAAACAATTGAGTAATTTAGAAGAAAGGAAATCCTAAGAGCGATATACATCATAAAACTTTCTATAAGAATCATAAATAAATGTAGATAATGAAAATTTAGAAAATAAAAAATAGAAATAGAATAGCATTTAATATACTAATAATAAGGATAAATAGAATTATAATAAGTTTAAGGAATATGAAAATAGGAATAATAATAATTAGAAATTTAAAAATAGTTAGAAAGATAATAGCAGAATAAAAGAAAAAATTGGAAGAAGAATAAAAAGATAATAAAAGATAATGAAAGATAATTAGAATTATAAAAGGAATAAGAAAGATAAGATTTAGAATAAAACTAAGTCTAAGAACTTAATTCTTCATAATAATAATCTCGAATAATTGATAAATATGTTTTGAATCCATTGATATCTTAGGTTCCTATCTAATAATAGACTTTTGCAGATTATTCAAAATTGGACAAGGAAATCACCTTATAACAAAACCAAAATAAAATTCTGAAAGTTATCATTCATGAAAGTCTGTTTAAGAACCAAGCATTTTAATTATAACACCTTAAAAATTTATAAATTTTTTATAAGTATAAAATTAATAGATACAATCAATTACTTTTCCAAAAGACTTAAAAAATGGAATAGAAATTTCTTACGAAAACTAGACTGGCTTTTTTATTGGTTTAATTGAATAAAAAGATATCTGAAAGATCAGAAGATTAGTAAAACACTCAAGTAGCCATAATAAATCTAATATTAGAATAAAAAAAAGATAAGCATCCTTCTATATATCTATATAAAAATTGATTCAAGCCTCCATCAACAAAAGGATAAGAAAAAAACATATCTTTAATTTTAGAATTAGGTTTAAAAACTCTCAATTTGAAACTGGAAGGTTTAGCGCTCCTTTTCTTACCTATTATCTTTTCCCTATTCACCTATGGTTATCGATTCAGCCAGTCACAGTGACTCAGTTCCTAGTTGAATTCCAGCTAACATCATATAAACTGGATATAAAAGATGGTTCAATTCCAAGACTTAAATCGGGGTGTGTTAATTTTGATGCACTCAAATAAACTTTTTAGGATCAAAAGACTGATTAAAACATGGAAAATTTTTAAAGTAGTAATAAAATGGTTTCAGTTACAATTTAAGATATAAAATAATTTAAAAACTATTATACAATAAATTTTGTATTTTTAAATAAAAGACAGAAATTAAAGACTTTTCAGCGTTACAATTTTAAAACAATTTACATTTAAGCACTTTATTATTTTTAATTTTTCCCATAAAGCCAAGAATTAAGAATTAATTTGGGTTCAGATAATCTACAATTATAATAAATAAATATGAATATCATTTATTTATGATTATGAACAGTCCAATATGGAATACAATATTAATATCGATTTAATTCACAAATATCTAACAATTCTAATATGAGAAGATAGATTTAGTAATTGATAGAGTTAAAAATTTTGTGATGTTTCTGCGTTCGAATTTAATTTATGAATGATACTTGAAAAATTTTTAAAATTCATTAATGTGAATAGTAATATGTCTTATTTTATGTGAAAAAAATCTAAACTTATTAAAAACAAAGAATTATTTTATTTATTTTGATAAATTTAGTTTTATTTTATTTTTATTACTTTTAACTTATTCCATAAATATATTTATGTTTTCAAAACTATTATTTAAGATTGATAAGAATTCTTAAGGTAATCAATAAAAATAAGATAAAAATAAGGTAGAGATCTTATAAACTAAGCTATTCAAGCCTATTTTTGCATAAAAGGAATCAAAAATTAAAGAATAGAATTAGAAAGATCAAAATAGAGGATGGGTTCTGATAATAAATATTGTAATTTATAGAATATTCTAGTATTTTTAGGATATTTAATAGCAGCTAATTCTAGAAAATTTAAACTAATTAATGTCTTAATTAGCTTCAATAGGTATAGACTTTGGTAGTCAAAGATCAGTAATTGCAGCTGCTCTTAGAGGTGGTGTAAAGATTTTAGATAATGAGGGAACTCATAGAGAAACATAAAATGTTATAGGATTTACAGCTGAGGAAAGATTTATTGGAGAATAAGGTGCTTTGCAATAAAAGTCCAATTTCAAAAATTCAATTGGATTCTTTAATAGATTCTTAGGAATCTCAGGAAAACAATAATTTAGAGAGGAAGAAACAAAATGGTTGACAGTTCCTACATAAATAAATGAATCTGGAAAAACATTGTTTGAAGTGTCTTACCTTGGATAAAAGACAAGCTTCACTCCAGAATAATTGACAGGCACAATGCTCAATAAATTGAAGAATATTATATAACTGAACGACATTAATATATAATCTAGTAATGTTTGTATAAGTGTCCCTCCTTATTATACAGAATCTGAAAGAAAAGCTCTTATTGATGCTTGTAAGATATCAGAAATACCACTTGAGAGATTGTTAAATGAAACTACAGCAATTGCTATAAATTATGGTTTATTTAGAAAAACAGATTTGGATGCAGAGAAACCAAGAAATGTAGCATTTGTTGATTTAGGTCATTCTAAATTTTCAGCTTTTGTAGGATCCTTTTACAAAGAAAAAGCTTCAGTTTTGGCTTAAGTTTGTGAAAGAAATTTGGGTGCAAGAGATATTGATTGGGTTTTATTTGAGAAATTTGCGACTCAATTTGAAAAATAAACTGGTGGATTAAGTGTAAGAAAGAATATTAAAGGAAGATTACGATTATTAGAAGCAATAGAAAAAGCTAGAAAGGTCTTATCTGCTAATTCAGAAGCATAAATTAATGTTGAATATTTAGTTGAAGATGAGGATTTTAATACTCTCATAAAAAGAGAAGAATTTGAATAATTAGCATAACCTTTTCTAAAGTAGATTTAAATTAAACTAGATTTATTATACAATTAAGTTTAAAACTTAAAATTATAACTTCATTCAGTTGAAATAATAGGAGGAGCAACAAGAATACCTGCTGTGTAAAGATTAATAGAAAAAATCTTCAAAATTGAATAAGTCTCAAGAACTTTAAATGCAAGTGAATCTATATCAAGAGGATGTGCAATGATGGCTGCAATGAGAAGCCCTAATTTTAGAGTTACTGAATATAAAATTGATGATTGTAATTATTATCCAATCAAAGTTGGTTGGCTCTATGAATAAAAATTAAATTCATTAGATTAAAGTAAGGGATTATTGAATTGTTTCCCTGAAAGGTAATGTAAAATTTTATATGATTAAAATAATCCCATTCCTTCAATCAAAAGTTTTGCTTTAATGAAAACTTAACCTATTGAAATAACTCTTTTTTATGATCCAGTTCCTTAAGGATTTGACCCTATTTTAAGTAAAATTAAGTCTCCTACTATTTTTTAGAATAGATTTATGTACCTCCCATTATAGCCAAGCATAAAGAGCATTCAACTAAAGTTAAAATATTGTTGAATTAAAATGGTCTAATAAATTTGGAAGAAGTATTATTTTAAGAAGAATATATGGAGGAAATCAAAGTACCTGTAAGTCATGTTCATTAATATTTTAGATTGAGAAAGCAAAGATAAAAATTCCTTAAAAGTAAGAAGAATGTTCATAATAAAAACCTGATATTTAAATATAAGAGGGAATAAAGGGAGAAGGAGAACCTTAATATGAAATTAAATAGAAAAAAAAAATTACATAAAATTAGATCAACTGTGAGACTACTTGTCTTTATTCTTTGACTTAGAAAGAGATTGACCAATTCTTCTAGTAAGAGATTGAAATGCTTAACATTGATAACTAAGTTCATGAAACTCAATTCAAGAAGAATCAATTAGAAGCATATATTTATGCTTGGAGAGAAAATTTGAACGGAAAATATGCAGAAAATGCAAGACAAGAACTCAAAGATTAAATTTATAAAGAATTAGATCTTCAATATGAATGGTTGTATGGAGATGGCTAAAAGACTACAAAGAGAGAATATACTGATAGATATGATAAACTTGTTTAATTATGTAGTCCGATAGCAACAATAGCAGAGGAGTATCGGTAATTACCTGATGTCATTTAATAAGTCTTAGAAGACAGTATAATTTATGAAAATTTTTTGAATCTTCAAGTAATTTATTCTTAATCATTATAGGAATAGTAATTTGCTCATATTACTAAAGAAGAAATAAATCTTGTGGCTAATGAATTAACAAAATTTAAATAATGGTGCAATAATGCATTAGACTTGTTGAGTAAAGCCGATAAGACAATTAGATTCACAATTTCTATTTAATAAATTAATACTAAATATGCTGAATTATAACAAGTAATGATTACTAATAATCGTTAGAAATGCTAACCAATTATTACTAAACAAAAACCTGAACCAATAAAGGAAGAAAAAATGGTCGATCAAGCTTAATAAGAACAATAAAATATTAATTAAAATAAGATGGAAACTGAATGATTAATTCTTCATTTTATGTAGATAAAAAATAAATTTGCAATTTTAATGTTAACTAAAATTTACATAATAAGTTTTAAATTTTTCAAGTTTAATTTTTAGTGAATTGAAATTTTATTAAAACATACTCAAAGAATACTTATAATTTAAAATTTGGAAACAAGAAAACCAATCATAAAAGTTCTTCATATCTAAAAAATGTAGATGGTTTCCTTGCTGTATTTGGTTTGCATAACGATCTGTCACTGTGTTGTGAGACGGGCCTTTAATTATCTATAACCATAAGTGGAGTTGTAGGTTAGTGATACTTAGTCTCCATTAATTGAAATTATGACAATTTCTATTAATTAATAAGATTTTGCCTTTTTAGTTGCTAAATATATTTATTATTTTACTTGTATCAATTATTCATTCTTCTCTTTTAGTTTTTCAACATGTTCAACTAAGTTTTATCTTTCCAACGAATATCTTTATTTATCGAGCTTTAAAGCTTCAATTTTTAATTCTTCACTTTTATTTGGCTTTATAGATTCATAATGTGTGATATAATCCATGACTCCTTGTTCAATAAGTGGATGCTTTAGAGACTCTTCTATAATCTCAGATATTTTCTTAAAAAAATCTTGAGGTAATTTTAAATTTATTAGATTTGTTGTAATTGATCGATGAATAGTATTAAATAAATTTTAGAGTGATAACTTTTGCATTACTTGCTCAATTGTTTATGATTTCGAAATTATCTTTGTTAATTTACTTTAAGTAATTTCTCCACAAATTATTTGTTCTAATTTTCTAGTATATTCAAAATTGATTTAATCCATTTTATCTCTAAATTAATTGTTTTAGCAGTCATCAATATCAATATTCAAAATATTTAACTAATCATTTAATGAAATGATTTCATCAATTAATATTTGATTCTATTCTGTTTTCACATTATTTTCACCCTTTTGTAATTTATGAATTATCTTTTCAAGACACTCAATTTTTGAATTTAATTAAGTTATTTTAACTTATTTTCTCTAGCATTCTATTTTAGATTAACCTAATGAGATTCTGAGATCATCAATTTATTTCAAGTAATTAACCTCATTTTCCTTTTAATCTATAATATTCTCAGGTTAAGATGCTTTTTTTGATGAAAAGAATGATAAATCAATTTGAAGACAAGATTTATCGGTCATCAGACTCATTGATGGGTGCTTTGACTTATTTGCTTTCTCTTGATTAATTTAAGAGTCGTATTGCTTTATCAAATTATTTTCGTTTGGGATGTCTAAAATAGATTTTCTTTTTAACTATTCTAACTCTTGATGAGCTAACTATAATTACATCTTCAAATCTTTAATCATCTATTGCATCATTTCTGAGGACATCTTTATATTCATTTTATAGTGATTTTTAATAGATTTAGCTCTTGATGCAAATTTTAATGTGCTAATGGTCTCATCCATTGAACTAGCATGAGATGAACAGGTTACAATCTATTTAATATATTAATAAATTACTAAAGAGGTTTTATAATTTCCACCTAAGGATTCTTATAAAATTCTAGTTAATTTCGAATTTCTGTAAGGAATATGGTCATTGTTGGTAGTCAAAGCATGAATGACATTTCCTAAGCATGAAAGTGACAAATTAATTTTTTTAGCTTCCTCCAAAATTTCTCCTTGTGCGCCAGTTTTGCCCACCTTTTCTGATCCAGCTAAATCAACTAGATTTAATTTTCCTTTCTTTTCTGTTTCGTTAGATAATTTCTATTTGATTTCAAGCATGAAAATAGTATGAGATCTTGAACTATATTAATTAATTCTGGTTGCAGCAACCTTTCTTGTTTATTCTCCTAGTTCTACAATTCTAAGTAATTCATCTTAACTTTATAATGATATTTAAGTTAGACCTTCTACATAAATACCTTTAGTTGCACTTTCCTTAATCTTTAAATCAGGACGCTGCATTGAAAGTAAATCAAATAAGGTTTCTTTATAGATTTCAAGCATAGAACAAGTTAAAACAAATTCGCATTCTGGATCACTTTAATTAATATACGTAAATATCTCTTAACTAAAAGGAGTATAATAATCGAATACATTGATCTTGGTATTATGCCTTTACCAATTGAATCTCGTAACTCGCCAAACATTGTGTAGGTTTTTCCTGAGCCAGTCTATCCATAAGCAAAGATAGTGCTATTATATCCATTTAAGACATCTTAAATTGCATCTCTTCCAACTGAATCATAAACTGATAATTGATTAGAAGTTGGTGGGAAAACTCTATCAAATGTGTGGACGACATCCTATTAAAGAAGTACAGTATGTATGTCTGGAAAAATACAAAAGTCTTAAGTTGGATTGTTCTCTTCCATTTTGTTTAAAGGCCGAAAGCGAGCAAACACCTTGATATTGGAAGTGTTTTCTGATAGGGCATTTCTTGGAGAATTCAGTCTTTTAGGCATAGGAGATTTTGCTCTTTTTTTAGCCGAACTATCTGAATCAAATAACGCAGGGATCTTCTTCATTGTTAACTGTTAAATAATTTAATTTAAAGAATTTTTTATTTATTTATTTTTTAAGGAAAATTAAGGAATAAATTAATTATGTGCAATAATACTAAATGTTTAATTAAATTAACTTTTCAAAAATTATTCCAATCAAATCATATTCAAGTTATAACCTTTTAATTAAACTCATTTTCTTTATTTTCTTTGATATGAAGCAAATCATCAACTAGCCAAAAACAGTTCATAATAGTACATGGTTAAAATCTTGATGAAATATTAAACAAATATTAAAGAGATGATAGGAAGTTCTAATTTATTAAGTTTAAGAGAAAATTGACATTAGAATGATGATAACTGTTATTAATTCTAAGCATAAACAAAAATATTATTATTTCATAGACTTTCAGAATTATAATAGTTCAAAGTGGACTTGATCTTTTTAAAGTATTTTTTCTTGGCCTTGACAGTCACTTCTTATCAATATCATAAATGAAAATTATATGTTCATTAGATCATTTCTGACTTTCATAGTCTATATCTATTCTTTTTATAAAAACAATTAGTCCTATTTATAACTTATCTGTATTTTCTTTTTATTTTGATTTCTATATGGCTGCTTTCCTCTATTAAAAATAATAAATCTTTATATGATTGGATAAACTTTTGTGGATCATTATTTTTCATCCTTTTTTACGAAATAGAAAAGTTTTACTAAGAATTCTCAATAGGTTTTAAATTTTTTTAGAGGTTTAAACTATGAAACACTTCATTAAAATTTGCAATGTAAGCTATAAAAATTTTGAAAATTGTTAATGATTATAATTGTAAGTATTTTCATTAGATCATGTCATTTTAAGAAATATGCCTAAATTTGAATTAGTAGTCCAGAAAAACAACTCTTATTTAACACAATCTGAATTTAAAGCTTATGAAATTGCTGATGCTATTAACAAAACAATCTTATTAATTGCCAATAAATAGATTTAATTTTTATCAAAAAATAATTCATAAAGATCCTTTTTTTCTTAATTTAAATAGAGTTTTAAATATGCTAAAATAATTAGTTACAATAAAAAGCTTAAATTTTACTAGTCTTCCAATTTTAGTAATATGTCTATTGCTTACTTTCAGTCACAACTAGAAATTTCACTTTATTCAGTTGTCACATTCTTAAAAACACCCATCAAAATATAATCCAATAACAATCTCACTCGAAAAATAAATAGAATATTTTTTTTAAATTGAGACAAAATTTTAGATAAAAAATGATAATTTTTAATATGAATTTTTTTTATTCTGTTGGCTGCTACATAAATAATGTCAAAAATTACATATGATGTATCTATTATTAGATTTTTTCTTTTAGAGTAGATAAAGATGTGATTTGTGAAAAATTTTAAAAACGCTTATCCTTCTTACGCATGTGAATGGAAGAACGAATAATGTGCATTTGACGATAAGAAAAAATGCACACATATAAAAATAGGGAATCAAGTTAAGTAAAAATGTAATTATATTTTTAAAAATTTACTATAGTTATTAGAAAGACAAATTGTGCTATTGGAATTTTTTTAATGTTAAGAAATAAACTGTGATGAGTTTAAGGAATAATTATTAAATTCAATGAATTGTTACTTGAATCAAAATGATGAATGTGCATTATTTACAAAATGTGAGGATTATAAGGAAAGAGAAGGTCGTTGTCCAGATCAATGCCAAAAATCTTAGAATTCATCCAAATGCGAAGCTCGATCATTCTGGAAGAGCGTGATTTGTGTTTGGTCAAATAAGGCACTTGTGATTAAATCATAGCTGATATTTAAGGTTGCCACATGTACAATAATTATAAAAGTAAGTGTGAATAAATGTTATATTGTAAATATGAAAACGGAAATTGTTAATAGTTATTTTGTAAAGATTTTTAACAGAAGATAGATGTAGAAGTATAATACTTATGTAAAAACATTTTGGACTTGGAAAAATAATGCCTGCATTGAAACAACTGAAGAGGAATTTGTATGTTATTTCAAGAAGAAAGATATAGGAAATTTTTTTAACTTGAGGGATACCCCCCTAAATATTTTTTTGGTTTCTCAAAACTAATAATTACATTTTCTATAGTTTTTAATGCATTCTAGCATTTTCCTTTTGTAAATTTTCTTTGAATTCATTTGATTTTCTCGAATTACAAGAACTGACACTACGAGTAGATTATCTTGACTACAAGAATATTTTAATAATTATTTACAGATTTTTGAAAGAAGATTCTACATTATTTATTTTCTTAAGTAATTTCTAATTTTATTTCATTATCTTTTCCCATCTATTTATTTCTTATTTAGTAATTTACCTATTTTGTTTATAAATATCAAGTGTTTTATCTAATTTTTAGATAGAACATCTTCTTTGTTAAATATCACTTAATCTTCTTTTTATGAAATATTAATTCTCTTAACAATAAATCTCATGCCTTACTATTTATCTATTTGCTGCTTAATTTTTTACATAATTTATATAAATTAAATTTATTAATAGATATTTTTGTAGAAAAAATAAAAAAAATTATTAAGAGCAAAAATTAAACTGAATAAATCATTTAAATTTACTTTTTAATATGAATTATTTAAATTATTTTAAATATAATTATATATTTCTATTATAATAATATTCAAAATTAATAAATTTAATGAATAAATTACAATTAATTTTTCACCGAAATTTTGTTCATTATTTGAGCTTTAAAGCTAATAAATTATTAATAAAGAATAATAATAAATTTAATGAGTTACGAATAATCTGCTTTAATTGCTACTGGAACAACAGCTGCTATAGTTGGAGGAGCTTAAGCAGGTATAACTGCTGCAGGATTTTCATCAATTGGACCTGTAGCAGGAAGCCTTGCTGCAGCAACTTAAGCAAGTATTGGAAATGTTGTTGCAGGAAGTGCTTTTGCTGTTGTTCAGGGTGTGGCAATGACAGGAGTAGTAAGCACACTTTTATTACCTGCAACAATTATTGGATTAGGGGCTGGAATATTCAGTTTCATTTTTAAATGAGAATGATTTTATGAAAGTTATCATTCTAATAGACAAATAATTTTTTTAAATTCCTTTTTCCTTATAATTTAATATTATAATATATTATTCTTTTATATTGACTATTCTTTTTAAATTTTTCAAATATAACATAAATAAATTTATACACATAAAACTTATTTAATTAACATATTTGGTAATTTTAATGAACAAAGTTTCATCAACAAAATTATTTCGTTTTAAGTTGTATACTTTAGGAGAGCACTTTCATTTTTCGAGAATTAGATTCCTTTTTAATTATTTAAGGTGATTAAAAAGTGTATCAAGCAAACTCACTTAAAAAATGAACATTTAATTTCAATTTGAGGTTAGCTTCGAAATTAAACTAAACAGGGTTGGGTTGGCATGGAAAGTACCTCTCACTTGTACACATGGAAAGTATCTCTCACTTGTACTTAGTAGGGTTGGGCACAGGTTGACTTCGGAGGATAAACGACATCTTTT